TATGTGCTACACTCTGAGAATCAAAGTGAAAACATTATACATGTAGATACTTATGTGTGGTATTAGTCGTGTATTCATCCTTTGTGCATTATTCTCATGCAAAGATGCTATTGGTTTGTGTACATACAGTTAAAAATTGGTTACTTGCACCCCAGTGGTTTTTTTTTCAGGGAGGCGACCCTCCCCCCCCCCCCCCCAACTCCACCTCCCCCCCCCCAAACAAACAAACAACTAAATTTAATAGAATTCTTAAAAGTGATTTTTAGGCAGCTTTCTTTCCCCTTGCACTATGGTGAGACAGGCTTGTTAAAATCTTTTCTGATTTCAAATCTTTTCGGATTTCAAGGTTTTATCTAACAAGTTGATTTGGTACCAGATTCAAATGCTCTTAATGTCTCAGGTACACGTATGTTTATATTTTAAGGTGCTAAGTCAATCACAAGTCAGGGCACAAGATTACAGGAACACGGACAACATTTGAAGAGCTGGTTACTTGACTTTAGACAAGTTGTGATTGACTTTGGATGATGTGTGATACCGGAATGCAACTTGAGTTTGTTTAGCACTGACAGGTTATCCTTCCCCGATTTCCCCCCTCCCACCCCCTCCCAAAAAACCCCGGCAAATTGCTTTCAATTTTGAAGAAATTGTCTTCCGTGTGTGACCTCCACAGGTAAAGAGAAGCCCTTGGTGAAGCAGGCCTGCCAGGACGGGTTTGTTCAGATTGACTGCCCATCTGGCAAGGGCATCCGCGTCATCGACGCAAACTACGGCCGCTACTCCGGCGAGAACGTCTGCGGCACCACGGCAAACAAGAACTGCATCGCTCCAAACGCCTTGCTGGCCGTCCAGACTAAGTGTCAGGGCAAGAGGTGGTGCAAGGTCCCCGCAACCAACGCCTTCTTCAGCGACCCCTGCCCGTGGACGCACAAGTATCTCAAGGTTTATTACAAGTGTAAGTACACTGCTTTCCTAACATCACAAACATTTTTGTATGGGATGAAATTAACATTTCATCCACAAAATGTCGCCGTCATCAGTGGAGTTGGAAGTTTGGGTGTTCCTAGAAACGAGTTGGATTCACTTTGTTGTTTGCTTTCTGCCAGGTGACTACCCAATCATGCAGAAGAAGGTCGTCTGCCAAGGCAGTAACTTGGGACTGGACTGCAGGTCTGGGTACGTCATCAAGATTAATTACGCCCTCTACGGTCGGGTGCATGGAAGCGCCGTTTGCAACAGCAACTCCTTGGGCAATTTCAACTGCCAAGCTGAAAACGCTTTATCGGTAGGTTACACACAGCATGAGAATGCTGTCCAGACTGTTTAATTAATCTGTGGTTTACTAAATGCATCTTTCTACTTGCTGCGAGATATGAGGCAGACGGGATAATATCAAAATCTGTGAATAATTGAATAATTATGATAAAAATTTTGCATGGACTAAACGCGTGGAGTGCTGTGGCCTCGTGGTTAAGGGCATTGGATTCGTAGTCTGCGGGTAATTCTGCAGGCTGTATGTTCGAGTCCAGCCTGGGTCATGGTGCGTGTGCCCTTGGGCAAGGCACTTTGTCACTCATTGCTTCTCTCCACCCAGAAGTAAATGGGTACCTGTGAGGGCAGAGATGGTTATTGTGATTGAATAAGCTTGCTTGCGCCTAACAGGCAGCATCAAGCTGTATACTCCCCAGGGAGCTGAGATGGGATTTGGAATGTTTAATGTTTAAATGATCAGGGTGTAATAATGAATAAAGCGCTTTGATCTATAGTTAAAAGCGCTATATAAGAACTCGTTATTATATTAAATGTGGAGTCAGGTTAGACTTGAAATTAAGTCGTTAGATACCGTCGTGTTTTGTCCAACGAGCCCCCCAATATTAACTAGCATGGCGCTAGCTGGCGCCCTGTATCGTGTTTACATGCGGCATCCGACAGGTCTAACGACATGACTTATATGAATTCGCACGATTATTCATTTATGCGCCCAGCAAAATGCATATGTATTATGTTTCCATAGAGAGGGCCAATGATAACCCGCGATGCAACACAGCTTGGATAGAATGGATTGCTCGAAGGGTCGAAAGCTAATTCCTGGGTCGTTTGGAATCCATGCATCATTATATTATCATTCGAAAAACAAGATTTGGACATTCTATTTTTTATTTTGCCACCGAGTGAAGTATTTTATAGCAAATCTTTTGAAAAAGAGAGAGAGAAAAAAGAAACGTGCATTAATCAAGCATTCTGTGAACAGCATCCCCAATCCAATAATGGATGCTTCCCAGTGATACAGCCGGCCGACTGCATCGCGGGAATATGCTAGAGAAAGGGATTTTGGAAAATAATGTGCTTTGCCCCCTCTGGAAAAATATCCTGGCGATGCCCATGCTTGTATAATTGCAAGGCAGAACCAAGTAAATTAGACAGGGCCAAACACTTCTTTGTTTACTCTGACTTTAATTCGTAAATGCTGTCCGTTTATTTCCATTACAAAATACAGTCGAGCAAATTGTTTGTTATATCAGAATTTTGTATTAAGAGGAATATCAGTCCCATTCATTGTGCACATACCTGTACATGTACATGTATGCACAGTCGAGACCAAGGCTTTATGTTTGTTATAACCAGAATTTTGTATTAACAGAGTTTGTATTAACGAGACTCGACTGTACTCTTTATTCTCGTTTTATCCAGGTTGTGAAGAATAAATGCGAAGGGAAGAAGTGGTGCAGCGTTCCAGCCAACAACTACACCTTTGGCAACCCATGCAAGGGAACACACAAGTACCTCTTTGTCCGCTACTGGTGCAAAAAGCATTAGGTTCATCAGTCTGGCTCGGTCTATGTCCATCATAGATTGAACCTGTCATCTGATAAACGTGCAGGAGTTATGTCCTACAAACTATCAAATGAGTGTGATTTTAGAGTTTATATAAAAGTAACATAAGTAGGAGGTTCACTGACACAGCAACATTTCTAATCGTGGAGTTAGCATTGGTAAAAAGGTATCAAACAAAGTTTTAGAACCCTACCACCCCCAAAAAATCTCCATACCAAACATCAGTTCATTTAAAAAAAAAAGGTTTGTTTTTGGTATTAACATAATGACGCTTCGTTTTCCACAATTCTTGTCTGAATTCCATACTAATTTTACCACCTTATCCAAAAAAAAAATCCTGACCACCGACCTGAATTTTTGTCCAAAAGTTTTCCAAATTGAGTTTTTTTTTAAAAATACTTACACAAATACTCCAAACTTTCCTCACAATCGGGTCCTTAAACTATAAAATGCTTCCATTTTCCTCCCCTCCCCCCCTTAAAAAAATGTCTATTGATCAACCGTATAGAACAAAGAGATGACTGTCCAACAATGCAATTTCACAATTTGAACTTCAGCTTGAAGGAATTATAGTCTGATGTCTAATTACCAAATTAAAATATTTACATTAATTTAGTAACAATGCAAATAAAAAAGTTTGGTTCAGTATCAGAAGGAAAAGTAATGTCAAAGCTTTTTAGTTTTGTGTGTTTGTTCATTCTTTTGTATGGAGGAAGGTTGCAACCATTCATCTGCATGGGCGTCACCAGGATTTTTTCTAGAGGGGGGCAAAACATTTTTTCCAAATTTTTTTTCCTGTATTTCTCAACATATTCTCGATTTTTCAGTTTGAGAGGGGGGCAGGTACATTCCCCCCCCCCAACTCATTAAATTTACACCACGATGACTTCGCGCCTCTTTTCCTTTTCTTTTTTTCCCTCTTTTTCTTCTTTTTTTTTTTTTTGCTTTTCGGAGGGGGGGGGGGGAAGCGCCCCCCTCCCCCCCTCGCGACGCCCATGTTCATCTGAGCAGGCACACCGCTAGGATTTTTCGAGGTAGTTATAGGAAGGGGGTATTAACCAGTACTGCAGTGAGAATTGTTGGCCATGGAAAAATTGATTGGTGGGAGGGGAGGGGCTGGACAGCATTTAACTTTTGGGCATGCATGCCCAGTGACAGGCACGTTTCAGTGGGTGCACACCTATGTTCCCCAATACCGATGTTCCCAATACCGATATTCCCCGAAATCCTTACCATATAGCCCTAAAACCCTAACCCTTAGGATTTCTGGGAACAGTGGTATTGGGGAACATCGGGTAGACCCCGTCTCAGGCCCCTTTCTGGCAGTTGCAAGTTTAACAGACCATAACTTCAACCCTCATTCTAAAATATTGGTTCCCCCCGTTTTTTTCCTCCCAGGGTGGGGAAGAGAACAACAAAAACGTAATACGTCAACAGTGTGAGATTTACCCCTTTTCCCTCCTAAGATTTCAACATCCTAACATACGGTAGAAATCGAATCCATTTTACGCTGGAACAGGATTATAAATTCGCCAAGATGTTGTCACGGGAAGCTATAAGATGCTTGTTGCCATAATTAATTGCCATGGGGAAAAAAACAGTGACACAAGGGATTACAGTAAGCCCCGCCCAATGGTATTTTGACCAATCTCAACCGTTACCAATGTCCGAAATGCGTGCACGCGCGTATCATGACGCGCAGTGTGAATTGGAGAGGTTCACGCGTTGGATGCCCAGGTGCGCAGTGGGCGGGACTTGTTTCCCTCAGAGGCACTGTGAAATTAACCTAATAAAGCAATCTCAACAAAGTTCGTTACGACTTTGATCATCGCTGAGAAATGAAACAAAAACCTCTCACTCGTTGCATGTGAGTTAGAATTGGTTAAAATTATTTATTAGTAAATACCAAGTTCATGTTAAAATTTATAATTTAAAATACACTGAGGAAACCGATAGACAACGGACCTATGAATCTGGATCACTTAACTTGATCAACGTGAAACACTTTACGATTTAATGCCCCTGTTCTGATGACGTCACGCTGTTTACTTGTGCGCTTTTCTATGTGGCAACGAAACTGTGGTCCCCACTAGGCTCCCGTAGGAAAGTATGCACGCCTTGTCCTCGAGAGCTATGTTAAGTACGACTGTGCGTAAACAAACTGTGACGTCATAGGTACAGAGACTTATTGAAAAGTGAAACTAAAACGTGGTTTTTTTTACAAAACGTAATCTTTTACATAATCACTTAAATAAATTGGAATTATTGAATGAACAGTTCTGTAGAAAAAAGGTGGAAAACAGTCATAATGTAACTTGATTAAAAACAACATTATTTCGACAGGAAACTTTATAAAATAAATGATTTCCTCAAAGTTTATAAAATCAAATTACGCAAAAAAATAACCACAGACTTTTAAAAATAACACTTCTTGAAATTTAAGTAAAAGGGGATGTTCCATTATTTTCTAAACAATTAAGAGACACATTGATAAGTCATATATAGCACAAATGATTGTCAGCCTAAAGCTACAATTAAAAGCTTTAAAAAGCCAGGGTTTTGGTTAAAACACTCGGGATAATTTTATACAGAGTTGCATTCTTCGTGACTTTAGTTAATTACTAACCAAACACACAGGAATTACAATGTTGACTATTTCGGGTTGATCACAAAAATAGAGTGTAATAAACATACAATTAGTGTGAGAATATGCCTGAGTTACGTTCACTTTGGTTCGATAACATTTCTATAAAGTACATTTCATTACGTAATATATTGGTCATGGTGTCATTGGAAAAGGGAATATTACGGAATTGCTTAAATCTAAAAATAAATACACTACAGCAATTTTATCGAGCAGTAAGTCGGAACTTTCTTTAAAAGAACAACTCAAGATAAGATTATATGCACCGGAAAGGAATGTGAAGGGTTTGTAAACGCTATTAGATTATTTGAATATGTCTGTTTATGTCTTTTCCGATCCTGATAACAAAGGCACGCAGAGTCTCATACAAGATGTTTAAAATTTTCTCCCGTTCGGAGTTCAGCGAGTGGATGCTAGAATTTTCAAGAAAGGAACGCAATCTTGAAATAATCAGTAGGGCCTATAGGGACTATTATGAATGATGCAAGTGCGGGAGACGCATGCAGCTCGTAAAAAAAGTTGCTCGTAAAATCATCAATGTGTGTTGTTATTTCATGGACAATGCGCATCTTACATCAAAACGTCGAGATGTACATAATTATTTGGGTTTCTTGAAATAATTCAAAATGGCGATATAACCATCCAAGCTTCAAATGAACCCTAAAATACGATGTAAATAGTTCATATTCGGACCAATCGCAACTTACTACCCCAAATTTAATGCAACTCAACTTTCAGGAAATTGCAAATAATCCTACTGGCTACTGATCACGAGGCTCTAATTTTTACATTTAAAAAGTATATTATGCCTTTGGTTTTAAGTATCACAATCATATTTTTTTCTGATCATGAATTCAGGAACATCCAGTACCATAACCTTTCAATGTAGTGACCTTCTTCTGGATTGGAATGATCGTTCATGAAAGCAATGGCCTTCTGGTACACGTGCAATGGGTGTTTCCTAATCATCTCCCGCGTTGCCCCAAAGCATCCACAGTAACAGTGAGGCATGCCGTCCTTAGGCGGCGGGGCGCCAAACAAAACTCTGTAAAACTCTCCGAACGTGAGGGCCGTAACGCGCATGAGGCCTGCCTTGCGATCCTGCTTGAAATTGGCGACGTGTTTCAGCTTGCCCCACTTCCTGACCACCAGCTCGTCAGGATGTATGCAGGGGATGCCTGCTCGGGCGGACGAGATGTATCTCAAAGGGTTCCTGTGACAGAATCCTCTGTGAAAACGGAATGCTGCTTGCAAAAATATCGTCACGTTGGGAAGATTATTGTAATGGGTGATGATGTGATGAAGATATGTATGGCCCTCCCGCCCAACGTTCGGTAGTTTTTCCCAGGCATACATCTCGAACGGAGCGCTTGTGTTGGTCCCTTTGTGGTATACGTGGGCGTGGTCTGCATAAGACTTCACCCAATCCAGAGACTCGTCGTAATGCGCCACGACAATCTCATAATCTTTGAGCCCTGCATGTACGACGCGGCCCGTGTTCTTTTGGCTGTTGACACGATTGGGATCCGCGTAGGTTTCCTCCGGTACGCCTTTAAGTATCCTGTCCACGACCTCCACCCCTTGCATCAAGGAATGATCCTGATTGCCAACCTCGTATTTCCAACCTCCGAAGCGTCCACGAGAGAAGATGTCTTTGGCCTCCAGCCATGGTTGCACCGCTTTCAGAATGGCGTCTCTCTTGAGCGAGGGGACGGGATACCCGTGGTCCAAGCGACGGTAGTACTTGGAGACAATCATATCAGTGGTGATGAAGCCATAGTTGACCAAAGCCTCGATGGTCGCACTAACCACATTAGTTTGGTTCCAATTCAACATATTTCTGCGAATCGGTTCAGCCGACTCACACATCAGTGACCAGTACTCTCCCGTGTGAGGCACGTGGTCTTTCGAATACTTCGAAAACACGGTGACGCGGTAAAACGGAGAATCGGAGTCCGGAAAGTACATCCAAGATTTATCAGCGAGATTATCTGGAGGTTGCCCGGTGAGGCCGATGCCTACGATGTGAGTGTGCGTGTACACCAACTGGGCTGTTATACCTTTCATCCTCTCAAGGGAAGAGTCTTTGCTTTCTAGAAAACCGACGAAGTTATCCAAGGGAACAGTGGAGATCAGTGTAGAGTAGCTCAGTGTGGAGAGGGAGTTTTGATTTCGAGTTGACTCGATGGTGATAACCTTGTTGTCCACATCAATTTCGATCACCTTTTCGTGGAACTTAAACCAGGACCTTGGAAGCAGTTTGGCCACCGAAGACCAAATCCCACCGGTGCCATTGTAGCGGGGAAAGCGGAAGAATCGGTTGGGACCCCACTCGGAATCCTTAGCCAGTTTCCCGCTGTTTGCTTTATGAATCTTGTCCTTTATTGCCGTGGCATTTGGCACTGCTACCCTCTCGCCGACCCAGACCGAGTTCATCTCCGTCGTGTCCACCGTCCACACTTTCTTGTTGTATTTTCTCATGAATACCTCACAGAGGCCCTTGCCAAACTTTTGCAGAAGCCACTCGTCGAAGGTCCTGGGCGGCTTGACCGGCGGGTTGTTGGTAATCTCTTCCAACCCAGACAGGGATTTTTCTTGGTCCTGCTTATGCATGGTGTGGATGTTGTGTTGGACGGGGTAAGGTATGAATCTCCTCTTGTCGTCTGGTCCCTTCATGTAGGCGAAAGCTGCCCTCACGTGCTTGTTCCAATTGGGCACAGCCCGGTCCAATGTCTGATCGAAGTAAGAGTAATGAGAGAAGATGACATGCCCTCCCATGTCCCACAAGAACCCCTGATCGTCCCTCTCTGACACCGCTAAGCCTCCAGGTTGTCCCCGCTGCTCAAGCACAATAACCTCGGTGTTGTTGAGTTCTTGTTGGAATTCGTACAGTCTCTGAACAGCTCCTAGAGCGGTAGGTCCGCTGCCTATGATGACGATTCTCCGTCTGCCCTTTGGCAAATAATTGTGGGATCTTGGATTAACGGTCATTTCTGAAAGAAAATAAAAACCAAGCAGGCATGAAGGATTGAATGAATTTTGCATTGTACGATCAAGTTGTCATTTTGGGGCGATCAGCATTAATCAGACGGTAGACCATCAATAAACTGAGACAATTTCTTCCAAGATTGAGGCGCTAATACTCCCAAGGTTTTTTTGACAGGAGAAAGTTTGTCAAATCTAACAGAAGAAAACGTTTCCAATGGCGGTGTGTCATTTGTTTGGCTATACTTGACAATATTATGGTAACGGGGTCGCCCGATAGTCCGAAGGTTCGATAATCCGAAGGTTAAGGGCAAAACCTAATTTGAATAATCCGAAGGTTTGTTGATCCGAAGGTTTTGATAGTCCGAACGCACACATTTCCCATAATTAGAAGTTCACTAGTCCGAAAATGAAACAATGTTCGTTAATACGAACATTACTATAGTCCGAAGGTTCGATAATCCGAAGGTTTATTTATCCGAAGGTTTGGTAGTCCGAATTTAGAATAAGGTTAATTAGTCCGAAACGAAAATAAGATTCAACAGACCGAAGGCTCATTATTCCGAGAGCACACAAGGTTCGATGGTCCGAATTGACAATTATGTTGAATTCGCTCTTTGCACGCATACGACATAAGCATGCATCAGAGCGTATGATCTGGCAACTTTACACATTAAATAAATATAGCTGGTTCAGTGATTCCCGTGTATACACGGGAATTACTGAACCGGCTACATGCACATTTATTGTGTAAAGTTGTCCGATCGAGGCTTTGTGCTCAAATTTGTATCCTTGTGGAGACACGCACACAATAGGGAACAAAACATTGTAAAGGTCTCCACAAGGCAATTTCTATAGATGAATAGGTCTCCACAAGGTTTTCACGAAATAGATATATGGATTTTACTCAAAAACAAGGAATTTCCAAGGTGGGTTGATCCGTCGCAAATGGAAGAGTTTTAGAAAAGGGATATTAAGTCCGAATTTCAGCCAAGGAAATTAATTCTGGTTAAAATAAGAGCATTTTGAAACTACACTTTCAAAATTGAAAACTTTACTACACGAGAACAAAGAAATGTCTCCACAAGGATACATATTTGAGAGTAAGTGCATGCTTGTGGCGTAAGCGTGCATAGAGTGAATGCTGGTAATTCGGGCGATCGAACCTTATTGTCGATTCAGACTATCGAACCTTATTGTCTGTTCGGACCATCGAGCCTTCGGATTATTTAACCTTATTCCATTTTCGGACTAATTATAATGGGACCCTCGGATTGTCGAGCCTTTGGACTAATGAACCTTCGGGCACACGACCCTTCGGTCTGACGAACCTTCGGAATATCGTATACCTTCATAATCAGGCTGCCACCGTTATTAACAGCCAAAAAAGCAGCTCAAGAGCTGAGAAAAAAAGCATCCTCTCTGAATAATACCCATTTGCTATTCAAGTTCCCAGGACTGCAGCATTGCTAAAAATGCTAGCAGTAGCATCGTTACTTTGGGAGACCAGGCCGGGTTTATATGGCTATAGTCCAGTGGCTGAAGGATTGAAGGAAACAATCGCGTCGGATTGAAGCACCAAATTTGGTACACTTACTGTATATGTCCATAGAAAACATTCTGGAGGGAGGTGCCCTGTTTTAGTGGCCCAGGCCAAGGTCGAAGTTCACAGTGTTTACTTAACTGTACATGGCTGCAGTGAATTATCAAAAAGTCTGACAATTTAGGTTCTGAATAGCCTAAAAGGATATCTGACATTTATAAGACCTACAGGTACCATAACAGAAAAAGTTCCATCGAAAATTATTATTCAGTTAGCTTTCTGTTTAGTTTCACTGTGATGTGGCACAGTAGGCCTGCATTGGACACGTAGGCCTGCATTAATATACAGTGAGCATCCATATGGATGAGGCAAATACCTATAATGACACGTCCAAGTTGTTTTTATTTGCACAAGTGCATCCAGATGTGTTCATTGATTGCTTGGGCTTATGCTGAAATTATATCATGTCCTACACCTTGTGTATGACTTGATTCACCAAAACAAACAATGTTTATATTCTGAAAACCTCTTGGTCGATCGTTTCAGTTCACACTTTTATTCTTGGATGTAAGGTTTCACTGTGGCACGGTAGGCCTAGGCTATATTGTAGGCCTACATTCATACACAGTGTACATCCATATGGATGAGGCAAATATCTGTAATGACAATTCCAAGTTTTTATTTGCACAAGTGCACCTAGATGAGTTCATTGATTTCTTGGGCTTATTATGCTGAAATTATGTCGTACACCCCGTGTGTGATTGGATTCACTTGGAGATTGTGGAAATTCAATGCCTATACGGTAAAGTACACCATGTGAACGTTGATCTTGGCCTGACCTTGACCTAGGTTGCTAATATCGGCCCCCCCTTCCCCCTTCCCCCTCTGTAGAACATCTACTGGGCACCTACACAGCAAATGTACACAATTTGTTGCTTTTAATCCGGCGTGTCACGATCTTGCCCAAAATTAGCTCTAAGCCACCGAGCTATTTAGCGTACAAGACATTATTCACACAAAAAATAGGTTTGTCTAAGTGGACCTGAAATTAAGTCTCTGTTATACTTAGTGACTTTGTCAGTCGGCCAGTGACTCAGTCAGTCAGAGGTTATAAATCAATCCTGGCACGCTGTCACTTCTATCACGAAGGCCCCTTTCAATGGCGTATCTGGTAAGAGGGCCCCGTTCGCGTGTACAGTGATCACGCGCGCCAGGATTTGTCTATGTACAGGCTGTTTTTCGGGTCGAATGAAAATAAGGGACTACATGTATACCATTTACACCACGGCAACGGAATCTTTCGTGAATGACGCCGAGCAGAGAATATACAACATTTGCTTTTTGTGGTAATTTTCAGAAATGGATGGATTTGGAAACTGATACAAAAATACCAGTTTCTGTTATTATTGAAAATGTCAACAAACCAGGTGCCATGATTTTACAGGATGCATGCTTTAGACTGTCATTCACTAACACAATAGTCCAGTAATGATTTCGTGATAATTTGTTAGTTTCGTTTTTCAAAAATTGACCGTGGTGATATGAATGTGGCCTATTTTCGAGTAGAATAATAGGTGTGGAGGTGGCGCCACTAACGTCAAAATAGTCCCCCCCCCAAAAAAAAAAATAAAAATAAAAAATTGTGAGCCCCCAAAGCCAAATCCTGGGTGCGCCACTGATAACGTCTTTTAGGCCCATCACACTACCCCTACGCGAAAAAGGTGCCAGTTTATTGAAGCTAACCACGAATACCATATTTCCATATATTCCTTTGCCTTATATAGGGGGAAAACAGTATCCTAACATTTTTTTGCATAATATTGCAAATATTGTGCATCAGTGCAAATAATAATGCATGTTCCAAAAAATGAGGGGGGGGGGAAGGGCGGGTACAAAAAAAAATCTTCTTTTGTTAGAAGTTTTTAAATAACTACGTATTTTTGAATATTAAGCAAAATGGCATTTCATCTTTCTAAATTAGGTTGAACAAGCAAAACTTGTTATGAGTGAAGTAGAAGAACGAAGTGTGATTGTGGTTTTTTTTTTCCAGTTTTCTTTAGCTTAGCTGAAAATCAGACAGATCTCTACTTAATATTTACTCACTCTTTGGGCAACAAACTTTCGATTATTTTGTTGAGAATTAGCACGTACCGAATATTCTGTATACTTAGGCCTACGCAGCACCATCAATGCCATCCTGTACCTAGTACTGGAGTAGTACGACAATTTTGAACTCTCAATACTGTGTATGAGAGTCCCAAAGCTTAAGGTATTGAAAACATGCAAAACAAGAAAATAGACTGGCACCTAAAACAACCAGTCCAACACAGCTTCAGTACTGCATCAATCAACCATATGACAAAAGAATTTAAGAAACATGTGGCATGAAGCAGGAACTAGTCTCAATTTACTACACATTTCTCCATAGTCAAGCCACCAGACTATTGACACTGAATGAAAAGGTCAGTCTTTTCAAATAGTTGTACCATGGATCGAAATGTAACAGTCTAGTATTTAGCCATCACGTGACTTCCCTCTCATGTGCAAAATATTGAAGAAGAAAAATCTCCTTTAAAAGTTGAATTGAGTCTGCAAACTTGGTAGGTGGAATACTGAGGACATTTTCTTTGCCCCAGTGGAATTTTTGGAGAAATTTGCTAGCTAAACTGCGAGCAAAGTGGGCCTGATGTAGTTTTGCACGTTTCAGAGCACTCCAGAGCCCTGTCTGGTACTGGAGCATCAAGTTTTCGAGGTCTATTGACGAACCATTGCTTGTTAATCTAACTGAAGGTACTGGGCATAATAGTGAGATCCAGTCACCTTACAAAGGATTATTATGTAACACGAGGACATTTGAAATTATATATTCACTGAGGCCAGATGGGATTTTTTTCTCGAACCAACAGAGAGTAATTGAGAATTAATTTTCATGATGGTGCAGGTTTTCCCGACCGTTAAAACAGCCCGACAAGGATATGTGAAAACAACGTAAACCCAAAACAATAAATAACTACTACGAATAATAAGTGAAAACACAGAATAATATGACGTCTGCAGTCTTCATTATTTTAAAAAGATTTTATTGTAAGGTTCCTTTTTTTAATAACCTATTATGGAAAAAAGGATTTCCTTTAGTGAAATTCAAAGTAAGCTTTTTGGCGAGCTGCGAAGCAGATGCGAGCCTATGTAATACCAATTTCCGTCCGTCTGTCCGGGCGCCCGTCCGGCGTACGTCCGTCCGCATTCAGATAAAAATGTTGAAGTTTTTGTTTCTAGTTAACTTGTGGGAAAAAATGCAGTTTACACATGTATAATCTCTATAACTTACAATTAGGTTCATTTCATTGCAGTTAATTTTATGATTTTATTGAGGAATTTTGATTAAAGAAAAGTTTTTAATTGTTAAAGTATGTATACTGGCATAACACGTACATGTACATGTATACCTGTATAACATGTGCACTATGCATTTTGGAGGAGCATTCATATGTATGTGAAAGTGCTTCTGGTTTGATCTGTTGGTTTTATGGAGTCGGAATAGGGATGGGTCGGGATAGGTAGGGGAGGGTGGGGCATAGGGGTTTGGATTGGCATAGGGGTTTGGATTGGAATGGGTTACGGGAGGATGGGGTGGAGGATATGGGTTTGGAATACTGGGTTTGGGTGGGGTAAAGATGTGTAGGGGTGGGTGGGGAGAGGTAGGGGGAGACAGGTAGCGGGAGGATGGGATAGGTGGGTGTAGGGTTTGGGTAAGGAGGGGGTGGGGGAGGGGCAGCATATGGGGATTGGAGTAGGGGTTGGGTGGGGATGTGTAGGGGTGGGTGGGTGTAGGGGTTGAGAGGGTGGGGAGGGGTGGGACTGGGATATAGAGATTGGAGTAGGAGTTGGGATGTATGGGTGGGTGAGAATGGGGTTGGTGGTGGTATGGGTTGGGGTAAGGGAAGGTGGGGGAAGGGGAAGGAGATAGGGATTGGAGTTTGGGTGGGATTGAGATTTGTAGGTAATGGGTGAGGATGGGTAGGGGGAGGATGGAGTGGGTATAGTGGGTTGGGGTGGATAGGGGGTTATGGTGGGTTGGGGACAGGGCGGGGATGGGGTAAGGTTTGGGGCATGTGGTGATGATGCCGGTGTCTACAAGTACATGTATACCCATTCATGTTCCGCATTTGTGGATACTACACAAGAGTTCTTCCATGGTAATACATGTATGGAGACAGAAGACGCTGTGGGGCTAGAAAAAAGGCTCCACAACTGGGTCCTTAATATCCTAATAATGGAAAACTTCCATGTAGAAATGTGTATATGTACATGTATTTATTAGGACATTTGTTGACTATTTATGTTGACAACCTGACCCTTACACCCTGGCACATCAACGAGAATCCTGATCCCCATCATGCCCATCCCCAACCCTACCATCAGCCTCCCTTCCTGCCTTCGACAGCGAGCCATGGCGGCTTCGCCGTTCTAGTTTAAACGCGAAACGGCATTCCGTCCCATTTTGTCGAAATTTGATGACGGATCTATAAGTTTCCGGGCGCAATGCGTGTCTGTAAAAGATTTGAGCGCCTGGATGTGAAAACGAACTACACGAAAATCAATTTGAATGCCCATTTGACGAAGTTGGCCTCTTGGCGAGTTTTGACCTCTTTGCGCCGATTTCAATTACTCAATGTCAACATAAATACCACTTTTAAGTCACAAAATGACCAGCCTCATATGCAAAATTAAGGGATTATAATTTGAAAGAATAAACACACTTCAAAGTCATGAAACCAACGCAAATCTAGAGCAGTTACATTAAATTAATGCACGATGTAACACATTTACGACATGTACAATGCATATGCCTAAAGGAGTTGCTTTTTTTTACCAGTGTGCACCTGATATGAGTGGCCCGTCCCGTGTGTTGCCATGTATAACAGCGAATTAAGACTGACCACGAGATTCACAATAGATACATATGCACGGTTTGCCCCTATGCCAGTGTGTCCTCCTTTTGTTCTCTCCCTTTTGTTGCCTCCTGATGCATCCGCTTCATTTCCTTTGTTCCATTGCACTGACACCAAGCTTTCGAGTTAAAGGGAATGTATATAGCATTTGCAAGCACGCCCGCATAATGCATACAATACAACGCGGCCGCCATTTTGAAATCGCATGGAGGACATTTTCAGGACGATATTTGTGGAAGATGATGACTTAAAAGTCGTCTTTTGGCCAGATGGATCAAAATATTGGGACCAAAGAACGTTTTTTCAAAAACGTATGAGTTCCTCTACGACTAGGAACCTTAACTTTGGATATTTCTGTCCTGGACGAGAAGATAATCGCGATCAAAATCTGTAGCAAAATCGCTACATCAGCGGAAAAAAAATTTAGTCTGTGTGGAAGCATTGAGCGTCTGGCCGTACTACATAGCTTGCGATAGTACTGTACGGCCAGACGCAGTCGAGCTAGACAAAATAGGCCCCTAGAGTCAAATACGCATCGCTGGCGTCTATGTAATGAGTACAAAAGGCCCACTGTGAGCGCCACAACTATGAGGAACAAGGATGCATAAATGTGGCCTATTTACTGGACTGCCTCCGTAAACATAGGCCGCACATCCACATGTACAAAAACGTGTCGCACTTTGCCAAATTTTGATTTTCACATTTACGCTTTTTTTGTAGGGTTTTTTTGCTTTAGAAGCATACTCACCCTCTTTATAGGCTAATCAGAAAGTGCTGCCTTTTTCAGATGTCTAATTTTTGTGAAATTTCATGTTGAAATTTTGATACGCAAACGTGTGCAAATGAATCTGGAAATTTCACGAAAAATAGACATCTGACAAAGGCAGCACTTTCTGATTAGCCTATAAAGAGGGTGAGTATGCTTCTAAAGCAAAAAAACCCTACAAACTAAGCCTAAATGTGAAAATCAAAATTTGGCAAAAAGCGACACGTTTTTGTACATGCGGATGTGTGGCCTATATTTACGGAGGCAGTCTAGTAAATAGGCCACATTTATGGGGCTAGGATGCATATACATGTAGCCCCATAAATGTGGCCTATTTACTGGACTGCCTCCGTAAACATAGGCCACACATCCACATGTACAAAAAACATGTCGACTTTGCCAAATTTTGATTTTCACATTTAGGCTTACTTTATACGTTTTTTTTTTGCTTTAGAAGCATTCTCACCCTCTATATAGGCTTATCAGAAAGCGCTGCCTTTTTCAGATGTCCATTTTTCGTGAAATTTCCAGATACATTTGCACACGTTTGCGTATCAAAATTTCAACATGAAATTTCACAAAAATTAACATCTGAAAAAGGCAGCACTTTCTGATTAGCCTATATAGAGGGTAAGAATGCTTCTAAAGCAAAAAAAAATTACAAAGTAAGCCTAAATGTGAAAATCAAAATTTGGCAAAGTCGACACGTTTTTTGTACATGTGGATGTGTGGCCTATGTTTACGGAGGCAGTCCAGTAAATAGGCCACATTTATGGGGCTAGGATGCATACAGAGAGCTATGAGTGTGGCAGTCACATTACAACAAAATATCAAAGATTCGTCTTCATTAAACCCACCGGATTTGGTTGCTATTTTGACGACGGTGTCCTTCTTAAAGGTCCATGTGATGACGATAATAACTGCCGTGTAGAAACAAATGCCAAATACGAGACAAAACTGGCGTCGTTTGCTGAACAGAGCCATCGTGATGATGTGACACGGTTTGGTACCGGCTAAAGATGTGCCAAAATCCACCTAACTGTGGCAGTGACTGAAAATGAAAATGGTGTAGTGGGCGCTATATACGCTCACAGAGTTGCACACAAACAGTGTCATCCGATGAAAAGAAACTCGCCGCAGGTGGGTGCCAAAAATCAATGGCTATTCATGGGTGTTTTCTTTAGTTGGACCATACATGTACTATTTGCGGCAGCCATGTGAAGTAATGGCACGCCAACCTGGTATTGTTAGATACTGTTCAATCGCTTCCGCTAGTAGTAATGCCGTCGACCTTCCGCGTAGCGGCCATGTCAGAGGGCATCTTTTGTTGTTTTAATTCAGTAACAGCGAACGCGCAAACGGTACACTCATGAAAATCCCCGCAAAACAAAGCAACTGTCCTCTAAGGTAGCTGCTATATTCGCATAATAAGGTCTATTCACAGTGGAATAGCGGGGTTTCACTTGTTGGTTGTTTCTTTTTCTGGAGAGGACATTCATTTTGTTCACAGCTTCAGTCGAATACAAGTGTTATTTTGGTCCCCCCCCCCCCACTTCTTAGCGGGAGGCTTGGCCACCTGGGGCTGGAGGGCACAGATTTCGAGCGGGGACCCGTGCCCCCGTGCTCCCCATCCCCTCTCCACCTCTCCGTTAGTTGCTATCAGAAAGCTCTAAATCGACATTAACTGTTTTTCTGCAGGTCATCGGTAAACGTAGTACATTTTTAAACAAATGTAAGCTGCACGATGAGAAACTCAGTTTATTGTGTTCTCTCGTTAAATGTAATTATTTTCGCCTTCGAAAATAATTTTTAAAAATTATCTGATTTTTGACTTGTAATGTTTCCTATATTTTTTACTCAATGAAAAACAAGGCCGTTGGAGAAAGACACTGACGACCGATCCCAATGAGCAGCCGAAGACGAGGCTCCTAGCTTTAAGGCCAAATAAAAAAAAAACATGTTGCGCGCCCTGCCTTTTTGAGAAAAAAGGAAGCAGGAAGCCCCTTTTTCCCTCCAAAATGTCCGCCCGACCGGGCTATTTTTCAAGATGGCCGCCATTTGTTTTAAAAATGGCCGCCTTTGGACTCAGGAAATGGCATACCAGCTTTATATGTGCTAGATGCAACGGACAAAGAGGCCAAAATGATATCGCTGTTGAAAATGTATCCTTTTTTTCGGTTTAACAAAAAGAAAAAAGGAAGCAGCCTCCAAAAAGGAAGCGGGTGGGGACGCCAAACATTTTTTTATTTGGCCTAAGCCATTGTATATGAGGGGGGGACCTTTGCCTTTTACATTCTTAGCACAAAACGAAAGCGCTCTTGCCCTCATTTACGGCCCTCGTAACCGTCCAGCTTTGTTCAGGTGTGTCCAGATATTAAAAGCCCATTGCTTGCATCTAGACTCAAAGAATGCCCGCGTGAGTATTCCCGGGTAAATAACTGTCGCAGAAAATTGCTTTGATATTTAAATTTCAACAACGGTACTGTCCATGATATTTGTATGGGCATCTGCCAAAGATCCTTCTACATTGTATAAGAGATAATATACGTACGTGCATTTACGTGTCCTTTTGTTCAGCTGGTATCCCTACTCCACCCGCACAGCACAACATCCGTGCAAACATCTCGCTGCCAGGTGGTATAGACCATTATCATGTTGCGGCCATTGGGTTTCTCCCATTCAAATCGACGTAACCAGAGCGAGGCTAGAAGGAAAATAGTATGTAGTTCCTTCTTGCACAAAAACCATTATCAGTGATTTTATTGGATACAGGGAACATGAATTAAACGGGGGTACCATGATGAAGGTCTATAGGATTACCGGCAGGTGTGATTCTTCCTTCTACGCCACGTTGAATTGTAAATCTTAGTACGAATTTGCAAGAAATATTGGTTGTCTTCGTTACAGCATTTTGAAGTCTACCCGTGATCTTCACCGTTTTTGATTTTTTTTTAACTAACGAACAATTGTTAATTTGTATGTTTTAGTGTAAAGAAAAGAGCTAATTATTTTCTCTTTTTGACGTTTTCAATCCGCTGAAGCTACGCTTTTATTTTCGGGCTGCTTTTGCACCCATTACGAACAAAAGATACGTCTGAATTACTTTCTGGCAGCAGATAGGTCTAATCCCCCCCCCCCCCAAAAAAAAGTCCCGCTCTGTGTTTACCATGGTTTCAGAACGGTTCGTCATCTGATTCAGGTCCAGCCAGGGTATTTTTAGACCCCTAGATTTGGCATTACCTCTACTACACGGGCCATGTTTTGTTGCAAGAAAATCAACACCTAGTACGAGGCGAAATTTTAAAACTTAAAATATTTCCAGTTAAGGCTCCCAAGAGATCATGCAACAAATCCGAGGTTTTGGACATCCCTCATCGCGCGCCCCGTACTGGACGTGTACCTTCCTTCATCCATGGGCTTATAAGAAACGGCGCCCTCTCGTGCAAAAAAAAATATGCTCTCCACTTCAAATGGCGCCCTCCTATTTGTGCCCGCCATACTTTAAAAAAAAATGCGAATATACGTTCTTGGTTGCAGACCAGTAAATAAACTGCCAGTGATGATTACCACCACTTCGTGACATTCAGGAAAAATACAACTCTCCAAGGTGCTCGAGACACGTAAAATAAAGCTTTTTTCATCATCTTTTATTTTGGGTATCCTATGACCTTTGGGAGCAATGACTATCCAAAGATGATCACCCCTAAAAGTAGTCCCGAAGCTCATCGCCATTTTGAAAAAAAAATGCCTGTACATGTACGCTCCATTACATAATGGAGCATTTTAAGGCAAAATTTCGTTCAAATTTCTATCACCGTGACAGAACCACAAGCTCGCAGTCCTAAATCTCATAGCCAAGGTGTGAATATTATGGTTTGATGTGATAGGTACCTACCAATAGGCTTATCTCGGTTGCTTTTCTTGGTACACATTATGGAGCCAATTCAAAGACAGCCAAAAAAAAAAAATTGAAACAGATAAATGCCTGCATGTTAAACAAAACTCCTCATGTCTTCTTTAATTTCCATCCACCAAGTAAAAGTAGAGATTTGTTGTAGGCCCTAATTTGTTGCATTTAGTGGTAGTGGCCACTTGAGGATCCACCCGAACCACTCCCAGATCCGCCTCCAGATGAATTGGAGCCACTCCCACTCCCACTGGAGGAGGAACGCCCACCGGATGAATTGGAGCCACTCCCACTCCCACTGGAGGAGGAACGCCCACCAGATGAATTGGAGCCACTCCCACCGGAGGAGGAACCCCCGCTTGAAGATTTGGAGCCACTCCCACCGGAGGAGGAACCCCCACTTGAAGAATTGGAGCCACTCCCACCGGAGGAGGAACCCCCACTTGAAGAATTGGAGCCACTCCCACCAGAAGAAGACCGCCCACTTGAGTTGCTTCCCGGGTTAGAATTGGAATCCGTGCTTAGTGTGCCTGAAAACAAAGCCAAGAAAATTAGTGCACGTTAATTGAGGAGGACATTAAGTCTATGTTTCAAACTGAGACAAATGAGTAAAAACTCTGGTCTGTAAAAGGACCAGAGCGCGCGAATGAAGTTGGAAAATGTTGCTACCGCAGTGCATTATGGTTTAGCATAAAGTAAATTCCGTATACCAGTCTGAATGCTGCTTTTATACTTAATAAATAATGTCGCCTCTTTTGATATTGTAATTTTCTCCTATACATACAATTACACAGATAAAATCAAACCGCCTTACAACTGTAGCGAACGAAGAGATACTTGTGCGTTCCCGGACATGGATCTCCAAACAAGTCGACTGAAGCACGCACTTTACACCACCGCTTGCCGTGGCATTTTCTTTTGACAATCTAAGGAATTTAATGGTGAGAAAAAGTCCAAAACATGGACATTAAAGCCACTTTCCTTAAAGAAAACAAAGCTGTAAACAAACACACAAACAAACAAACACATTTAAATAATTGAAACTGAAAAGATTAAAATATTTTTTTTACTGACCACTTAATGAGACTCCCTTCCTGTCATTCAAAATAAACTCACTTTGAGTCCGGCACCAGACACACAGTGCACACTCTTGAGCCAGTACGGGTCCGTTGGACAGACTGCGTTGCCATGGACACGGCCAAAAAGGGCGTGGTCAATGGCAATATGGTGGCCCTTTTTGCAGTCGATGTTCAGTGTGCTGTCTTGACAGGCAAACTTGGTTCGCATTATTGGGTAGTCACCTTGACAAAAAAAAGCGAAATGTTTTGAAAGGAATAAGAATGTCATTGAGATAAAGGCGGAGACTTTATATACGAATGATTCAAACTTTTTTTTTCTCCACAGTGATCAAGATAATTTAGAATACTATTTTACTTCTGAATGCTTGCAGAAAAAAAATCATGCAGGTCCGGGAATGTTGGACTTTGGACTTTTCATATAATTATTGGTGGAATAGTTGAAAAGAACTTGCCTGTAGCCTAAGCATAAGCTACTTCATTGCATGCAATGATGAATAACAAAAGGCAAGGGTTATACAGGGTGTGTCAAAAAATACGAAACCCAAATGTCGGGACTATTATTTTAGTGGAGTTCTACATGTAGCACTTTCAAAGTCAAGGATGTAAAAGCCCAATTCATAAGCTTTCTTGTAGTGCAAGATTCATTCAAATCACTTATGTACTTTTCAAGTTTCGGGCTTTTAAACACGACCACCGTTTCAAAGTTATGTCCACGGATGACACCACCTTCTTGCGTTTTTTCAGCAAAACGAAAACAATTCACACATCCCGATGTGATTTGTTTTCGTTATGCTGAACGAACACTTACTTTTGTGATCCGTGGACAGAACTTTAAAACGGTGGTCGTATTTAAAAGCCCGTAACTTGAAAAGTACAAAAGCGATTTGAATGATTCTTGTACTAAAAGAAAGCTTATGAATTGGGCTTTCATATCCTTGATTTTTAAAGTGCTACATTTAGAACTTCACTAAAACAATGGTCCCGACAGTTGGGTTTCGTGGGTTTTTTTAACTCACCCTGTACAGTCTGCATAGGCTATACATGTACAATCTAATATAGTCTTATAGACTTAGCTTTGGGATAAACGAATGCTCATCGTTGAATGGACAAGATACCGTAATCCATATTGAGTCCTCTTCCTATACACTCAAGTTAGCTTATCCAATAAAAGTTGAGCCAGTGCCCCCTACAAATCCTACACATGCAAGGGCGGATCCAGGGGGGGGGGGGCCAAAGGGGGCCATGGCCCCCCCCAAAACGAAACCAATTTTTTTTTTTTAATGTGACATCGCAATAAAGGCAGGCAATGAGTTCACCACCATCTTTTCCTCCAAAAAAATTGGTTAAAGTGGTCAGAAATTGCCTCAGATCGCACCACAGAGCATCTAGAATCCAAAAATTTTTCGGGGCCCTAGCGGGCCCCGAACCCCACGCCGTAATTTTTTAGACCCACTTTTGGGGGGGGGGACCAAAATTTTGTTTGCCCCCCCCCCAAAATTGTGTTCTGGATCCGCCCTTGTACACATGCAGGCAACTGGACTGTCGTGATCTTCGCAAACCTATTGCCCGTATACCCTCCAATATTCAGCATAACTGCCTAAAATAACCATACCAAAACTCACATGTGTAGCTCACTTGCAGGTATTGGCCGCTCCCTTCGCACTTGCCCCCGAAGAACCCTTTATTTGCCGGGACCTTACACCAACTCTTCCCCTGGCACTTGGCCCGTACGGCCAGCAGGGCGTTGGGCGTATAGCAGCCCGATAACCCGTACGAGCCGCAGGCTGTCTTGCCTGGGATGCGTCCGTAGTTGGCCGATTTGATGTTGAGACCCTGCCCGGCCGGACAGTTGATGTTCAATGTCGTCCCCTGGCAGGCAGTCTTAGTTATTACTGGTGGTCCTGAAGAAAATAAAATCAAGATAAAAATTGAATGTAGTAACGACTCTAGATTACGGAGTTGTTGGTTAACTATATGATCTGTTTTGGTTGTCAAAATGATGAATTAGGCCTATCAGGATGGCGTTATCGGCAGTGGGCTTATAACAAGATAGAGAGTGACTGGATTGATACTTTTGTGATTAAAAAAAACTTGGATTGGACCCGAAAGGTTGACATCAGAACATTTTGTATACTCAGTGACATATCAGTCATTCGGGGAGATAGTCAGTTATGCTAGGTTCACTAATTCCCGATTTTTAAGCCGAATCGCCATGCGCGAATGGAAATTCTTGAGTAAATCGGGGATGGTTCTTGACTGCCTGGGGGTGATTCTGTTTGTTCGGTGAAAGATCGTTAAATACGAACATGTTCAATATTTTCGGGGTGATTCGGGAACCAATTTCAATTCTTAGTTTATTCTTGTTGTATTCATAACTAGTTCGGGAGTGTGTGAACCTATAATATTAGTCAGTCACTGGCTTATACAGTCAGAGGACAGTCGGCCAAAAACCCCAAGCACTTGCAAGACACTCCTATATTATTTGCTACCAAAATTGAATGCAAATGTAGATATTACAAAGATCAGTAAAAGGATGATATTCAGAATGCATTCAAATTTGGCCTTTACTCAAATTCGTCTTAGAAGATTCCCGGTGCAGTTATGACCACCGTCACAATAAACTTGTTTCGTAACACTCATTCAATGGGAGGACACACGATCCGATCAAGTTTAAGGTAAATGGCATGGATATAGATGTGTATGACCGTGGCAAAGGTAGATCCAACGACGTGGCGCCCCCATCCAAGCGACACTCGATCATCCATGCCAAATCCCGGACTCACCGATTAATTCTCTCGATACATCATTAGGATCGCCTCATAAAACTTACCCAAATAATGCGACGCTTGTGCACGCACCACCAGAGTCAGCAACACCACTAATGCCCCTATGCGACACATGCCGGACACGGACATCTGCGATTGAACTCAGTGTCGAAAGGAAATTTGTTCCTCGTTTTCAAGCTACAGAATTTATACCTTTGAAAAAAATGCTCAGGGTCGATGTTGAGCCATCAAACACTTTTTCGAGAGCAGTATCATATCATTGCATCGGCCTCAAGTGATATCCTCTTCCCAATGCCACAACTACTCATGTGCTTAACCTCGATCCCAAGAGCAACACTGCTAGCACTTTCGATTAATTAACCTGATGGTTCTTTTTTTCCCATTATAGGTTACAGACAATGACGCCCGACAATCACCATATGATGGACTTCTTCAATCTTATTACCAAGGCTCTGTAAAATAGAAAAGAGTTAAGCATTTGGGAGGTGTTCCGGCAAGTTTTAAGCATATCAACACAAATGTTGAGAAAATAATAAAGGAAGAAAACAACGAAGTGAAAATAAAATTCAATATTGGGTTTTTCCCTTCGCCGACGCCTTTTTTATATTTTTATTTAAACGTTGGTGAAGAGTCAAACCCTATATTGAATATACATCACCCCGTCGCAAATTCCATGTTATGAATAGTCTGGATTCAAACCAATCAGCCTTTCCTGGCAAGCCCGGTGGTCGAGTGGCATAAATACGTCTGCACTAACAAGCAGGAGGTTGTGAGTTCGAATCCCGCCGGAATAATTTTTTTCTCGGGTCAACACTAAGTACATGTATACAGTGTTTATATAACAAAAAAATACGTCGGTAAACGGCTAAACCCAACGCTGAATTTTAATCGCCCTGACGAAAAATTCCATCTTATGAAAGTAAAATTGACTACGAAAAAAACCCCCCAAATAATACATGATAATTTGCATTATCCAAGGCGCAAGGGACCTCTAGTTTTGTTGAGCTCTTATTGTCAACGGTAGTGACAGAAAATTACAGAAACTGACGACTGTGCAAAAAGTCCCAAGACGTTAAGGACACTAAACGCGAGCTGAGTTGGACTTATTTTTTTTATTTTATTTTATTTTTTTTATTTTTTATTTTTTATTTAAAACCATCTTTAAAGAGGGTAACCCATCCAGCAGAAGCTGATCTTTTGGGGCCCTCACACTAATGGCGTCCAAATGGATAGTTGTCGCAACTCTCTCTATATGATTGGCTCTGGAATACGAGCATCTTAGTCAAGAATTATGGGAGTGTTGTTTGCAAGCTGCTTATTATGGCACCTGTTGATCCTTAAAGGGAAGATACAACATTTGCAAACATTACAAAACGAAATGATCAAATTATCACTAAATACCTTGCTGGATTGTTAGGGAATGACAGTCTAAAGCATCCTGTAAATCGTGGCTCCTGGTGTGCTGACATTTTCAAGAAAAATTGTATTTTTCCAACGCTGGTCGGCTGACCAGCGTTGGATTACACAACTGTGAAGGGGTACAAGCCTATTAGACTGACTCTCTGATCTTACAATTCACCAAAGTCTATAAATTCTCCGTTTCATCTTAAGTGGGGTCTGGGAACCAGACTACAAGAACATGAATGGTTTTCTTGGTTTTTCCAACATCTACAAGTCCAAAACGTGAAACAAGTCCTTTTAACAAATATTTGCTAACACATACTAATCCTCCAAATCCATTTATTGCTGAAAATTGCAGCAAAAGCAAATGTTGTACATTCCCTTTAAGTTAATTGCGAGGGGGAAAAAAGATGTGCACTGCGTATAATAATAAGGGCAGTATAATGTGTTTTATCCATATCATGTGTGCATTCATCCATTAAATAATACATGTACATGTACATCTCTGCTGAGTGGATGTTTACATAGTCCATGAAATGCATATTGTTATTGACGGAACTTTGATCAAACGCCTATACAACCAATCGTGGCACCAAATTTACAGCCAATACACTAAGAATAATCCATTATTTGTGGAAATACTACATAAGGCAATGAGAGGAATTTGTACAATCTTTTTGGGTGCTTGAGTAAAAAAAAAATCACTGTAGGCCTAAATAATTTTCAAGGCATTAAATGTCAGAAGTTGGACTCTAGACATTGGTTAAGTTTACAATTTCAAATCCATAAAAGTGCCCAACTTTACCACAGCAGAGGTGAATTGACAGAAGCCGGTAAAAAGTAAAAGTGTTAAAACTTGCTCATTACGAAAGGACTACAACGGGGCGACGACTGAACAAGTTTACTCTATATACGGTTGAATAAGCCCAAAGAACGGCATCGTTTCGTGGCGCGGATGCCGATCCACATATCCTTGGGGTATTGCTATTGATTGTTATGGAAATGAGCATACACCCTTCTACCTTTCAGCCAATACCAATTCAACCGGTGTAAGCTGCCTTGAAAAGATGGATGACTAACTAGTCCTACATGTACCTGTGTACACAAAAACAGCAACCTTTCTCTTTACGTTTCTTTTGTGGCGTTCACGCTTTCCTGCACACGGTCAAATTTTTTAGGGTGTTTTTGGGCATGGAATACTGCACTTCACCAACGTCATACCTATGGTGTTATTCGCAATTGCCGTGAACTTCGACTACGCCTAGCCCAAACTGTGGTAGTCATCGTACACTGAAACGTGTATACTGGGTGTGGTGTGGCTTTCCATTTTCTCTGTACGTAGCACTTTCTGTTGGCGTAAGTTGGGCCAACCTGGAGAGTTTTCCTTCGCCGACTCTACTCAACGTGTGTCACATCAGTAAGATACAAAACAAGGAATCTCAAACAATCTTCAAGTGTAATACTATTTGTGCTGCGTAGACTTCATATGGAAGCAGCCTCAGCTCAATCGACATTTTGATGGCGGAAACGTTATAAAATAGCGCCTGACTGACGTTGTGTTATTGGGCGTTTGTAGTTTCGGCAACACTAGAACTAACTGGAGGTTACACTCGGTGACTACAAGTTTTCGTCTAGTTTATACTGGGGTGAACCCCCTCACGATTACGGAGCTTTCTTGTGAATTGTTGTCGACGACAGACAAGGCGATAAAGAAAACTTCAAGAAGATAGTCCGGAGACCGGTGTAGGAGGCGAGATGGGTCGCCATCATCTTGGGAGTAACCTTGAGGCTACACTCTTGGTTTTTCTGGGACTCTGTTCGGTAAGTTAAAGTAGACTCTCATTCAAACATCATGTTTTTTATCTTCCACATTATTTTTTTGAAATTTATCACCTCAAAATTTACGGTTAAAACAGTGTCCTTAATTTTGTTTAAATTTGTTTGTTTTATTTAAATATGTTTTTGGTTATATAAATTTTGAAATACCGAACACACGTGAGGACTGATTATCATTTGAATTTAGCATAATTTCACTCTTCAAATCACTGAAATCATAGCCAAAGTCAGCAGTGGCATGTAACGTACACGACAGTCAAGAACAACAACTGAACTTTATGCCAACATGTGAGGGAAAGTCATCACAAGCCTGTGCCTAAATTCAATGCACAGTCACCAACACCCACCCTCTTAGAAAAGCAATTCAGTGGTGAATTTGTATGAATCTCGATGGACTATTCTATAGAAGTCTCGTTTTTAAAAGGAACCCTGGCTGCAACACAGATGAAAAATTGTATAGCGAACACCTTGAAATCGCGAGATGTGTCCGGTCCCGATGTACATGTGGTTTGTAGACCATACATTGACATTTTTTAACAGTACATTAAGGAAATGGGAAACTAAGAATGAAGCTTCCGACGTGGGCCGCATTATGGGGATGATTGTGCAACAAGATCTGTGAGGATACCTAGGCTACACATTGTCGTTGTGTTTCGTAGCAAAATTACATAAATTTATAATCGCTCAACATATCTGCAATGATTGACAATCATTGGGGTTTTGTGTAACACATCATGACTGTCAGTCATTCCTTTTAAAAAGTTGGGACTGATGCAGAATTATAATGATAAAAGTGACACCAGCATACTGAATTTTACTGCGCGCATTTTAATATGCACAACAAACTACGTGGGATTGAGAAGTTAGATAAAGTGACAGTAATTCGCAGTGCAAATTTGTATACATGTTAGGCTTTGAAGGTTATGCACGATAGGCCCTACAACAAGTGGAGTTTACATTAGCGCTGTTCACACAAACTGAATCTTAACAACTTTTCACTCTATACATGTATTTTATAACGTTTTCTAGAGATTATAACAATATTAATTAAACTGAGAAATCATCCCTTTCAATCATTGCGCATAAGTAATGTTTGTATGATGAAAAAGCTTTACAACGAAGTTCAGGACGTTAAGAAACAGCTGTTATACTGTTTTTTATTCTTTAAAGTTTCATAACCGTTCAAAATATTAACCTCTTTCAAATGGATATATCTCGTTTTGGAAATAAACTCTTCATATTATTGATCGACAAATTCAAGTATAACTTAGCAGTCCTTTAGAGCAGTACGATATCCGAACACATAATATGTTTTTATCGCACTGTGACAAGTATTAAATTAAGGCTAAAAGGGGGACTTATGCTAGGGCAGACATTCCCGAATTTTTGCCACGAATATCCCGATCTATCCCGAATAAACATTCTTGATGGCATCATTCATTCATTTTCGTTCATTCATATTTATTTCCACTTAATCATTTTGAAGGGAAACGGTTTAAACAATAATTTAGATAACAGGATAAGATTAAGCGGTGGGCTTCTCCAAAAAGCAAGCTTGTCAAGTGGAGAAGTCTATTATGTGTAGAAAAAAATATATTAATTACATTTGTTCCTTTAACTTACCTACACAGTGAAATACACACAAACACACATATACAAGGGACCAACACAAACGACAGGAGAAATTAGGAGAAGTTAGCCCCGATTCGCTGTCTTTAAGAATAACTTACGAATGAAACAGAAATAATCAAGAACAAGGTACGAATTGAACGCCGAATCAGACCGAATGAAGCCGAACCAAGCCGAATGATAGCGATTTAGTGCAGAATATACCGCATTGTTGCGATTTTGTCGAGAGTAGATGATACGAATAACTCAAGAATCATCCAGAATGACCCAAAATCATGCCGCTTTAGCGATTCGTAAGTTATTCTTATAAAATTCGTGCATTTCTTGATACATTCGTAATGATTTGGCATGAGTGGACTGTTAACACCAACAATAACTCAACGAAACTGTAAGAATATCCAGAATGATTTAAGAATATCCAGAACTATAGTTACGAATACAACAAGAATAAACCAAGAATTTAAATTGGTTCCTAAATCACCCCGACAAATTTTGAACATGTCCAAATTTGTCGGGACGCTTCCCGATCTTTAACGATCTTTCACCGAACTAACAGAATCATCCCGAGGCAGTCAAGAACCATTCCCCGATTTACTCAAGACTTGCTATTCGCGGAGATTCGGCTTAAACATCGGGAGTGTGTGAACCTAGCATTATTGTACCAGTGCCGAATTGAGGCCGATCGACTCCCCCTTTCCCGGCCACAGGCCTGTTGAATGGCGGACGAACTCTCTACCACCACTATTCAGTCGGCAAGAAAATTAGCTCATCGTATAGAATATAATCAAAAACTCTCAACTGTTTGTTGGTTGTCATCTTATTCATTTTATTCATGTGATATTCCATGTCTGAAGCTCTCAACTAATTTTTGCTGAGTATACATGTACGCGAATCATCTCAGCAGTTGCATTTTATTGGTAGATTTTTGATATTGGCCCTTTTAGTTTTCCAATTTTTTTGATGGGCCGATAATGCACGTTCAGGTACACATGTACACTTCTACAACTTTCATCAAAAACAAAACTTCATCTGCCACTTTCATTATACATGTACATCCTTAATAAATTCAATTCAGTAAAACTCGTCTCATGATCGCGTTTAGTATTTCAATATCTCCCAACCCGATTTCGATTTCGAATTGCTCTAAACAAGCATTTGTTATTGATTGATTAATTTTATTATTTCTTTAAGCATAAACTTCAGAGAAAAGAGACTTCATCAAAAAGAAGGCCATCGATTTTATTCTTAAAATTGTATAATTATTCACCATACTTGCTTCCCGTTGATTGTCAAACAAAATAACAAACAGCCAATTCAAAGAGAGGGACTTTTGTTTTATCCACTAACTCGTGATGACGTATGGTGTTGTTTTCCCCTTGTTCCTCATGTTTTGCAAGGTAAAACTATTTAGTATCGAAGCCTTGTGACATGAAAAAATAAACATATTAAATGCATGGGAATGCACATCAACGGGTCCATATAATAGATTCAGATTTGGATTATTGTTTGTTTAGATGTTGACAACTTTTGAACGCCTCCGCGAAAGATCACTGACCCGGCGCCAGAAACTGAATGGAAATATCACTCTGTCATTGGCTACCCGAATATAACGAGGGGAATGAGTCGAAGGGAGTGTCCCAGTCCTTATCTTTCGGGGCCTATGATTTTTACTTTTCAAAATTGTATCTCTTTATTTGTTGTCGTATACTAACATTATTCTCGAGGACTGGTGTTTGTGGAAGTTCGTCTATAAACAGACACGAAAATTAAGATTTGAGGCTTTGCATGGTGGAGTATCGGTATCGTTTCGGTTTGCGGTAACACCATGTGGTAATGCTTAGAAGATATTTAGTTCTGAAAAGAACTTGTCCTGCTTATTATCAACTTTCGCTAAGTAGTTTTTGTTCTGATAAGAGCAGTCCTGCTTTAAGTTCTAAAACAACTTGTCTTTGGTCTCAACGTTTCGACTAGCCGGCTCTAGTCATCGTCAGGAGATGACTGCCCACACGAAATGCCCACAAAATGAAGCATTCAGACAACCCGCAAAAGATAAACCAGAAATTCACAGCAATGTTTGGCCGATTCTTTACGTTAATCTCGCATCAATTATGGTATTTCTCATATTTTCTGAGATTTTATGTGTATATTTTCTGGTGGTTTATGGGTGGTCGGTGACGCCATGCATCTTTACAATGGGTCATATATGCTTTGCCGTCTGGCCCAAATCATAAGTTCTAAAAGTTAGTACCAAAATACGGGGTGTACTTTGTGTACGTAGTGCAAGTAGTACTCTAAAATATCAGTACAGGCTACCATGTATGCATCCACTGAAAATTCAGTTGTTTTTCATAAATTTATAGATAATTTTTGGGGGTGCTTGACCCACCCATTCCCGCATTATATGATGAATCAAATCATGATAATAAGAATTTTCCAAGTTATCAACTCCTTCAATCTAAAAAGAGATTTTCCTCGGTGCTGAACATTATTTTACATGTTGAGGTTAGTTCCTTCTCCGTCCCAACTCCAGCTATACTAGGCTAGTGTTCCAAGTTTGGTAAAGGAACGTTTGTTTAAAATGTAGATCTGCTTCTGAACTTTCCCAAGCGTATTAAGTCTACCACAAAATACTTTCAAAGTGGGTGCTTTGTGTTAGCAGTATAGAATAGATTGCCTAAAGGTATATTGTGCATTGTAATACCACCGGAATATGAATAGCTCATAGCCATGCATGCCTTCAGTACAGGCTGCCTTTATGGGCAATTCAAGGCAAAATCGCTGAAACGAAAACCCCGCAAAAACATTGAAATGGTAATTTCGGTATGTGGACAATGGAGTCTATTTTGTCCAAATATTTCACCAAACCCAGAGAGTGAACGGAGTCGAGGAAGTCGGCATTGTGCTGACTTTGCCGAAGCTTGTTGTCACGCTTGAATGACATCGAACTTCAACGAGCTCAGATTGCCCTTGTCAAATTTGTTGCGCATGCGCATGCAAGCCTCTTTGGATCGTATTAATTTGTAGCTCCGCATTTGCGTGCAGCATAATACACGAATATGATTGTATAATGTAGACGCTTCTTTATCATAAACAAGTGTGTATTCTTTTGTTTGGTTGTACTTTGGGTGGGAGGGGTGAAGGATTAACAAAATAATGGCCCGATGTAGTCAAACTGACGCCTCATCAGATTTGCGTCGGTTTTAAACATGCCTATGCCTATTCGTACATCAAAATGATTTCCGTATATGCAAAATCACAGGTTTCACTTTCTCTTGAAGATTACTGTAGCACGATAAGGCTACCGTCTTGAAGAGCCACACTGTAAAAACAGATCTATATGGAGATACAAAAAAAGTTGCATGAGAGAAAAAAGTTCACCACCTATTTGAAAACACAGTATATGCGGTGAACAACAGTCAATGTGTTTTGGGTGAGTTTGTAGTGTGTCGACGTTGCTGTTTAGCAAAAGAACTTGAAAAAAAAACTAAGTCAGCTATTAACATCGGATTTCGCTAAAGGGGGGAATTCTGTCTCAAAGCAAAAGCCTTTCGTGTACAAACCAAATTGGGCGGACGAAAAATAAATATAGGCATAGTCGATTGTATACGATTGATGTGCACTCGTACTCGAAACACATGCTCGAGAACAACTCTTCGACGAGTACTTTTTGAGAATACTCGTACTCAAATATCAAAATACTTGGTCTCGAATTCACGGTACACGACGTACTCAGTCGAGAAGCAAAGAAGAGGACTCGACTATTCGATCATAAGAACTCATACTTGATTATAACAGAGGGCCAGTAAATTAGTTTTGAATAAAAAATGGTCTCATCGAGAATTGACTTGCAAGAAGTCTTGCTCAAATGTAGTCCATTTTTCCCCACTTGAGTATAGGCCTACTCAAGTACTCCTACTCGGAGGTTCCTTCCTCCATGGTGGTCCATCATGGCCTACTTGGACTCGGCTTCACAAAACTTGACCTGGAATGTCCAAGTGTTGCACACGCGGGTCAAAATTCTCGGACGGATGAGAATGTGGCACTCAATACAGTACTCGGCAGTACTTTCATTCCACCGTGACAAAGCCTTCGGCTCGGTTGTTAAGCCAGCAACAAATTAAACCTGGGACACTCAGGCTCAATATCGGTCTATGGTCTGTTTCACGAACGTCAAATCTTATGAGTTTGGGACCAAACTATACACTATTTCCATTTCATTTCTCTTTAAATGGTCTTGATATGATGCCCGAGATGATGTCGAAGCCGGAGTTGAAATGAAACCGAAGTTTTTAACTTTTCAGTAGTCCTCATTATAGCGCCCTCAATAGTTTCAGGAGCGAACCGCGGCGGCGGCGCGCGCTAAATTAAACTAAAATCTGCGGCTGAAGTTAAAAACGCAGGATGATGAAGACCTCTGCACAACTTACCTAAAGTATAATTAAATGTAATAATTGTTAAATAACATATACACCCAAGATCAATGTATTCGGGCCATGAACAGCAAAGGAATGGAAGGGGACATCGTCAGACAGTGAAACCAAACTGGCACTGCATTGATTGAGTGCGTTTACATGGTTTATCAAGTTCAACCATAGGCTGCATCCGAATCAGTTGTCTAGAGCTAGGTCTAGGTCTGCGCCCATTGAAAATACGCGGGGACGCGCTGACAATAGACGTAGCCGTAGCTCTGGAAGCCCGTTTCGGACACGGCCATAGCTTGAGTAAACTCCAGCTCAAATGCCTATCGCATAATGCCATAGAGCTGGAGTTACTCAAGCTACTTCAACCATATGAAGACGTAAGGAAGAAGAAGATCTTTAAGAAGAGTGCGGACGCTTTGTTTTACATTTACGCAGTGCCAGTGCTGTGCTGGCTATAACTGGCACTGCGTAAATGTAAAACAAAGGAATGTCGGACACTTCGCCCCATTTCCACGTCGCCCCATGTCACTTCGCCCCTAACCACATCGCCCCATCCCCACATCGCCCCATCTCCGCTTCGCCCCATCCCCACTTCGCCCCATCCCCGCTTCGCTCCATCCCCACTTCGCCCCATCCCCACTTCGCCCCATGTAGTATGAAAAAGGTGAAGGCTAGTCTAGGGGTGCAGACAAAATAAACTGCCAAAGACCCCAGATAATAAATGCTCCCAATTCTAGAAACTCAGGAAAAATACAAACTCTCTGATGTGGTGCTAGAATGTCGGACACTTCGCCCCATTTCCACGTCGCCCCATGTCACTTCGCCCCTAACCACATCGCCCCATCCCCACTTCGCCCCATTCCCACATCGCCCCATCCCCACTTCGCCCCATTCCCACTTCGCCCCATTCCCGCTTCGCCCCATCCCCACTTCGCCCCATCCCCACTTCGCCCCAACCGTTAAATGTAAAAAAAAAAAAATCTCATCTATTTTTTTGGCTTAAAAAAAAACAATTTCAACAGATTCACTAACTAACTAACGGAAAGAATTAGCCCATCACCAAATGAACAATTCATAACCAACCTCTCAAGCTAGGCTCTCCCCTCCGAGAAAAAAGCTTGAAGTAAAAGATCCAACTTTGTTCCCAACCCGGCTATACCAACCCGTCTCCCACTTATCTGAGAACGACAATACCTTTGACATCCTAATTTCACTCTTGGAGGAACCAATCTCATCTAAATGAAGTTGTAAGTGTCACATATCAGACAAATTTTGACGGAACATTTTCCTCAAGGCAGTGAGTTCCTTTTAACTCACTGACCCATACCGATTCTTTTGAATCCAGCGGCTGATGATTTTATTCACAAGCCAATAGGAGAGGCGTCTCTGAATGGGATCTCTCATCTGTGTCTCTAGCACCACATCAGAGAGTTTGTATTTTTCCTGAGTTTCTAGAATTGGGAGCATTTATTATCTGGGGTCTTTGGCAGTTTATTTTGTCTGCACCCCTAGACTAGCCTTCACCTTTTTCATACTACATGGGGCGAAGTGGGGATGGGGCGAAGTGGGGATGGAGCGAAGCGGGGATGGGGCGAAGTGGGGATGGGGCGAAGCGGAGATGGGGCGATGTGGGGATGGGGCGAAGTGGGGATGGGGCGAAGTGGTTAGGGGCGAAGTGACATGGGGCGACGTGGAAATGGGGCGAAGCGTCCGACACCCATCTACCGTTACGGTGATGGACCTATAGTCTGGTTCCCAGACTCGACAATATTCAACGTCAGGACCTTTGGCTACAGGATAGGAACCAGACTATATAACTGAATGGTTCTCGGACTTTAAGTTTAACATGTTTATTTCCCTTTAAAAAAAATTCTTACGAAGCCAGGGATCACTAAGATTAAGAAACAAGCGCGAGTGCACAACAACAAGCTCTAGTTTGGGAATGTCTCACAATCATAAGCCAAAATCGGATTTTTGGTCAAGTATTTTTGGTCCACTTTCGGAGACAGACAGACGGACAGACCGACCACCAAGTGACATGTAGCAGCTCCTGCCAGAGCTTTAAAAAAAGAATGGAAAAAGTAGGTTTTGATTAAAATAAAAACATAAAAGAAAACTATCAAAAAAAAAAAATTAATAAGGAAAAAAAATGTCACAGTGTGCATTCAATTCTGGGACCTTTGGCATGGTTTTCCTGCATTGAACCAATCAAATGTAAAGCGCTGTGGTTTTTGTGCGATGCCTTAACGACAGTAGGTGAAAATTGCGTTTTGGCTGGCATATAATGATAGCCATTTTCTTTTTTAAAGGGGGGGGGGGGTTGTGTCTGTTTGTGCTAGTGCCTCAGCCTTGAAGGAATTTCAAGGATAGGATGATAATGATATATTCATTTTATTTTTTGAATGAGCGAAGGCGTTGTTTAGATATCGATATCACACTTTTAAATAATGTTTGTTTAAAAATTGTTGCAAAAGACATTTCTCCACATCCTGGATATCGGCAAAACTCTGACTGCTACTATGCTAGTGCTAAGTACATTTTGTGTTCACGTTAGTTGAAGATATTTTGACAGTCTTTTGTACTAAAGCAAACCTTATTTTTCTCTCTCTTAACAGGTTGCAGCATTGCAAACAATACGGGGTAAGTAAAGCTATTTCTGTTGTTATTTTGGCCTACATTTAAAAAGGCCTAGCATTAATACCAATGACACACCATGCAAATTGTAATATTTAATAGGTACCCTGGTAAGGCACACTTTCTTGACAATGGTTCGAAAATTCACACACATTCCTTAACGATGCTCTTCGACTACAAGTACCTGGTACAAGTATCCTCGAGGTACCAGTTTTCGAGGGTGTAAGGATTTATTTCAAGCAAGAGAAAAACACCGACATAGCCTTTGGTTTCCACATTTTTGGGCTGGCTGTGGAACACGTACCGCACACACAACGAATCAACTGGTTGTGTGGTACAAATCTGCGCGCGTGCGTCGCTACAAGGTCAAACCTTGAAAACTGGATGCCTCGAAAACCTGAAAAGAGTGAAGTATTTTTTTTGCGGGTGATTGTCACCACACCAGTTAAAACCACTTTGAACTTATTTTCTGCATCCTAAAGGATAATTCAAGCCAATAATAAAGGACAAGTAAAAGCCCGCTTCCTTTTTTAAATCAATCTTTGCAATATATTTAGGTTGTTTTTACGTTCTTCCAGCAAACTTGTAGCTTTGTATGCAAGTTTAGAATTTGTTTTAAGGCATTTTAATAGCTCATTTGGTCAGCAAAAGAATCTAGAAAATGGAAGAATACCTCTTGGAAAACCCGCCATCTTGAAAAAAAAAAGGCTTCCTCTCTTTTCTTAAAAACTGTTTAAAAAAAAAATTGGCCTTTAATCTAGAACTTGGGTTTACATCCGCCATAGCTAACAATGTGTTTATGTAGGCCGTTGCAGCGTGCTTGAAATGGTAGGCCTACCTATGGTTGCACTTGCACCGAGTTGATCTCCAAGTCAGCTAGATCCTGATTTCGGCGGCGTATTCAAAAAAACATAAAAGGTTGCAATTGAATGTGTCTTTTGCAGTCATCCCTCTCTGATGCAAATGAAAAATAGACATGAGCCACTTTAAATGCTCAACAATGTCCATGAGGTTTGGTGTCGAGTGTGACAGGGGGGGGGGGGGGGGGGGGGGGGGGGGGGGGTTACCCTCCTCTTGGGCCACAAAACAAAAAAATAGGAAAATCTTGCAGAAAAACCACAGAACATGCCTGTACTAAATCCTTGGCAGCAATTTCCCCACCCCCTTGGTCCAAACCAGGATCTTCCCCTGCTTAACCACTTTCTTTCGACACTTTTGTCAAACAGTTTCCAACCTAGCTGTGGCTTTCAACGACGCCACCAACGTAATCAAGGAAGGCTCTGCCATGCAAATGTTTGATCTGGATGTCTCCATCACCCTGGCCTCCAACAGTGAGCATGCAGATGCCAATGGCGTCATTGACAGATGGTCCCTGACGCTTGCCGTACAAGACAATGCGGGCACGGCTTGCGTGACCGGCCCCGTGACGTTAACAGCCGCCCAGTCAGGCGTCGCTATTCGGGCAGGGGGCCTGGGCACCATGAGGGCAGTCTCAGCCAAACTGGACCTGACTTCCTGCCTCTGCTCTTCGGCAACTCAGCTCAAGGTGACGTTGGGGTCAACTCGCTACACGCTCGATCCAGCCATGCCTTCAGGCACCGGATCGCTTGATTGCCATGGTATGTTACTTTGGTGGGGTCACTGCCATGTTTGTAAATGCTACAATGTATATGCCTTAATTGGACCTGTTCAGTGGTAGCCAAAGGTTTCTCATGGGGAATCGGGGGAGGGAAGGGGGGCAGGCAAATTCCCCCATATCTTACCCGCTTTGTACCACATATTGACTTGTTAAAGAATGATATACGCTATTTTTCAGACCGTCAGTTAATGATATACATTTAAACTGGTAAAGTGGTTAAATTGTTTAACAAAACAGTTTAAAGGAGTGAACATTTGTTGACAAATTTCAAAAATGTGAGTTTTACTGACAGAATAACTTTGGCAGATTTTCTTAAAGGCATATATGGGATCATTTGCTTTTCATGCATTATTTTGTTTCCAGCAGTTTTCATTTTATTCCAATCAGCCGTTATTTCCATAATGCCGAAATATATGAAATAGCATAACAAAGAGAAATAATAAATAATACAATAAATAACTACTAAGATTAGTAAGGTAGAAAGAATGATAGATTATAGAGTGGCAATTATGGAGGTATCTTTTGAAGCCTTTAGGGCGAGATGCCAAACACTGATCGCAATCCAAAGTAGAATGTTCAAAACCTAACCTGTTGAAGTTTCAGCTCAGTAGATAATACACTGTTAGAGAAAACACTGAAAAGCCATGCACAACCTTTTTTTTTATCACAAAACATGATTTTGTTAATGTTACTTCTTATTAATAATGGACTGACTGATCGTTAGAAATCACCTACATTTTTCTTGATTTTTTTCTTAATGACAGTGAGCCAGACAGATATTTTCACAGGGTGCTAAGTACCAGTATGATCTTAAATACAAATATTGTTTATTTAATTAACCCTTGTCCCTAACCCCTAGTAGTTCCTCAGGACTACCCTGCTAAATCCAACAGAGTCCAACCGGGGTTTCCTGCTCAATCCACTGTGCCTTATTTTCAGTCGTCTGCTGAATCCAACTTAGTCCAACATGGCGTTATAATGCGGTTCAGTTGCCTGCTGAATCCAACATTTTGCATCAGGAATGTACACAAGGGGTTTACTGCTCAATCCAACAGGCTCCATCGGGTATATGACATAGTTGGATCCTGTTGGATTCAGCAGGGTTAGCGTTCTCGCTACATTAGTTTTGGGATATTGCAGATTAACCTATATATATGCCTTTAACCTGACACCAGCCTTGATGTTTTTCCTTTTTTGCCGTTGTTGACGGCAGCAGATTGTGAAGGTGACAGCGCCGCCTAATTCAGACTGTATCGATTCTTTAATAACAGGTCTAGCTGCTCGTACCCTTACGGTAATAACTGCCGGTGCCAACCTGATTGAGAACGTCAATGATCAGCCCGTCACGCTGACCATTGTGGGCAACAGCGAGTCGCAAGGGCGCAGCGTCGGGACGGGCACCAACGCAAACTGGGCCGTGCAGGTGTTCATCGCCAATGGGAACTTGACTCACTACACACCCATCGAGAGCACGCGCGCCGATGCGACAGTGCCACCTGCGGAGGCTATGAGGAGCTGGGCGGCCGGGGACACCCTGACAATTATAGGAGTGACGACCATGCTGAATCTGACCGGAGTCGGCAGCTGCGACACGATCGACGTTCTCTGCAGCTCCCTGTATCGAGACCCAAGCGCCACGAATGTATTCAGCGTCGACGGAGGGAACATCGTGTCGTGTACCCCTGTCATATGCATTGGTAAGTCGCACGAGCTGGACTTCATCCCGTGGAGGTGCTGAGCAGAACGTAATCACTCAGTTAATTTACAGGCTGAGGATGTGTTAGCAGAGAACCAGTTTCAAGCAATATTAACAATGCATGACATTTGCACTGGTAACCTGTTTTGCGTAGCCAAATGTTTAGGTGCTTAGCAAATATCTGTGCACTCCACAAAGCCCGTGGATGCGAAGTTTATCAAATCAACCATAAAACGTACTCTTTCCGATATTTGTGTATAGTTTGTCAGTTCATTCTGCTTCCCCCTTGCAATCTGATTACTATTCAAAAGGAAACATGAGTATAGTGATTACCAAATTCCCAGTTCCTAATTTTGCAGAGTTTAAATTTTAATAACTGTTTGACTTTGGGAGTGATCCCTGGCCAAATCACGTACAGGGTGGTGCAAAAAGAAGGAAACCCACCTTTGACAGCAATTTTCACCTACTTGTTGAGCATTTTTTTTAGTTTTCAATTTTAATGGTATTGAAATATTGATCTTCAAACATAAGTGATGAAAAAACGATCGCAAGTACGTATTTGGTCTCTGACATATGGCAATTTAAAATTTCATGAGCCAAACTTGTTTGTCCATGGAAAGTTGTATTCCATCCGCTTGCCCGAGCGTGGCTACACTAGGTTTACACGTGGACAACTGTGATCTTGATGACTTGTGTTCAAATTAGAAGAAGTGGGCTTCCTTCTTTTTGCACCATCCTGTATAGAAACTGGAGTCCTTTTCTTTTTGCCTGATATGCACCACGTTTATGTCTTTTTCTTGGAAAGGTGTCCTGATAAACCAAGTTATTCCGGCCTTCACCCAAGCTACAACCATAGACCAAGGCAAGACAAACCCTAACATTCCGCTGACTGTGACTATCAAGGCAGATGACACCAAAGCCTCCGTATCCGGTAAGCAAGAATTTAGCAGGGTCCAAATCTAAAAACTGCTTTAATAGCAAACTTGAGTGCTTATATTAGTGGAGATCAACAGAGTACCAGTCACAGTAGACATTACCTTGCATTCGGGCTGGTTACCTGTTTTTGCGAAGCAAAGCCATTTCTATGCTAAGCAATTGTGTGTGTGCTAAGAAGCGTTTACATTTGGTAAGCAGTATATTCTGCATATATTATAAGCAGTTTATTGTGTAGGTCATGAATTTAAATGGGAGAGGTTATTCCTAGTACCAATCGTCATAACAAGTGCATTAGGACGTGCTTTGAGACTATTACTTTTTTAGTGCTTAAATTTGTTCTCACTTTGGGGTAATCCTTATTTTTATGACACCTGTATTTTTTACGAGTTCTGTTCTAAAGTGACTTCTCCAGCTGTCTGTCCAGTACCAAAGTGACTTTTGCGGGCTAAAGCAGACTTGTTTCTTCAGCTAAGCTCACGTTACTTGTAATTTTGAAAGCACAAGATGTGACTTTCCCACCTTTATTTGCAGTTTGCCATCTTGGTTTTTGAATCTGTTTTCTGTTTGTCATCGCCGTCGTCTTTTGCCCCTTAATTTCCCTCATAACTTCAAAGCCCTACCCTCTTTCCACAAAAAGTAAACCTGCGGATATTCAAGAAGGCATCATTGTCAACTGTTCAGACGTGTCAAGAAATATCAGAATGTCACTTTTGAGTGTCATTTAGTCAGCTGTTTTGTGAGTCTTTTAACCTTATAATAGGAACGGGTCCTAAAGGTAAGGATTACCGTCACTTTGTAGATTTCATAACATAGTTCTCCTACATAACCGCCCTTCAACATTGCACTCGGTCTCCTGTCAAAACCAATGCAAGAATGTTCTTACTGTTCGTTATTTTTATCTCGCATTTGAGGGACTGGACTGTGGAATGTCAACGTATTTGGTAACGCCAACGCCAACTGCATGAACCCTACGCGTGTACCCGGGACAGCCACCATAGTGCAAGGCGTCGACTACGGGCTGGACGTCAACCATATGTCGGTCTGGCCCTTGGTAGGTTCACAGTATATAGTCATGTTCCCTAACGTGGCGCACTGTGTAGTGTTGCCAAACCTCTTTGTTTACAAACCTCAAATTCATGCAGTAAAACACTAGTACATTTACCTTATTGATGCTTGCTATTTTAACCTCTGTGAACAATTTCAGTTTCATAAAATTTAATCCGTAATTCAAAAACGGTGGCGTCCGGAAATTGGGCACAAATTGGCGGAGTGTTCCCTAACGTGGCGCACTTGAATAAATCTCGGAAAATTCCAAATTAACATTTAAGAATTTCAGTAAACTTGATAAATTCTGATAAATAATTATTATCTCTACTTACATACCCAGCAAGATGTTTGTCAGAAAATTATTTTCTTATTTTTCGGGGCATTTTCAAAGGGTTCACTTTGCACTTGAAAATAAAATCTGAAAATCACGCCAAAATAAAATTTTCTTCTAACTTTGTTACGGGTAAACAAATTCGCGATTTATGAACAGGAGTGTTTAGAACTTGATGAAATTTCACTTTCTGGGAAATTTCAGTTAAAACTTTTGCTCTAGGTAGGCGCTACAGGCGAAAAATCAAAGTGCGCCACGTTAGGGGCCGCGCCACGTTAGGGTACATCAACAATACATGCCGTAAATCCCTGAAAGATTCCCATATCTGGCCATCACTCATTTTTCCCTTTAGTGGCCTATCAGCAACCGGAAAGTGATAATATGTCCTAAAGAGTCAAACTTAGCAGGGAAATTAGTATTGAGAAAACACTTAGAAATGTTCAGACCAGTCTCATACTGTTTGTGCACAAGGTGACAAGTGATGGCCAGATATGGGACTCTTTCCTAAATCCCTCTTTATAGACGTAACCAAGGACGTAATACTTTACGAAAAAATGTCTCTTCCTTAACATAGCGAGGGTGTTGATGTGTCAACCAGGGCTTACATTTATGCCTTTGTGGCAGCCCTTATAAAATAGCACTCCGCGTTTATAAATAAAAGAGAGGTCTCTTAGCCAGGCCTTTGATGAGTTCAAAAATGGCTTAAATGTCTAATTTTTTTCTCTTCACGTTTCTTTCTTTTTCCCCGCCTCCTTTTAGATCACAGTTTCCCTGAACATGGGTGAGCACAGCTGCACTGACGCCGAGTACATCTGTGTTGAAGTTCTGAAGGGCTCGACTCCTGCCCCGCCCTTCTCGCTATCCTTCAGCCCCGAGTTTGCTAAATATGGTTCCGTTGCTGTGGAATGCGTCGGTGAGTGTCGAAGAAAAGCCAAGAAATGAATGCTTAGCCCTCCTCTGGCACTTTTTTCTGTTGGGGGCGGGAGGGGGGAGGAGGGGGAGGGGGGTCTAGATTCTAACATGCCCCCACCATGGGGTTAAATTGTCATCCGAAGGCACCACATAAGGGCACATACATCTACCAATGACTTTGCCTGCCAAACACCATCTGGTTTTTTGTTATTGAGTATGAGTAAACCAGTTTTGTATTTTGAAAAGTCTGGATGAATTTAATTTCTTGTTTAACATCCCCCTCAGCGTTGATCGTGAGCAGCGGAACCCTTAATGTTAACGCAGCCACACACCTGGCGGCGTTCAAGGAAGACCACATGATGCTGTTCAGCGTCACCTTCATGTCCTCCGCGAGCAGCGGGGGAGCTGGAGGCACAGACTTGTGGGAGCTGGTGGCTTTTCCGGCACAGAATGCCGATGGCTCGGGGAGGAGGGGCCCGGACACAACAGTGCCACTCACATCTGGTAAATTCATGATGTCTTTTGTTTTCAACAAGCCTAACACCTGTTTCAGACAGATGTTCCACACTTGAAGTGATTTTGCCTTTTCATGGCAAGCCCACCCTGGCCAGCCCAGCCCAGCCAAGCCCAACCCAACGCAGTCCAATCCAATCCAATCCAATATAATCCAATCCAATCCAATCCAATCCAATCCAATCCGATCCAGCCAAACCCAACTCAACCCAACCCAACCCACCCCAACGGACCTTAAACCATCCTGAGCAAAGCTCCTAGCCCAACCCAACCCACCTGCAATCGGGGACCCCCTATTGTAACTCTTTTGTTTGTACTCTAACTATTTAGGAAGACCTCCCATATGTTTTGTAAACGAATCCAAATTGGGGACCTCGTGGAAATAGGGGACCCTATTGTCCTCTAGTAATCAAAGTCCCCTATTGAATGCAGAAACAAACGCACCTCGACCCATCCTGAGCTAAGCTCCAAACACAACCCACCCCAACACAACACAACCCAACCAAAATTACCCAAACCCAACTCAACCCATCCTTACCCGACCAATACCCATCCTCACCATTCAACCCACCTGAACCCAACCCACCTGAACCCAACCCACCTGAACCCAACCTACCTCAAACCATCCTGAGCTAGGCTCTCAAATCAACTCAACCGAACCTAACCCAAGCCAACCAACTTGACCCACCTCAACCCAACTCAACCCATCCTTACCCGACCAATACCCATCATCACCATTCAACCCACCCGAACCCAACCCAACCCAACCCAACCTACCTCACCTACCTCAAACCATCCTGAGCTAGGCTCTCAACTCAACTCAACCGAACCTAACCCAAGCCAACCAACTTGACCCACCTCAACCCAACTCAACCCATCCTTACCCGACCAATACCCATCATCACCATTCAACCCACCCGAATCCAACTCAACCCACCTCAAACCTACCTCAAACCATCCTGAGCTAGGCTCTCAACTCAACTCAACTCAACTCAACTCAACCGAACCTAACCCAAGCCAACCAACTTGACCCACCTCAATCCAGCTCAACCCAACTCAACCCATCCCAAATCACCCAAACCGAAATCAACTCACCCCTTCCCAACCAATACCCATTATCACCTTAACATGTCTCTGTTTTTTTTGTGTTCTTTCCAGGCGAGTTGAACACTGCTTTTCCAGGACCCAGTGGCAGTCTTACCTTCAACGCGGTCACAGCAACCATTTCACTGGCCAGCAATCCGTGCAACACTTACAGTCACCTGTGTGCTCAGCTTACGAAGAACGCGAACGCAAACCCTGATTTCCTGATTACCAGTGGCGTCATCGTGTGCTCGGCCGTACTGACTTGCCAAAGTAAGCTGTGGACTTGATGTTCAAAGATCATTAACGTTCATGTTTGGGTTTGTGTTGTATGTGTCCTTTATGCAAGACACTTTGTCCCTAATTTGGCTTCTCCCAACCCAGCATTAAATACGTACCTGTGAGCGCAGAGATGGGTACTTTCAACCATTTTGCTCATGGTTTATTTCTTGGCAAAATTTTGAAATTTGCAAATGGCAGACTTTCCCAGCCAAATCTGATATACAGCCAAATGCCACAAATACTGATTCGCAAGAGTGATTTCAACAGTATTTTTACAATATTTCTTGCCGAAACCTCATATGTTTAAATACTCTGCGCTGTGCACTGGAGCATAAATTGTACAACAATAGGCCATGCACATCGGCACACACACCAGTCCGCTTCCACAGTCTACACAAACTTTGTGTGTACGTGTTCATCTTTTCAAACCGTGGACGCAAAATTCCAGAGAACAAAAGAGAACAATATCGTCCACAATTCCCATCATATGTCCGCGACTGGGGTCGTGTACAAAACCTATGGGAGTCTTCCTAAAAAGTTGGACAAACAAAAGAGGGACAATAGGACGTCCACGATCGACGGTGAACACACGTTTGCATGTGTGTGTGTACAAAAGGTATGAGGGACTAGCCTGTTCAGACGTCATACGGAGGCGAGACGAGGCAATCTTGACGTCTAAGTAACCCGTCAGCCGTGCCTGTGCAAAAAACAGCCAGTGCGTGTTATCACAGCCTCTGGCGCCAACTGTTTAAATGACTTTAGAAAGCCTCCTCGCTTTGAAATGTCAGCATCGCGTTGAAAACTGAGCTGACATGGTGTTTTCAAAGTTTTAAGGCATGCATGCATGTATTATAAAATACACATTATTATTTGCTCTCATTTTCCACTCAGACGTGATACTGACCAGTACCACAGTCTCCCCCTCTGTCGGGGCATCCCCCAACGGCCTACCCCTTTACGAGGGTGTCAGCGGCCAGGAAGTCTTCTTCGATGTCGTGGCAGCGTCCGACTCGACCGCTGGGAGCGTGCCCAGCGGATCAAACCACTGGCAGTTTGACGTGTCGCTGGGAACGTCGAGCGCCACGGCAGCCCTGACTCAGGTTCAGCGTGATGCCACACTCACTGCTGGCACGGACCTCGCATTCACTAGGGTTATGGTGAGTCACTCGTTCAGATAATAAAAACTTGACTGTCCATCACCAATGAGCTGTTAAATGTAAACGAAGAGCTCAAAACAATAAAAATATGAGTCCAACATCAGCTAGAAATTAAAAAAAAAAAATAGTTACATAGTATTTTTCCAAGCTCTGAAAAATCAGAAATGTTTGACAATCTCAAAAAGTGAATTTCAGTATGTCTACTTTATAAAGCTTTAGTATCTGGAAATATAAATACGGACTTTTAAAAATAAAGAATAAGAATAATAACGCTCGGGTTTTTTTTGTTACAGCCTTTTAACACTTTCTTTATGTTGATCTGATTTCCTATATGCAGGCAACTTTAGATCTGAGTACCCAGCGCTGTGACGGGATCGGTAACCTGTGCGCTGAAATCGTGAGGAGTAGTGCCGACACTCTAGGTTTCTTGCTGGACTCTCCCCAAGCTCAGAACATGGGCTGCTTCACCCCAACCTGCCAAGGTAAAAAAAAAGCCACAAAACCTCAGGCATCCCACAATATCAACGTTAAGAACTTTTTTGTACTACAATAACTAATAATAATTTGGGAGGCTAATCATCCCTACTCGCAGCTGGTATGCTGAATTGCAAAGGACACGGCTACAGCATGGTGGAGCCGAAGGCATGTAAAGGCGCACTTTAGCAGCCAGCCTCAGACGGCGAGAGGAGAGGACTGGGCCCCGCCACTCATATGCCGCGCCCAAGACACAGTGGACCTCTAGCATCCCACTGCTCCTACGGCCAGTAATGGCTATGGGATCTTGACCTTTACCTTTTACCACATCGACCCATATATGGCCACGGAGCACAGCCTGAGATCAAAAGTGTTTGCTATGTCAGTTATAGTCTATGAAAGGGGTAAAAACTGGCCGGTTTTTGCATGCTCTGTTCTCCTCTCGTAACGTAATCGCCGATCACATTTTTGAGGGTTGTTGTTGTTGATATGATCACTAGGTGTTGAGATAACCTCGCTCGTCATCAAGGACGGCGTGACCAACTTTGCCCTGAAGGAAGGCACGCAGGGCCACGCCATGACCTTCTCCGTGGACGTAACCACCAACGGTGATGCCGGCAGCGTACGAGGAAGTAACCTGTGGAAGATGCTCGTCTACCTGTCTGCGGATAACACTTACAGCAATCTGGTTGAAGCTAGGGATGTGACGGGAGCTTGGGCTAGTCAAGGTAGACCAGAAATCAGTTTATGAGTGGTTCATATATTCGTTAAAGGGAAAATACAACATTTGCAAACATCAAAAAATAAAACTACCAAATCATTTTGAAATACCTTGCTGGACTGTTAGTGAATGACAGTGTAAAGCATCCTGTAAAATCATGGCACCTGGTATACTGTCATTTTCAAGAAAAGTGGTATTTTTGTATCAATTTCCAACGCTGATCGGCCGATCAGCGTTGGAAAAACTGGCTTTTTTTCAAATACTGGCCCCAGTTGACCATCGCACTCGTTTGCAATCGATTACACACCTATGAACGGGTACAAGCCAGCTAGACTGGTTTCCTGACCTTACAATTCCCCAATATATGTAAACTGCTCTGTTTCTTCTTAAATGGAGTCAGGGAACCAGACTACAGGAAAATGATTGTTTTTCTTGGTTTTTATAGCATTTTCGAACCCAAAACCTCAAAAAAGTCAGTGTAACTATATTTGCTATATATTTCCAACTCCCCAATTCCATCCATTTCTGAAAATTACAGCAAAAACAAATGATGTATATTCCCTTTAGTACTTATTTTTGGGACTCCTGTATTTGTGGGGTTTTCTCAGGTTTTTAAAAAAATGTCTATCACGATCTTTATCATTCCAAAACTACTTTTGCAGTCTCAGGCAGTATTTTTTATTTTCAATTCAATTCAATACATTTCAATTCAAAGGCAATATTTATTGCCACACTTTCCACAAGTAAGTCAAATTAAATTTTCAAATAAAAGAAGGTAATTATATCAATAGTATAAATATTAATAGTACATATCTGAAATTACAAACGACTAAATATACTATAGGAGGATGAAAAGTATGGCATATAAACCGAGGCTTGTAGAGAACAGCCTAACACATGTAAACAGACACAGTGTACACAGACAGTAGTAGATTAAACACGAAGACAGTAAGAATAAACAGGAAAACAAACAGTATATAATAACAGGGCGTATATAATTTTGAGCAGGACTTAAAAAGAAAAATGTAACATTCTTAACAGTTTTGGCCGTTGAAGACGTGCGAGCTGTAACAGATCCTGGTTGTCGGACCGTGGTTGTGGCTGTTCTTTCTAGTAAACCTACACCCTGGTCCCCTCTCATTCTCGTCTAATCAGAGATAATGTTACAAAAACACCTCACTCGTCAATAAATAGCGCCCTTCAGAACATCACCCTGCACGCCCGAGGGCTGGTAGTTACTGAAAGACGACTTTGAACACGTGCTAACTATTGAATAATGTAGTCGTACAGTTTTGAGCTTACTACCTACAGCAATGGGTGGCGTTTCCCTTCTAGTTCTTGGGGAAATAAAAGCCGCTTGTCGCTCGTCTGTTGATATTTTGCAACAACAATGTTCGGTACGTTTTGTTCAAAACAATCAGGACCCAAGGACGATGTTCGGTATAGCGGAATGTTTGGTATAGCGGTGTTCTGTATAGCGACGTTTCACTGTAGTTAGATAGTTTGTTAGTAACAAACGCTCCATCCAATGCAGCCTTGCATGCATGGGTAGGCCTTTAAACCTCTAAACGCTGGCTGACGGCAGTAACCGCAGCTCAATAAAAGGCGATAATCTTGGGGATCAGCAGCATGCCTGCTGCATAGCCGCTCTTTAGGCCAAAAAAAATAAGTCTCCGGTTTCTGGTATGCGCGCGTGTCGCCGTAGCCATGCGCGTCGGCAAAATGAAAAAGTTTTTTTTCCAATAAAAGATGATGTCTCAAGACTGCCAAACTCACTGGTTTGACTGGAATCCTGCTGCTGCACAATTTTAACGTGTTTTTAGATGGGGATATGATCGAGAATAAGCTTTATGTGGCCTCTCTGAACTCCCATATATTTTCACTAAGTTTAGTCGGGCACCAATTGCAGTCCTCAGCCGACATTTGAAGCAAAAAAACCAGGTAAAAAAAAAAAAAAGCCGCGTCGCTGCACCACTTTTTGGGCATGCTCCATACCAGAAACCGGAGACTTTTTTTTTTTGGCCTGAGTAGACAACGACCAAATTCCTGCACATACACATTCCACGCAAAGCGCAACACAAATTCATTGGTCCACAGTTTCCGAGATCATTTCAAGCTTACTCTTTTTCAAAACTTAGTTCAGGTTGGAAACAGTCATAGCTCTTGTGTAAATTTGGTTGGGGTATCCGTCAAGGCCTTTGCAAACTCTTGAAATCTCTCTTTTAGATGTACTGGCAGGGGCGACGACAACACTCACTGACGTCCAAGTGACTCTGAACCTTGACACAACCTGCGCCAACATGCAGCTCTTGTGTGTTGAGCTGGCAAAGGCCGACGGCCAGACGTTCATCCTGGATCCGGCCCGAAACGTCCTACAGACTTGCAAACCTGTTCCCGGATGCAATGGTAAGCCATTTTCCTCTCTAGACATCTTTTCTGTTCACTGTTCGAGGCCAGTAATGTATTTTGAAAGCATAAAAGGAACATTGGCGAGTCCCCGAAAACAAATCTCCCGATTTCTCAAGAAAATCCTTGATCAAAGCGATGAAAGGACTGGTACCAAAAACCCTTCGAAGCTATTCCCTACTGAAATTGTATCATTCAGAAGGAAAGAGTTATTAATAAGGGAATAAATGTGTGCTCCGGAGGTTTCAATCACTCTGTTTAAGACCGCTTGGATAATTATCAGCACCCAGACTCCAAGCGGTCTTAAACAGAGTGATTAATACTGACCTAGCACATAATTTATTCCCTTTCATAAATCCCTTTTTGGTAAAAAAAATCTGATTTTGTTTGACAAGTTCACTTCATGTTTTTTGAAACACCCCTCTAGTTAAATAAAAGAGTAAGATGTAAACAACTCCTTTTATGGAGATTGGCGCGCGTGTTGCGCGTACTGCACAATGTCGCGCAGAATGCACCTGGGGCGTAGCGTTTTGAATAAAGGACTATAAAATTCTGACTCACTGGTAGTGTTGCGCATGCCTACGTGAGGATTGTGAACGTTCACCCAATAAAACGGTAAGAGGCACTGGTTTTTTAGGAGTCCAAATTTCATGTGAAACTGGAAAAGTGTTTAAGACCAGCTAGCCATGTCTTTAGCATCCGTTTAAGACCGGCCACATGATGGGCTCTCAACCAATAGGAATGGGTAAACTGTCATTGGTATTTATGAATGGTGGATATGAAAGAGTGTGCCCCCTATTTTTTAATGATATTTTTGATGCATAAATACCTGAGACAGTTTAGCCATTTCTATTGGTCGAGAGCCCATCATGTGGCCAGTCTTGATGATAAAGCACCAGTCAGAAGTGTTTAAGACCGACCAGCAACAAAGGTGGCCCCTGAACAGGGACAATAACATTCTGGTTTCGAAAATGTATTCTTCAAAATTTGTTGGTTTTGAAGTTCAAAAAAAACTTTTGATAAAGAACACACAATTCAGCTCGGGTCATTCTCAGTGTCCAGATTCCAAACCGTTCTCAAACATCTTGTTTAAAACCAACCAAACAAATATTTATTCCCTTATCAAATACCATGAAACTAATCTTCTCATTTATTTTAATAATGTATTCATTTTTGTGGTGCAAAATACATTATAAACTATTTGTCTAAATGCCCTTTCCATGTAAACATTTTAAAAATACACTTCAAATAATGAATTAATTAGCATAAAGAATCCAAATGTCTATAAAAAGCACATATGGAGAACTAAGGAGCATTTGCCCACTCGCCACTAGTGGAGCTCTGTTTACGTGGGAAGACTGGCTCATGTCTAGGCGCTCTGAGCAAACTTTCGTTAATATGCGGAAAGTATGTTTGTTAAACTTACTTCCTCGCATCGCATTATAAAATATATGTTTTCCTCTTTCAAATGAATATAATTTCTTCATGGTTAAAGTCGAATAATGATATGCACTTTTCCTTTGCAAAGCGGGCAACTCAGTGAAAATGTCGTGTTTCCTATGGAGGTCACGGCACATTTTTTCTATTTTTGAGGGTGCGGGTTTACTTCTTCGAACGGCACACGTGTGTTCCGGGTCGAATACAATTACCTCGCACGGTTTCTGAAAGAGAACACAATAAGCTTTCCTTTCATGTTACAACCGTTTTGATTAGTTGAGAAGAACCAAGGGCACTTTTCTTGTCAAATCAGACATCGCTTTTGTTCTGAGGATCGACCTGCTGTTTATGTATTGTCCGGTCTACGCAGTGGGGGCTATGCAGGTCGCCTGGTCAATGCACCGTTGTGTGTGACCGCAGAGCATGCAGGGCTTTGATTTTCTGCACATATGGGTGGCAAAGTTCTCCATATGCAGAAATACATTATATACATGTAGTAATAAAAAAACTTAAGTTAAAAAAAAGAGATAAATTTAAAAGTAAACCCCTTTAACAGAACAAAAATTTTGCATACGTGTGCATCAGAGGTGTAACAAGATAACACAAGATGAGACACAAAAACAATTGTTCATTGTATTGATTCTTTCAGATCACGATTAAGACAGAAATTGTTCATCCTATAACAAAAAAGGAAAATCTTTATGAGTGTATGCAGTATTGGAATTTGAACTGGCTTATTAGTACCACAAAGACTATTTCCTCAATCCGTTTTGAAACTTTCAGACTCACTTCATTCCTCGTCCCAGTAAAAGTCTGAGGCCTGCTTTGGAGTGATTCGGCCCTGTTGTTGTTAAACAAGGCGTTTGTTTACGGTGTAAAATCACGGATCCTAGACACCAGGATAAACGACTCGGCCCAACTCCTGGTTAGACGCGTGATAACGGCCTGTACTGGTGGCAAATACCATGAATACTTTTCAACAAAGACCACTGTGCGCGGTGGCTTTCAGATTTGCAAGGCTCTGCGCCCGATCCGGCCTCGAAGTCTGTCAAGCCAGCGAATTATATTTTTGAATATTCATGAGTCTACATTTTTGGTCTTTATTATTGAATTCTGATAAGTGATAACTACGTAAGCATGGTAATGCCGAGCACAATATCTTTAGCTTTAAGATGAACAATGAAATGTCGCTTTTGTTTCATCGGTTCGGCATCACATCTCTTTAAAACTTTTTAATAAAAGCCTCATTAAAAAAGAAATTTGGGTAAACGGTGTTCTCCTCGAAATTTGACGTTTATTTCCTGGGTAAATACTTCATCTATGACGACAAAAACTGCACAATACCATCTGTTATATCCTGAAGTATTTATTTCTTAAATAATTTGGAAAAATTATATCTTAAATAAGAAGTAGTTTTGCTTACTGTTTTATGAATATTTCTGTTTTAGATGTCATGCAAAAACCCAACACAATGGCACATCTGGAAAATTCGCGATTACGCATCAACGGGTATTAATGCCCGTTATCACGCGTTTAACCAATTAAGGCAAGTCTGCTCAGTGCATTTTGTACTAGAGCTCAGAACAGTCGTTTATCCTGGTGTCTAGGATCCGTGGTAAAATCGAGGACACACACGTGCAACATCAAAATGAATTGAGGACAGGAACCAACTCAAGGACTCTCGGTTAGAAAATGTGTGCAAACCAATGGAAGCTGTTGCAATAGAGTGCAAACAAAGGAAAAGGGAAGAGGAACAATGGAAAATCCTTGATTTACACCATAAAAAAAAAAATGCTGGTTCTTGTGAATGTGTTTAATTATCTGACCCAACAGGCATTGAGATTGACAGCGTATCTGTGGCTCTCAGCAATGGTGGACTCCTCGTCGAGGGGGTGGCTAGCAACGCCCCCGAGGTGGACATATTGCTGACGTTCACGGATACCAGCGCCAGTGTGACGGGCACCAACATCTGGAACGTGACCATCTACGGCAGCAACAACGAGGCAGGCTTGGGGACGCGCATCTCAGAGCAGAGGTCAGTCACCAGCGGGAACACCGCTGTGGGGGAAACCAGGCCCTTGGACAGCATTACCTGGAACGTGGATATGACCAACCGGCTGTGTGTTGAAGTGACGCACATATGCGTAGGAGTGGAACTGGTTACCGGTGCCTCGGTTTCTCTGATTCCCAACTCGAATCTTAAATGTTCTGAGGTACCCTGTGAAGGTAAGTAGATTGTTGATGTACCCTAACATGGCGCCACCCTAAGATGGTGCACTTTGATATTTTGCCTTTCTAGAACAAAACTTTACCTCCAATTTCACAGTTAGTGAAATTTCATCAAGCTCTAATCATTCCTGTCACAAATCTTGTGTGAAATGTATTCCACAAGTTCAATGTACAAATTGTACACACATTCTGGAATTTGTATTCCTGTGGAGACATTTCTTTGTTCTCGTGTAGTAAAGTTTTCGAGTTTGAAATTGAAGTTTCAAAATGCTCTTATTTTAACCAGAATTAATTTCCTGGGCTGAAATTTGGACTAAATATCCCTTTTCTAAAACTCTTCCATTTGCGACGGATCAACCTACCTTGGAAATTCCTAGTTTTTGAGTAAAATCCATATATCTATTTCGTGAAATTCTTGTGGAGACGTATTCATCTATAGAAATGTTCTTCTGGAGACGTATACAATCTTTTGTTCCCTATTGTGTGCATGTCTCCGTAAGGTAGTAAATTCCAGCACGCTACACTGCATGTGTGTGACACATGATATACAAGTACACACAGCACCAGTGTGCACTACATTTGTAAGTTATTTGTCGCACGTTCGCAGAATGTGCTGATGGAACATGTGCGACTGGAATCGCGAGTAGCACCCAAACATACTCGATTTTTGAGAGTCAGAATTTTAACCCCCGAAATTTGTTCTCGCAAGAGTCACACAAAAAAATGGCAAATTTTTAAAGGATGGTTGTGTCAATGTTTAAATCTTACTTTTAAATGCAGTTCAATCAAAATGCATGTTGTAACCCAATTGGTTGCTTTACTGGGTGTAGTGCCCCTTTAACCTCAATCACCTTCGCTCATACCCCCCGCCCTGCAAACAGGACGCTGGGATACGCTGATGAATTCACACTCTGATTGGATAGATTTTGCATGACCTGTGACCTGTGAGTCATCATGGCTACGACTCTGCAAGGTTTTAAACGGCCGTTGAAAATATTGATTCAGTAGTCTCTTATTGCAATTCATAGATTTTTTTTTTCGTTGAAAAGGGTTCTTAGGTAGGAAAATCTGCACAACTGATCTGTGTTGCAAATTTTCAATTCTCATCACTTGCTCAGGTTCCGTTCGAATCCACGGCTAATGATTGCATTCATATGCGACCCTCAAACATTATCCACATGGTCCGCAATGAAAAAGAAATCACATCTGGTATGGAATGTTTTTCCATTTCTATGACAAAGTTTTCAGACAGCGTTTGCGCGCATTGGCTCACTGCGGTCTTGAACAGCTTCAGCCACATGCTGTATACATAGGTCATGATAAATTACCCAGGATGCCATCCCCACGTCCTTCACAAGATGCTGTGAAGTTCATTAGCGTATCCCAGCGCCCTGTTTGCAGGGCGGTGGGTACGAGCGAACTCAATCACCCTGCCAGAATTAAAAGAAATATTTGTTGTGATTTTTTTTTTCTTGTTTTTGCTTGCAGGAATTGTCATAACAGCGGAACAGTTCAGAGTGAGTTCCGGTGGAATCTTTGAAGCCATGACTCCGCAGACTCTCGCCGTTGATCAAATCAGGGCTCAAGCTAAAGCTAATGGTGCAGTGATCCCCGGTAAGGGTTGCTACATAAATCTTGTAAAATATTATTGAATTTGTTGAACTTTAATATTAAAAAAAAAAAATTATATTCTTTAGACCAAAAAAAAAAAAGTCTCCGGTTTCTGGTATGGAGCTTGTCCAAAAAGTGGTGCGGCGACGCGGCTTTTTTTTTTTTTTTTACCTGACTTTTTTGCTTCAAATGTCGACTGATGACTGCAAATGGTGCCCGACTAAACTTAGTGCAAATATATGGGAGTCCAGAGAGGTCACATAAAGCTTATTCTCGATCATAACCCCATCTAAAAACACGTTAAAATTGTGCAGCAGCAGGATTCCAGTCAAACCAGTAAGTTTGGCGGTTTTGAGACATCATCTTTCATTGAAAATTTTTTTTTTTCATTTTGCCGACGCGCATGGCTACGGCGACGTGCGCGCATACCAGAAACCGGAGACTTTTTTTTTTTTGGCCTTAGATAAAAGAAATGCTGCCACTTTGCTAGATGATTTGGGCTTAACCCTAAACGCTCGTTTTGTGTCAATTTTTATCGTTTTTATTCTTTATTCCTTTTCTTCTTTATGACAGTTCTTTTCTCTCACTTCTTTGAGCAAAAATCAGTTGACCCTTCAGATATAAAAAAAAAGGATCCCAATGAGTCCCATATAGTTACATTTGTAGAAATTTGTAAATTTTCCCTTGTGATGATTTTAGTTAGTTTAGATACTTGTACATGAAAACAACCTCTGTGGTGTTTATGCCCTTCCTCTTTGGCTTGATTTTCCTTGGGAATGAAGTTTACATAAACTCACCCAGTCTCCAACACTCTGAAAAATCTTACAAGCGATTGGTTTCCTTTTTTCCATTTTTAGATAACATGGCCAATATCTGGGATGTAGCGCTTTTCCTGAATTCGGCAATGAACGGTAGCGGGACCACTTACGGTGGCATGGTAAACCCAACGGGCTCATTACCAACGGCAGACCAAAGAAAGGGCATCAACAGCAGTGCCCCCTTGATGATCACCACCCAACTGAATTTCGAGTTCACCCAGAATGTCGTTTGCGGTTCCAACCTCTACGTCTGTCTGGAGATCTCGGAGAGAACCGACGCCATCCCGGATTACGACATCACGTTCCCACCTGATGCCCAGTGTAACCCCATCAGCTGCACAGGTACGAATAGAGCAGTATTACTTCCAAGCAAAAAGGAATCCTTGATCCTGATTGGCCAATTCATGGCAACCACAACGTGGTATATTACACCGTATTGTACGGTCTGTATCGCAGGGCACGTATCAAACGCTTTTCAAACGTGCGCAACTATCACGTGCATGGAAGTACATTCGAGGGATTGACATAGAATTACAGCATTCATACTGTGCATCGAGTTTGAATGAAGAAAAATTCATGTTCTCAGTAGGGAATGGATGAGGGATTCAAATAAAAAAGAATTGACAGAAAAGAATAACGAATTATGTTCGATTTGAACTTATACAGATTACAAGTAGCTTAGAAATAGGATGGTTGGGGTGATATTGAAACTACAGGGATGAACTTAAGACCTCTTTGATATCTTGTGCCCGTAGGGGTTGTGTTTGTGTCAGCCAATCTGATGGTCCCGGCCGACACGAAGCTCATCGAGAACGAGCCAGCGCATCCCGTCCGCGTCACCTTCCAGGCAGACACAGCCGCAGTCACGGCAACTCTTGACTCGGGCACCAACTTCTGGACCCTGAAGGTCTTTGCCAACACGCAGGCGAACGGTACCGGGGCCGAGCGCTACGGGGAGACCGAGGGGGTACTGAGCTCGCAGCAGTTGAACTTGGCGCTGGCGGCATCGTCGACAATCGAGCTGTCCGACATCGACGCAACCTTGAACCTAAACGGGTTCGTGTGTCCGTCTGACATGATTTACCTCTGCGCCGAGCTCCAACGCAATCCCAACTCTGTGCCTCCGTTTACCATCCAGGGCATGCCAAGTCCCCTCATTGCCTGCGAATTAGTGGAATGCCAAGGTAGGCTTTTAGTTTTAGATTTTCAGATTAGACCCTCTTGTTTCTAGACATTTTTACTAGACTTTGCCGTCCTGAATGTTTGTGCGTGACTTGTAGCTTGGGACGTAGTAGGTTTCGGAAACATAGGTTCGACTATCAGCTCTGGCTTCGAGAGATTTCAGGCACTCAACTAAAGTCAAATTCAACATGTGGGGCTCTGGCTCAGCATCTAGGAACATCAGACCCCCTTGTCAGAGCCAGCGTCAAAGAGCATTTCCAAGGGACTAGCTCCCCTTGAACAAAGACATCAATTTCCAACTTTTCCAAAGAGCACCGGAACGGCAAACTGGAGGTCACAGCTTCAAACCCCACTCCAGTCAATTTCTTTGTTCAACTTTCAAAACGATTTCCATTCCATTTAACGAAAAGGCCACAATTTTGAAACCACTGGAAAGAAGCACTGCTGCGAAATCCTTACAGTGCAGTTCCAAAGAGAAAGAAAACTAATCCAGTTTTTGACTTGAATGGATTCGAACCTAGGTCGCAGAACTGGAAGTCTAATATAAATCAAATACCACTGTACCAACCAAACATGGAAAACCACTCCCACTTCAAAATCAGAAATGCCTGAAATGCTTTTGTGCCGGACAAAAGGTCTGAAACCTAACCATGATTGCCATTGTTCACATTTCAGACAATTCCGGTTCATACGAGGTGTCTTAAAAGAAATGTCACAGTCAATCTAGAAATATTAAAAATACTAGTACTCTCTTTTTGCAAAGCAGTCTGAAGACCGTGTGGTAAGTGCTCTACACAATGGTCTAGATCCCATCTCATTTGGACCCGCAAGTCCAGAGATACAGCTTATTAAAAGAAAGGACTTGAATTCCAAGTTCCGTCACTTGGCGCATGTAAAACATGAAAGGCATTCACATACCCAGAAGGTGAACAAAATGGCCCAAACAGATTTTTGACAGTCTTTGCAAGCTTTGCCTTAACTGTTAAGCAGACGGTCCAAAATACACGGAACATAAACTCCTGTCAAGGGCAAAGAAACACTGTATCATCTCATGGTAAATTTTTCACACAAAAAAATGATGTAGTTTCCTCAAAAAAAAAACTGTTGTTCGACTACTACATTTTTTTAGACACCCTGTAATGTTCCTTAACAGGATGCTCCAATAACCATTTCCTTGAAATTGTTAGGCATGTTTGCTTTTTTACCACCTTTAACCGCCTTTTACCACTTGTTACCGCAGTATTATATTGCTAGTTACCATAGCATCGGTTCATTCAATAATTCTCACACCTTTTCTATTGAAATTAACGGCCAAATAATCATTGATCTGTGGCAGAAAACATGGAAATAGTAGGAATTTTCGAATTCTAGTTCTTTGCGGCACCCATCTTGGACGCCATCTTGAATATTTAAAATTGCTCAAGGGTGACAGGTCCACACCACCCTAGATCTCGATATATTCACCCCAAAGATGGGAGTGCTGTGGAGTGCTGTGGCCTCGTGGTTAAGGGACTGATTCGTGGTCTGCTGGTAAAGCTGCAGGTTGTGGGTTCGAGTCCGGGCGGGGTCATGGTGCGTGTGCCCTTGGGGCAAGGCACTTTGTCACTGATTGCTTCTCTCCTCCCAGGAGTAAATGGGTACCTGTGAGGGCAGAGATGGTTATGTGATTGATTTAGGCGAGCCATCAGATAACAGACCGTTCGGGTACCGGGTCCGGTATGCTAATTTCTTTCACCCCAATCGGTACGAAACCAGAAGTCACCCGGTCACTGAAGCGTGACGCCCCAATCGGTCCAAACTGGTGACTCAGGGTTTCACAATAGGCAACATAAATTGAAGTCTGGCCATTGTTGGAGGATTATTCGGCCCACTGGGATTACCAGCGGCAACTTCTATGAAGCTAATCACAGTCATTGTTGCCTACTGGAGGATTAGCGCGTCGCAAATTGGTTCCTTTGTGATGAGCCAGAGCCATGGTGCAGAAGCCTGGTGGAGTTAATCCAGGCCGATCGGTTCCATGCAAGGTCCCAATCCCTTCAACATACTGGGCGGGCTCAACCCCGAACGGTCCGAGGAGGGATTCTAATTTGAGGGCTCGCCTTAGCTTGCTTGCGCCTAACAGGCAGCTTCGAGCTGTATACTCCCCAGGGAGCTGAGATGGTATATGGAATGTTTAATTGGCCCAATGATCAGGGGTAATAATTATACTGTAAGTGCCGTGATTTAGTTTACTAAAAAGGGCGTTCTTAAATGCCGATTATTATTATAAAGATGAATAATCAGCAAAGAAAAAACTGTATCAAACATGTTGGGGTCGGGTGGAAATTTGGCCTTTGGCTGCCGGACTTTTGTTGACCAGTCGGTTTTGAACCTTTTTCCTGTGGATTGTAGGTGTCCTGATTACCAGCATCGACATCGCCGGAGCGCCACTAGCCGTCGTTGAGAGTGAAAGGAACGACATGACCCTGACTGTCACTGTGGGGGTCGGTGGAGCCGACGCCTCTGGTACCAACCTGTGGAGAATGGAAGCTTCGCTGGTTGATGACAACGGGGTAAATTTAGATAGAGTCCATTTTTGGGGGTATCTTACCAGTATTGCTTGTTGGAAACCACCAATCTTTGGGACGGAACAAGAAATAATGAATGTACAACCAACTTGCATTTATGTGTGTAAGGGTCATTTCATAAATTGAAGGCATTCTGGCATTCTGCGCAAATGTCAAAATGGAGAAAGATTTTATAGAAAAATAAAAATTGAATGGCGGTAACCTTTTCTCAATTTTTCGAATTTATTGATATTTGTACGTTAAAGGGGACAAAAAATTGGCCTCTTTCATTTGTGCGGCTACAGAACTCGCCACATAAAAGGCCTTTTCCACAGTATTTTTAATACTTTTTAACATGTCAATAAATGCCAACTTTATTGCTGTATTCAATTTTGCAGAAACGTTTACTTGCTTTATTCAAATAATGCATTTCTTTTTTTTTTATCGTCTTGTTCCCTACCTCAGATGGAACTGGCTACTGTGGATGTGAACTTGGGTGACCAGGCCAATTCAGCTGTTGTAGCCGGACAGCCAATCACATTCAGCGACCTGCCGGTGCCTTTTGACCTGACCAATCAAGTCTGCCCCGATAACGGCACGGTCATGCTGTGCATCGAGCTGTCTAGGGGCGGCAGCGCCAACACCGATTTCACCGTGACTGGAGTGACGAGGCAGTGCCTGGACTTGCCCTGTAAAGGTGAGAACCGTCTTTTTTTCCCTGATATATTTTAGGATATTTTATACCCTTCAAAGTTTATACAGCGTGTGTCAATAAAAACCCAGGATTCAAAGCGATTTTTTTTTCTGAGAAAATTATGCTACTGGTGTGCCTAATTTGATAAGGATTTGATTGTCCATAATTTCATCTTTGACAAGATTTTTGTTTGGTGGAATTTGGACTTTTGGTTCAAAAGTTATGACAAGTTTTGTGAAGCCCTTCTGAAGCGGGTTGGTCTGATTCAATGACCTTAACACAACGACCAGTTATGTACAATGCAGATATACATTGAAGACAATTAAACCAGAACAAAACTTTCTTTGAAACAACTGATGATAAGTATCACTTAAATTTAATAACTGGACTATCATTGTTTCAAAGCATCATAAATGTCGTCTCTGACATATCAAATAACATTGATTGTGGACTAAAGGATTATGTAAGCCTAATCCTGCCACACATGTCCTTCTTTGTGATCCACAAATACATTCACCTGTACTGAATTCAAACCTTTCATTGGGTATGTGTGATTTCACAAATCAGACCAGCGTGGAATTTATAACCCTTCTTCAATGTACTCTATCTCTGGACAGGATTGTCCAAATGAGATGGGATAAAAAGCATAGTGAAGAGAAGGAAAGGTACTTTGAAAAGAGGGTTAACATTATGATGAATAGGGGTGGTTTATATTCTTAATATTTTTGTTTCTAATCCTGTGTTTTTATTGACACACGCTGTAGAAGTTACAAAGCAAGCCAGGTATTAGTTCAGAAAGATTCCAGTAAGATCTGGGCATTTCAAACCAGATGGGGCAGAATTGACTGCAAATTTGGGATTGGAGAGGGGGACACTGGAGGTCACAGCAAAGCAAGATGTTTTGTTCAGTTTTTTTTCTTGAACTTTCCTGAGACCTTATTGATCATGTGTACAAAATAATATATAGAGAACTTTCTCTGCACTTAAGAAATTACAGGGGTCATCTCATACTAAAATAACATGGACAGAATTGTTGTTGTAAGTTGACATGACGCTAATTATCGCGTGCACAAATTTACCCAAATCTTGTTTATATTTATATAAACCTAATTTGGTTTGAATTGTGCAGGGATTTGGAGTGTTCACCATACTCCACAGGAGATAACCTCAACCGAATTAGAAGTGTGGGCGCTAACTCAGACTAGGAGAATTACCATATCACATGCAGTGGGAAACATCTTGTTACCTTATGTAACATCTTGTTATCTTGTTAACTATCTTATAATAGTTTATGCGGTACCCTCTGCTATGTACATCAGATTCGAACCGGCCAACTGATCCCGTTAGCTCGGTGGTCGAGTGGTAAGACATCTGCACTAGAAAGCAGGAGGTTGTGGGTTCGAGTCCCACCCGAGTGATTTTTTCCAACTTTCACTCGGGAGGTAACACACTGAGTATACAGTGTTTAAAAATGTCGGTGAAGGGCAAAACCTTATTTGATTTATATCACCCCGACGCAAAATTCCATCTTATAATCTTGTTACCTTTGTTTGCTTTTATGTGTTTTTTTTCCAGTCATTGAAGCAAGCTAAATTTTGTTTCCTTTTTTTTCTCCAGGCGTTGTTATTGTTCAGAGTGCCATCAGTGCCTCGACAGGCTCCCTCTTGGAGGGCCGTGCCAGCAATCCCATCACCCTCGATGTCTCTTACACGTCGGATCCAAACGGTGCCAGCATCAGTGGCACCAACCTCTGGTCTGTCACCGTATTTGGCAACAACCAAGAGGACGGATTAGGTATGTTGAGACATTACGGGTCGAAGCCACCATTGCATATGCACGTCTTGAGTCCGTTTTTTATCTGAATGTGCATTTGCACATTGAATGCAAACGTACATTAGGCCAAAAAAAAAAGTCTCCGGTTTCTGGTATGCGCACGTCGCCGTAGCCATGCGCGTCGGCAAAATGAAAAAGTTTTTTTTTTCAATAAAAGATGATGTCTCAAAACCGCCAAACTCACTGGTTTGACTGGAATCCTGCTGCTGTTGCACAATTTTAACGTGTTTCTAGATGGGGTTATGATCGAGAATAAGCTTTATGTGGCCTCTCCGGACTCCCATATATTTGCACTAAGTTTAGTCGGGCACCATTTGCAGTCATCAGCCGACATTTGAAGCAAAAAAATCAGGTAAAAAAAAAAACACAGCCGCGTTGCCGCACCACTTTTTGGGCAAGCGCCATACCAGAAACCGGGGACTTTTTTGGGGGGCCTTATCAGTCTCTTTTTTTGTCTATACATCAGATTTTGTAGAGTGATAAAACTGAGGCATATTGTTTGCAGTAACATTTGAGCGGAGTAAAAAAATAAAGCACTAGAATTAAGTACTGCTGTACTGAACTTGTTTGGTATTATTAATTACAGCTTTAACCCTCATGGCCCATTAGCCATCAGTCCATCCTCAATCCTACAAAACCCTCCAACAGCCAAAATGTAAAAATTGGAATCACCCTCAATTAGAGTTGTTATGACTTGAGTCAATGACTCGACTCGAGTCTGACTGGAGTCACAATTTTTGCCATTCAGCGTTTATCCTCCAAAATCCTCCAAAACCGCCTGGAGGATTGAGGAGGGTTAGGGTTAACATCCTTTTGACTTCAAGGACAAACCTTTTTGGTGGATCCAAAGATCTTTGTTATTTTTTTTTTTGTATCTAGAACCTTCTCCTGAATTAAGAGGTCTCACCTCTTTCAAACCAATCATACGTGATTAAATAAATCACAACAAGAGGGTGACAATTGATAAATTAGATGCATTTCAGTCTTTCGATATAACCGTACTGCGGCCACATGCAGCAGATAATTAGTTATGTATGACGTCATTAGATCGCACAAATTGATGACCTATCTGTTCGTTTGGGAAACCTTTCTTTGTGGATAACATTTTTCAGTATGCATTCTTTAATGATGAATCTTTTACAGGAGCCCGCTTGGCTGAGACAGATGGTACCCTGCAGGGCAACGATAACGACTTTCCCTTGAGCAAAGGGGACACCGTGGAATTCAACAGAGTGGCTGCGACTCTGAACCTAAGCCCTTACCGGGTCTGTGAGGATGTCCACTGGGTGTGTGCTGAGCTGAAGAAAGGAGCTAGTCCCAGTAAGGACTTTTCATTGACGGACACCAACAATGCCAGGATTGCTTGCATTAGTCTGGCCTGCACTGGTAAGAGGGTCCATCACAAGTCTAGCACAAGTCCAATCACAGTTCAAGTACAAGTCAAATCACAAGTCAATCATAAGTTGATCACAAGTCAATCATAAGTTGATCACAAGTCAATCATAAGTCAGTCACAAGTAAATCACAAGACATTCACAAGTCAAATCACATTTTAAGCATAAGTCAATCACAGGTCAAATAGAACGTAATCAATCAAAAGTGAATCACAAATCAAACCACAAGGTACCTCAAATGATAACTTTATCACAGGCAATCAAAAATCAAATCACAAGACAAGTTAAATTACAAGTCAATCACTGGTCAAATCACAAGTCAGTCAACTGTCAGTTGTATTAAGTCCATGACAAGTCAATCACAGGCCAATTATAAGTCAATCACCAGTCCATCAAAAGTCACTTACAAGTGAAATCAGAAGACAAGTCAATCGCAAGTCAGTCACTAGTCAATCATAAGTCCATCACAAGTCAAAACACAGCTCAATTACAAGTCAAATCACAAATCAATGTAAGTCAATCATACATCAATCATAAGTTTAATCACAAGTCAAAAAAATCAAGTCAAATCACATGTTGATCACAAGTCATTTACAAGTCAAATTGCAAGTCAATAAGTCAAATCACAGTCAGATACTCAAAGTTTGATTCAGTAGCAGCTATGAGTACCTCGCCTCACTGGCTCACTTGCCGACCTTTAAGAACGTCTGCATACCAGTCAAGTGTTCCACAAAGACAATGTTGTTTTCCGTTTCATGTACCACTGAAGGAGATGTGCGTAGAGTCCTAGCTTTTGTCGTTCTTGTACTTTACAGGAGTGCAGATTTCCAACACGGTGCTCACCATTAACAACAACGTTTTGACGGAGGATTCTGGGGTCCAGACGATAACGGTGACCGGTGTGGTCTTGACAGGGGCACCTGGCTCCTCAGCTTTACCGAATACTGATTCGAACTTCAATGTGGTGATCTTTGGCAACTCCATGGAAGACACTTCAGGACCCAAAGTGACCCAGGCAGTGGTAGATTTTGGTTCTTCGCCGCAAAGTGTAAACCCTGGTATGTAGAAATTTAGCGTGCGATATGTAATTGAGAAATCAGATGGAAATGTCAGTTTTTCAACGACAAAGTGTTCATTGGAACATCATACAGGGTGACATATCAAAACAAAACGCTGAGTACACTCTTTCTCATGTGTGTGAAAAAAGTACAGTCTTTTAATACTAATTTTGTGAGATTTTAACCCTATTTGTGCCTCTACCAACCACAGATTCTGCACTTATGAAATTCTGCAATAATTCAGTTTAGTACAAAATCCTTAGCTAGGCATGTGAATAGTAAGCCAATTTCGACATCTCGTGTGAGCAATGACTTGTGGGACAAATATTTGGATAAACAGACCCGCGTGGTGCTGTAAGCTAGTCATCTATAGGGACTAGGACTGCGTGACGTATTTTGTTTATTCAACAACATTGCATTGTTCATGAGAGTTAGGACATGTGCCAGTGAAATGGTGATTTGGTCCTTTGAACATTTTTTGCTATCCCTTGAAATAGGGTAACTGTATGCATGGAACATTCTGCTGTGCAAGTAGAGAGGACATTGGGCCTAAGCCTTTTCTGGTAATTCTGAATTTTTGCTCACTTGTCCCCAGGTGCTGAAACTACATTGAATAACCCTGGATTGGCAAGCTTGAATCTGACCGATGTTTTCTGTGCAGACCTTCAGTACTTATGCGTCAGAGTTGAACGTGGTGATTCATCCTTTTACAAATTCAAATTGGAAGGAGTCCCCAACGAGAACAGCCTACTGGATTGCGCTGCGGTAACATGCAGAGGTTGGTTTGTCCTATTAACCCTTTTAGACGTTTTGATTACAGCAACCATCTCTTTTTTGGGGGTAATTTTAACCCATTAGCAGCTGCACTACTAATCTTGGTGCAAGACGTTCTTAGCGGGGTTGTTTGTGATAGACAGCATGGCCTTTGTACCACTCAGCAGCATGTATGTTCCCATTCACGAGTCAGTCGGTCGGCGAACCGCACGTAAAGAACACCTTGGGAATTTCTCATTACAACAGGGTGTGACTTAATATGCAAAAATAATATGCAGCGCATGTGCATTGGTGGAAACAAAAGACCTGTTCCGAAAACCGTTAGTCGGGCAACTACCGTACGCATCCAATCGACGGCACTAGGTGCTAAACTGGCTGACTGGTTCGGTGGAATCATAGCCACTTCAAAATTGATGAAGAGTACTGATTTCTAGCCTTCCAAGGCCCAGTTCCCTTGCTGCCAAATTGATTGCTTTGTCCACGTGGTCGACATTTTTTATCCAACAGCTGGCTTGCAAGTTGTAGAGGCATGGCTTGGAAAACCGCAGCACGTACAGAAACCAGACATGCTTACGTCACACACGTTTGCAGATGCACGCGCAATTCTGCTCGTAATTTCCTTAACAGAAATACAAAATTCCCAAGACTTCCTTTGCGACCTGTTGGCGTGTGTGTTAAGGGCACTCCCTTCAGTGAATTTGCTGCACAGTCCAGCAATCGGTGTGCGCTGAAGCATCACACTGCTGAGGATGTCTTGGAGCTAAGACTACTGTACTGCATTGTGTCCATTCCCTGATGGTTCATAAAGACCATAAGAGTTCAGCAATCAACAACCTCTTTCAATACTATGATGAGGAAATCTAAAATTGTGGAATCACGCCTTTTTGTTTACAGGCGTGCGTGTGACAGGCGGAATGGTGGACACCATGTCTGTACTCCGTGAAGGAAACCCAGCCTATCCCATGACGGTGAGGGTAGATTTTACCACAGACGTAAACGGAGCCAGCGTTAGGTCGGGCGGCACTGATCTGTTCCAGTTGAAGGTAGGTTCATACAGCAAAACTGGGTAAGCCTAGTAAAGCAGGTTCCACTGGCATGCAACTTTTCCTCGTACCGGTATTTCACTTCTTATGAATGCCATTACAAATTGAAAAACACTGTACAAAGTCTTGTGTGGTTTGGAGTTTCCTCGTTTTTTTTTTAAATTCCCAGTTGCATGCCTGGACTTTTCAGATCACACAACATTTTGCTCAGTTGACTCAGAATGGCTATTCACTGGAGAGAGTTTTATGCATCTGGTTAAAGGGGGATGGATTTAGCCCATTCATTGGTGTTACGGGGTAAACCTGTATGATAGCACTGCCCGACTCAAAAGCCACAGTCAGTCAGTCAATTAGTCAGTCAATTAGTCAGTCAGGTACATGAAGGACCAAACTTGTTGCCATGGTTGCGATCTTGCTGTGCCATGTTGGACCCATCATGCCTTGCACGATCTTAACCCCTGCAATTGTGTTATCTAAATGTGCCAAATAGTGGCACATTTTTGTGGCACATCTCTAGTGGCACATTTATCTAACGCGCGACGCAGTGCTTAACATTTTGAAAGTGTTTGTAGAATCAATCCTTTCAAACATGAGATTTCGACGTCCCGTTACTTAGCAAGGATTTATATTAAATGTACGTACCTCTGTTGCCCCTTTCTCTTGGGGCGAAAAACAAGGCGTCCATAATCCAAATCGTACAGACAGTTTTGAAATATAAATGTTTGTATGTAACATGACGTGCAGGAGATAATGCGCGAGCCCATATAGGGCGTGCAGTCCTCAAAATGCGCATGCAGCACGCTCTGAATAGCCGGTCAGTATAGTTTACGTGTTCCTCACGGCCGGCCGGTGGTTAGTGAAGCAACGTGCATGCCCCCATGGAGTCAAGTCTGATGGAGGACATTAGGCTTTGATAATTAAAACTCCCCGTGCTATTTTGAGTTTTACCCAAAATTTTGAGTTTCACCCTTTTGCAGAGGTTTGTTGATGCCCAAAATTAAAAAAAATTCGGTTTTCTGTTAAAAAGTCAGGAATTAAAAGATTAATTTGTTGATAAGCACCTTTTAGAGCAACGTTCACAGAGTTCTATGAATATTCACGTCTGGAAATTTCTCTTCTTCAGGCATTTTTGGCAGACTCAGCTACTGGAGGGGGTATCCGAGGCGCGGATCAAAACGTGACCCTACCGGGAGGCTCTGCGAGCCAGCCCGTCACGGCCGGCGGTCGCATCACTTTTGTTGACGCAGTGGCGACGCTGGACACCACCACGTGGACATGCCAGACGGAGAACTTCCTCTGCCTGCGTCTGTCGAAGGGCCCAGCAGCCTCACAGAATTACCTCCTTGAGGGTTGGGATGGCGCCAGGGATGACACAAAGCTCCTGACATGCACGCCTATAACCTGCAGAGGTAAAGTCGCTGTAGACTACTTTGGCAACTAGCAATGGGGGGGGGGGGGGTTGGACAAAAAGACTACTCAGTGCTGGATAGCAGCCCGGACTTTTTCGGTGCTCACCATGGGGTGGTTGAGCTGGACACAATCTTACTATTGAGGGTGCTGTTCATAGAAGATGAGTCTTGAAAGTATCAGACAGTGGGTGTCATATTTGTTGCAGTAGGCCTATATACACTGACAGACACCATTCAAGATTCAAGTATGTGTTGTAACTCTCTCTCGCTTTATCATCCGAAAAAGGGCGGCCAAGACAGGGCGGTCGCGACCGCGGAATAAACGTTATAGTGTGCATGTAATCCAAATAATATGTGCACCAAAATGGTTAAAGAAAATCATGTTGGAAGGTTTTGAGCATTATAATTATTTTTTTTCAACCATTGTTGCTGTTTGTACAATGTAGGCGTCAATATTACCGATGTCGTCTTTGAGGTGGATGGAGAACTATCCTTTGAGGAGAGAGACCCGAGCGCCACATTCACCTTTGACCTCGGTCTGGTGGCGGACCCCGAGGCGGGCGGCGTCACCGGAACCGGACTGTGGAATCTGACCGTTGCCCTCAACAGCATGTGGGATGGTTCTGGCGAAAGCTTCGGCGAGACCGTGGTTGTTCTTTCGCCTGAGAACGCGAACCGTGCCGTAGATCCGACCGGCCCCAGGACCAACCTGACGGACGTCCAGGTGACTCTGCCGTTGGATGGGGTCCAGTGCTCTGCTGCCAACCCCTTCTACTTGTGCGTCAAGATTGACAAGGCAGATGGTAGCAGTCCTGACTTTACACTCACCGTGGACGACTGGCACTGTACCATGATCACTTGCTATTGTAAGCTTCCCAGAGCTATCTATCTGTAATATGACAGCGCTGGTCAATGTGTTCGTTGACAGTGTCTGGGACGGTATCTGGCCGCTAACGTTATCACTAGCCGCACGCTATGCATACATGTACACTATCCGTACAAAGTGCAAACAGCGACCTCACACGGCTACAATAAATTATACTTTACACTCACTGTGGAGGACTGGCATTGTACCATGATCACTTGCTATCATAAGCTTCTCAGAGCAATCTATCTTTAACAAAACGGCCTTGGTATCTGGCCGCTAATGTTAACACTAGCCACACGTTATGCATACATACATGTACACTGTCCGTACAAAGCGCGAACATCGACCTCACGCCGCTACAATAAATTATGCAAATCAGCTGGGGAAGAACAAACGCCGTGGGACAACGGTTCGCAGTTGGCTTATGTTTTTCTTAATTTTTTTGCTGGCTTTCCAGCGACGGCCTCGTATGCAATACATATGAGATTCTTATTCAGTACTCGGTCGTGGATGCTAATATTTTTACATGGATAGAGCTTGGTAATGTGGATACATCCCTTGAAGTCTGTAGACCAAGTATAATTGGAAATATATACAGCGACAAAATAAGAAAACATAAGCCACTGCAATCCGTTGTCCCAAGGCATTCGTTCTTCCCCACCTGATACATAATTTCTTGTAGCTGCAACAGGCAGTTAATTTGCACTTCGTACATATCGTGTGTGTATGCCTAGCGCGCGGCTAGTGTTAACGTTAGCGGCCAGATTCCATCACGGACACCGTCAACGAACACCTTGACCGAGGCTTATAACAAAATAGATATACTTCCTTATCCAGTCATCACAAGCCAATCTAAAGTCACATCACTAGTCAATCACTAGTTGATCCCAATTCGATATTGAAAAGTGGTAAAAATACTTTCTTTTATACTTCCAAAATTCTGGAAAAGGAAATTCCTCCCCCCCAAAATAGTTTAGTATACAGCATTCCTTTCTTTCTCTCCTAGACTTGACTCTGACCATAGGTCAAAAACTAATTAAAATTTCCTTCAAATGTCGTCGAAAACTTGTATAAGGTTTTGGGTGAAATCCGTCAACTTTAACCCTTCCATATCCTTTGAAATCCAACAGGCTTCAGAAGACTTTGCAATTTATAGGTGGAAACTCGACTTTATAATAATAATTTTCCCTTAAAATTGAATTCACAAAGTATTTCAGGGTTTTCTTTAAAGTGATGTATTTTGAAGAATTTTTGGATCATTAATAGAAAATTATATCGCAAATTTGCCTGTGGATCTAGAATTTATGAACCCAGGTTTTATCGAGGGTATTATCGCTTTCCAGCTGTTCGGATCAGCGGCTTGTCCTTCGAGGTCGACTATCCAGACGCCATCCTGGAGAACGAGGAGAACAACCTCCGCGTCAATCTCAACGTCACCACCGACGCCCTGTCGGCCAATATCTCCGGGACGGGGCTCTGGGCCTCGCCGTGGTTTCAGATTCGCAACGCGGCCAACACAACGAGGCTGGACTCTTCGGAAGAGTACTGGACACAGCCCCTGGCAAGCATGGGTGAGTGTTGGAAAGCTAGCAATGTGTGGAGTGCCATGACCTTGTGGTCTGGAGCGCCATGACCTTGTGGTCTGGAGCATTGAATTCAAGGTCTGCGGGTAATTCTGCAGGCTGTGGGTTGGAGTCCAGTCTGGGGTTATGGTGTGTGTGCCCTTGGGCAAGGCACGTTGTTACCCGTTGCTTCTCTCCACCCAGGAGTAAATTGGGTACCTGTGAGGGCAGAGATGGTTATTGCGACTGATTTAGACCCCAAAAAAAGTCTCCGGTTTCTGGTATAGCTTGCCCAAAAAGTGGTGCGGCGACGCGGCTTTTTTTTTTTTTTACCTGTTTTTTTTTTGCTTCAAATGTCGGTTGATGACTGCAAATGGTGCCCGACTGAACTAAGTGCAAATATATGGGAGTCCAGAGAGGCCACATAAAGCTTATTCTCGATCATAACCCCATCTAAAAACACGTTAAAATTGTGCAGCAGCAGGATTCCAGTCAAACCAGTGAGTTTGGTGGTTTTGAGACATCATCTTTGCCGATGCGCATGGCTACGGCGACACGCGCGCATACCAGAAACCGGAGACTTATTTTTTTTGGCCTTAAGCTGCTTTGCGCCGAAATGGCAGCATGGAGCTCTATAGTCCCCAGGGAGCTGAGATGGTATTGGGAATGTTTCATTGGCCCAATCAGCAGGGTAATAATGTTGTAGCGCCTTGAGCATCAATAATGGTGGATACACAGGCTTTTTTTGTGTGTACTTATTAATTAATTTCCCTGTTGAAAGAAGCAGCCCTGTTGAAAGAAGCAGCCACTCTGTACAGAAAATAAGCTTCAAAATTTCACCTGCCCATTATAGCTCCCTGGCCACTGTCTACAGTTTTTAAGGCCATTTTAAGGCCGCCTGTTCCTTACATTCACCAGCCCATTATAGCACCCCTGCCCACTTTCTAAATTTGCAAATTGTTTGCTGTGGCCACCTATGGCCAACTTCCTATTATGGTCAATGGCCAGTTTTGGTCACTGTGGAAACTTGTTTTCTGTCACTCGTGGCCACTTCTCCACAATTTAGTTATACTATCTTATTGGTTACCATTTACAGGGGTGTGAAATCTCAGCTTTAAAGCTGATTTAAGCTTTTTTTGTTTTGGATTTCAGCTTTTTTCCCTCACTTGCTGTGTGCAAAAGATAGGACATTTCCAAAGTTCAGCTTTTTTATACCGCTTTCAGCTGTTTTCAGCTATTTTTATCAGTGGTCACTCACACCCCTGATTTACTTTTATGGCCACTTTCAAATATGGCCACTGTCAAATATGGCCATCTCTTCTTTTTTTTGGCAACCAGACTGTTATGGCCAGAATGACTGTTTTCCCTAGGCTTGTGATAATCCACTTTTTTATGCTCTTTCCAAAACAGCTCTAGAGGCGGACGACACTACCAAATTTGTGAACATCTTCCCCGTCAAATTCACTCCTACCGGCATGGTGTGCAGCGACTTGACCCAGCTGTGCATGACCTTTGCCAAGGGGGCAACCCCTGACCCGGAGTTTGACTTGGAGTTCCTTACCCCAAGTGACGTCTGCGTGGACATCGAATGCCGCGGTAAGGATCGGTCATTATAATGAAATTTCGTGGAACTAAACATCGTCACAGAACTACACTGTGCTACAGCAAACCTCGCATCTTTATAAAGCGTCTCTGAACAAACTTGAAGATTTTTATACTTTGAGCAGCAAGCTACATGAAAGTAAAATTTAAAGGCATATAGGATAATTTGCGCTTATCCCAATTTTCACCATAGTCCATCTTTTGCCAGGCAATTCCAGCATGGTGTAATGTCTGTGACCGAGCTTTGAAGAGCCCAGTGAATAAACCTGAAAATTCAGTTTTCAAATCTTATGCATCCATCATCTAGTAATGGTCAAGGAGATTTCAGACTAGGAGTTTGGGATCATTTCTCTGAATCGTTAATTAGATATCGTGGTTAATCGGCTCTGTCACGAACATCATACTTCCTTGCGCAAGGTTGGTATTGCCTTCCCCTTGTACTATTAACCTTAAGCCTGCTGCAAAGATTTTGTAAAAACTGTGCTGAATTCAACAATGACTAACAGTTTTGTAATCTACCATATCTTTTGGTCACAGCTCAGGCAACAAAATCCCACAGAAAAATGTCGCTGTTGGATCTTGTCGGATCCGGCATTATAGAGGTTAAAAAAAAAAAAAGTAGGTGTGACCCACAATATATGATGTTGTTTTCTTGCTTGTCTGTGAATGCAGGAGTGGAGATCATGTCGACCGTCATCACAAACATCACGGAAGGCGGTACCGTCACAGAGCGTATCACTACCGGTCAGCTAGTCGTCCTGTCGGTCAGTTCCACCTCTGCCGCAGACGGGGCCAGCATCACCGGCAGTGACCTGTGGGCCTTGACCGTCTACTACACCCCTAACGCAAACGGAGACGTCGATGCGACTATCGGCTCAGCTGAAATGGACCTCACGCCAGACCAGCTGAATACCGATCTGTCGGCCGGACAAGATTTGGAACTGACCCGTGTAGCGAAGGCCAACGTGAACCTGGCTAACTTAGTTTGCCCTGAGGTGAGTGACATTGGTGATTTGCGGCCTTGCACAAAGGAACTGAAAAGTTTCAGTAGGGTATGCTGAGGTTTCAGGTGCAACTATTGCTCGTTTAAGTTTTATAACCAGTTGGCGTCAGAGCACTGGCTGTTTTTATACACAGGCATGGCTGACGGGTTAAGGCGTCGAAGATTGCCTGGACTCACCCCCGAGTGAAGTCTTAACACGCTAAACCCTCGTGCCTTTTGTACGCACACACAAAGTCCGTGAAGTCTGTGGAGGCAGACCGTGGGTTGATCTTGAATTGGCCATTGTGCACGGCCTAATCTTTACTATTTACGCTCCAGTGCACACCCCAGAGTATTGAAACATATAGGTTTCAGCAAGACATATTCTTGCCAATGGCATTTGGCTGTAAATCAGAAATTTGGTGAAAAATTTTGCCTTTTGCAAAAATCATTCGGGTGCGAAGTGGTTAAGTCAGGACTTGGTAGTTTGAGGTTACTTTGTTGCACAACTTGACTCAAGCAATATCAAAAGTAAGTGTATGAGCCAGTGATTTAGTCCAGTCCATGACAAGTCCAGTCACAAGTCAAGTCGCAAGTCCATTCACAACTCCATCACAAGTTCAGTCACAAGAAACAATGGATGAATAATAACAAAGGAATGCTTCTGTCAAAGCTCATTTGAATAGCTTGTGATTTGAATTGGGACTGGCGGACTTGTGGGGGACTTGTGATGGCTTTGGAGGGACTAGTGATGGACTCCACTACATCCCTGGCGTTGGCATTGTTCAAAACCACTGTTCGTTCCTGGTTGACCCATGCTCAACTTAATTGGCATTCCCATCTAGTGGTGCCATAAACTTTTGTTTTTGCAATGTCAGAGGTGTGATTTTGCCGTAGTGGTAAGAGACAACGCATCGGTCATTATTGTAAACTTTTGATACAGGTAGCAGTGGACGGAGAGAATTCACAAAAGGAATACCAAGTGTATATGCTAACCTTGTTTGAAAATGTGCGTATATTTGGCTGTCGGTACAGAATGGCACTCATGAACAAAACAAAGGCACATCGGAGAAAAACTATATTGAATGGTTTCTGTGATTGTTATTTTGTGCATAGACTGGTCTTTACTTGTGCGTCAAACTCAAGAGGCATGCCAACCCAAGCCCCCTCTTCACTCTGTCTGCAAAGGATGGCGACCAGTCTGCTTTGATTGGCTGCAAAAGCGTTGAATGCATCGGTAAATACCACCTTCCAGTTTTTTTTTAAATTTAGATTCTGCACACCCCCTCAATGGTGAAAACAAAACAGAGCATGAAATATTGAAGGACTCTTGAATGTGATAGATCTTTTGCATGGCAGCCATCTTGGAGGTGAAGTGCGTTTGTTACTGTAGTGGCACGCCATTAAGGAAGTCGCTCAGCAACAAAGACGAACGGAATGAAATGGGAGTCAAAATATACCATGATGAATAAGATTCTGTCTCGACAAGCTCCAAATCAAAGTTCTAAGTTTACAAAGTATAGATCCTTTATGGTTTTACATACTCAAGGTCTTAAGTACTGTAATAGTTAAAGTTCTTATAATAAAGTTCTTATAATAAAGTCCCCAAACGCCAAGTCAGGGTACGACTGTTTGGACTCTACCTTATTACACCTGATGAAGTACAGTATTCGAGACAAATTACGTAGATCCATGGAGAAGCTGTTTGTTGGGTACCATGCATTATATTTTAATATTGGATCCATTATATGCAGGCGCCTTGTGTTCATTCTTCCATTCTGTAAGATATTAGGTGGTGTTCAAATATCAGTGACTCTAATTGACCTATCGCGGTAGAATCTCGTTAGAATTGCGTTAACACAGCTTGTGAAATAATGTCCAATTTAATATACAAATGGACACGGAACTCGCAACATCTGAGACAAACAAACCTTAGCGTAAAAAAATGTCCATAAGGTTGTGTAAGGGTCGTGGCTAACTCGCAAACGGTGATAGGTCATTTGACTCGGAGCCCATAATCTGAGGCGAAATTTACAAAATCTCTGAACCTGATCAAACTTCTTCTTTTTTTTCCGTCAGGTGTGCAAATTGAAGAGACCACACTGGGAATCAGCAACGGCATGCTGATACCAGTTGAGAAACCAGCCGTCCACACAGTGGATTTCCGATTTTCCTCCACCCCCTCAATACAATCTGCAGCAATCTTTGGCACAGGGCTTTGGAAGATGAAGGTTTTTGCCAATCGTCGCATGAATGGAACCCACCAACCTCCGTCCTATATGGCGGATGTGACCTTGACCACATCTCAGATGAATGCCCCTGTTATTCCTGGTCTGATATTTCAATTTTCCAGTCGATCGGTAAGTGCTCATTTTGCTGTATTTATGTAAGTTTGGATGGCGTTATTTGGATGGCGAGAAAGTGAGCCCACTTTCTGCACTGTGAAAGTTTGAAGTCACTTTCTCCTATGTCAGGATCACTTCTTGGACACTTTCTCACACACATATAGAGACGCACACACATACTTCTGTTTATGTTACCCTAGTGTGGACATTCCTTTGTTTTCATGTAGTTAAAAAAAAAATGTAAAAAAAAAAGTCATTTTCTCACACTCTTTCAACCCATTTTTTTAACTATGATTCCCTGGAGTGTTTCTCTTAAATTTTGCAATAAATAACCCAACCCAAAAATGCCTTTTATCTTGTTTCCAGATAGGGGGAACCTTTTGTGCACGTGGACACGTCCACACAGCGTATCTGAAAACTGGATTATTTGGACATCTTTTGTTTTCGGAAGTCCACACAGTGAATGTGATGCTTGTACAACAGTGTTACATCCCATAGTGTATTTTCACAACATAATTCCCCCAAATGGTTTAGTGCTTTGTAGCTAACTGTCATCACACTAGTGTGTATTATATAACCGACATACAGATCCCTGTCATTTGATTGGTGGAACTCACATCATGTGACATTCATTATTGCTCCCATTCACGCCGCGGCTCAAAAAGCACTATCCGTCGCGCACCCATGGGGAATGGGAAATACTATTCAACAGTTAGGATCATGACGTAGTATTTGTGTGCAAATGCATGCTGGTGTGCGCGTTCAGCGTTGCGCGTATTGTTCCAAAGAGCCAGCGCTACAGTGTTGGGTTCAAACATTTTGGTGAAGGGGTGGTTTGGGAGAGACAATACATTTTTCTCCAGGTTTGTATTGAAAAAAAAAGTTCACATATATCAAATGACAATGATCTATATGTCAGTTATATAAAACAAATATTGAGTGGCTTTAAATTGTGAAATGGGAGGAATATTATCGCTCGGTAAAATCTGGACTTGTCCAGTTCACTCGGCTTGGCCTCGTGAAATGGAAAATCCAGATTTTACCTTGCGATAATATTCCTCCCATTCCATGCTGATCCACTCAATATTTGTATACCAATATTGTTGTTTTTAGTAGTTAGTTTCTCTTCCCGAAGGAGGGTCAAACCAGTTGGAAAACTTTGGTTTGTTACCATGGCGAAACACTGTGTTCACATTGGCTGTTGAAGTACGTGGTTGTGCCGAGTTTACTTTTGAGTGACATCGCAACTTTGGCAGCATACTGTGACCAAGTTGAGATGGATTTAAATTATTTTAAAAATGTTTTTTTTTATTTGTTTATTTTTTTGTTCTCTTCAGGTGACTCTGAATCTTCAGCAAACGGACACGGAATGCCGCGAGACACAGTATTTCTGCGGCCAGTTGTTGAAAGGGGACACTCCAAGTCCTCCATTTTCCCTACAAGGAGTCCCTGATGACAACAGACTCATCAATTGTGTAGAAATGGACTGCAATGGTAGGGAGAATTTGAAGTTTGTCTCATTTTGGTTCAATTTTGGAACATTTTTCTTGTTTCCATTCTTTGTAACATGTTTCATGAATGTTTAACAATTAACTGTTTTTATGGCCTCTTGTTTGCATGCATACAAATTACAAGTTTAATGTAATAGTAGGATCAATACTGTGACCTTGCACTGTACAAGTTTTCATGATTTTTTAAGCCTATCCCATGCAAAGTACTGTCTGCTTTGAATATGTGATTAACTAATCGTAATTAAACCATTGCTATGACGTCACACTATTGTTAAAAGTGTGGATTCGGAACTACAAATCTGTTACGCTGGTCACAAAGTGTGGATTCGGAACGACAAATCTTTAGTAAAGTGTACACTTTGAACACGTCGGACAATTGTTCTCTATAATGAGCATTAATAGGACCGTCTGCGTGAAAATTTCCTTCCGCAATTACCAATGCATCTTCCCTGTCAGATTCTCTGCCGTCACTGCATGCAAAACCTACTTCGAGTCAGAAAGAAATCATCGTCTGAACTATCAATTTGTCAACAGAAGGAGCCGGGACAAATGTTGCAACCTGACGCCACTTTTTTCCTCCATATATCATCTCAATGAAGAGCATTCATTGCAAAAATGATGATAAGACATGAATCTGGGACTGAGAAATATTTCCAATTTTGTTTGGAAATACTTTAAAAAAATTATTGACTCTCCATAGACTTTGTACACAATCGCGGAAGTGGCGTCAGGTTGCAACATTTATCCCAAGTCTTTTCATCTCCACTCACTGTTAATACCAATACTTCTTTCGACGCAATGGTTTCAGTCGAAGAATACACTCGCAAGTGTGGATTCTTAATTTACGAATTCACTCGGCGCTTCGCGCCTCATGAATTCTGAAATTACGAATCCACACTTTCTCGTGTATTCTCCTTAACTTAATTTTTTTTTCATATTACTCATGGTTCATAATTACAGATTGCCATGGTTATAATTCAAATTGAGAAATCACAATATGAACTTTAAAAAAAAAAAGTTTAACATTTCACAAAAATTATGTTAGCCTCAGGTAGGACATGAAACAGTGTCTGAACAATACACGATTACGATATTACGATGCAAATCAGTATGTCTTCAGAATAATGTAATGAGTGAACACCATGTGTAAGTACAAGAGGTTATATTTTCAGGCGTGAAAATCACAACTTTCGACTTGACGAATACCGGCGGCGACATTCTCCGCGAGAACCAGGACGGTCAGTTGTTCTCCTTCGACGTCTCCCTCACCTCCGACGCTAACAAGACTTCCGTCTCCGGCGTAGACCTGTGGACGTTCAAGGCGTTCCTGAACAACGCCCAGGACTGTCTGGGCGACGCGGCTGAGGTCGCTCTCACGCCAGCCACGGTGAACACCAACGAGGAGGATCAGGACCTCGCAGCCGGAGGGACCATCGACTTCAACGTCGCCGCCTCGATGAACTACCGGATGAAGTGCCCTGACTGGGACAACGTCTACGTCTGCCTGGAGGTCTTCCGAGGCGACGTGTCTTCCGTCCCCTTCACGCTGTTTGGCGATATCCTCAAGGGAGTCCCGATAGTCTGCAGAGGTACGTTGGGGCTATCTCTCCGAAAGAACCACCTTAACTAGCCAAGATTTGCCATTGATTTATTTGTAATGTTATTGTTGGTTCAAATAGCTACTCTGTCCTTGTCTTTTTCTTGTCTGTTTGTGGTGTCTTTGTGTGTCTGAATATTCTTGTAATAAAGTTGAGTTCATCTATTTGCGGTCTGTATCTGTATATCATCATACCATCATCATTATACAGGGTGAGTCGAAAAAAGCGAAACCCACATGTCGGGACTATTGGTTTAGTGAAGTTCTGCATGTGGCACTTTCTAAATCTAGGATATAAAAGCCTAATTTATAAGCTTTCTTTTAGTACAAGAATCATTCAAATCACTCATGTAGTTTTAAAGTTACAGCATTTTCAACACAACCACTGTTTTAAAATTCTGTCCACTGTCTCAAAAAAGTGTGCGTTCTTTCAGCAAAATCCTCCAATTGGCCTCATGAAAAGAAGCTTATAGCCTCAATTCTGCCAATTCCTCCATTATTTCTTAAATGTGGTCTGTGGAGGGGTGACCACTGCCTGAATCCTACAAAATCATGCAGTAGTGACTGTCAATATGTTGAGGCTTGGCCAGTGACATTCTGGAGCAGTACGGACTACGGAGGATTTCAAGCATAATCCAGGCCTATATTTATGCATGACTGAGCAAAAACAGCACAAGGTCCGGCCCAAGACCTTGACAAAGTGCATGTAACGCACTTTTGCCATGTAACCTCAATCCTCTACATTCCTCCACGAATCCTCCAAAGAGGATTTTGAAGGATTCAGGGCAGTTAGGTTAACTTCTGATTTTCAAGAATTTTTTCTTGCTCTTTGGCCATTTGTGCTTCTTTGAAATTTTGATTTGATCACCAAGTTCCCACCCTGTTGATGGAGTGGGCCAAAAAGTTGTCACAAAATGTCCGAAGAATATGTAAGTAGTTCAAATTTGAAAGACTGAAAATTATTAAAGTACTTCTTCATGTTGAAAAAAAAGCCAATCTTCAAAATTTCGTCGATTTTTTTTACAGGGGTTGAAGTGACCCAGACTGAAATTAGTAGAATCACTGCGGGCAGCCTGATAGTGGAGAGTGACGACGATGTGACCTTTGACCTTAATCTGGAGATCCGCTCGGTCGCCGCTGCCTCGGGCATCTCGGGGACCGGTCTGTGGTCGGTGGACGTGTTCCTCAGCGACGAGCCCACTTGTCAGACGGAGACATCCGACCGTGTGACGTCACCGCTGAGTTTGACCAATCGCAACAAGGATCTGGTGGCCGGGGCAGTCCTGTTGATGAATAACGTCGGGGCTACGATACCGCTGCAGGGCTTACTCTGTGAGGACATCAGATACGTCTGCGTGGCCCTAGGCAAGGGGCTCAGCCCGACACCGGACTTCACCTTGGTTCCCGTGAACGGCAACTCGTCGCTGATAGACTCCCAGGAAATTGAGTGCAGAGGTAGGACATTGAACTGTAGAAATTGACCAGATAATGCATTTAATTTTCATAACAGTGTGTGCGTTTTCAAAGTAAGATTGTTGAAATTGTTAATGTGCCGGATTTGTGTTTGAGTAAAGTCAATGTAAAATTGGATCTTGCTTGCAAAATTATCGCTTAAGAAAACATTCCATCTTACAATATGTATATATCGCGGTATCATTGCTATATCAGACTTGAGCCGGCAAGTCGATCAATCAAGCTTGATGGTCAAATGGTAAAGATGTCTGCACTAGTTAGCAGGAGGTATTTGGTTCAAGTCCCACTTGTGCAAGCCAGAATTTCCTCTGACTGATAGGGAACCCCTGTTCCCTAGTGACCCTGTTGGTAGTAGCTGTAATCACCGTCGATATATATGGATATTACTCGATTGTTTCGATATTATTTTGGTATCAATATTGCCGGGCAATTTTTATAATCATATTGAAATATTAAAATTAACAATATTGAGGAAACATATCAAAAATGCATCAAATTATCATAAAAATATATCTCTGTTTGTGCATATATTTTGTGTTTATCATTTGCTGAATGATAAAATAAAAAGTCGGCGGCAACTTGTGCTTGTGACTCAAAATAAAAACATCGTGAAATGCCAAGTGGCGTCGCTTTTGGTGCTCTGCATTCACTGGAATTGGCGATTTTCCCCACTGTAAAACTATAAACCAAAAAAACAAACAATTCTGGACAAACTCAGTGCTGAAATTAGTTGTAAAAAGTTTGAGCAATATGCTCCAGAAAAAAGGATGGGAAAATTGGGACTTTAGATTTTTAATGTAAATTTTTGTTTTTTGTATCAAAGTGTCATCTTTCTGGTCTTTAACTTTTACATGGATAATCAATATATCAAATATTCTTGATTTTGGATTTTCAATATATCGATTATTGAAAGATCTGATATCCACTATGCATAAGTAGCTGAAGAATGACTTTTTCTGGGTTTTTTTGTGTGTGTCTGTAGGTTTGCACATTGTGTCCTCTGAATTGTCTGTGACCGACGGCGAACCCTTGATCTCCAACGACCCCGGGCACCCGGTCTCCTTCAACCTCATCTTCAACACCCATCCCGACGGGGCCAGCATCGCCAGCCCCACCAACCTCTTCCGCCTGCAGGTCGCAGCCACGGCCAGCCCCGACAGGGCCGGGGTGGAAGCCTCCCAGCACCAGGTCATCGTGCCTTACTCCCCTCCGCCGGGTTTCACCATCTCCGCCGGACAGCGCTACACGCTCCCGGTCGACGCCAACTTGAACCTCCGCGGTGCACGCTGCGACGAGATTCCGTACATCTGCGTGACGATGATGAAGGGTGTCAACCCCGTCCCGCCGTTCACACTGACCCCCGACGTGGACGATCCCGTTGTGACGGCGTGCAGTGAGCGCCTTGACTGTGTTGGTGAGTACAGCGTAAACCTGGGACGAATTACGTAGAGTTTAACACAAAGCAGAAAATACTACTCATCAAATTTATGTGCAAAGCGAACGTTACATGGGAGACCAGTCACATGCAACTTACAATGAATGGGACATTGGCTGGTACCATTTTGTTCTTTGCTTAGCCCATTTTTGTACTTAGCAACACCAATATTCAACCCTAACCCCCTTAGGCCTTTCTGCTTGGATGCATCCTCAATCCTTCAAAATCCAACCACTGCCTCTGTGTAAAAACTTTGATACAGCCTCAATCTTCCAAAGTCATTTGACATTTCTTGAATGTGTTCATTGGAGGAGTGACCAGGCACTGCCTTGATCCTGCCAAATCCTCCAACGATTGCTGTTAATATGTTGAGGCAACTCGAAGTATTAGATGCCAGACAAGAATTTGGCTCTCGCAGGGCAAGTTCACATGTGCCGAAATGAAAGCCTGCTTTCAGAGTTTTTGAAGACACCTGAAATTGAAATGAATTAGTTTTTTTCATTAAAAGAAAACATACAAATTGAATATTCATTAGAAGAAAAAAAAATCCACTTTTTGAAGCGCACACGTATTGAGCACACGTATAACTTTTAGTAGCGTAATTAGTGAAAACCAATTAATTAAGTTTCTTTTTTGTTTCATGGCCAGGTGTCAGAATTGTGAACCAACAGTTGACCATCCAGTCTGGAATTCCGTTCGTGGAGCATGCCATGTCCAACCCAGTAGAAATGACTGTAAGTGCACTAATAATTTACATCCGTGGACAGAAAATCACCCAGAAATCAGAAAGGCTTGAACTGCGACAGGTTTCTAAATCATCAGTTGAATTCTGCATAGAAAGACCAACTCTGATGATGAGGTTTTTTTTTAATTGGTAATAAAGAACTATATGTGGTATACTACTCAGATTGCTCTAACTTTTCAAACATTTCGGCACTCTTGTCATTGGCTGGGCTTTTGAGAAATTTTATTTTGATGACAAATAACCAAGGAAACAGTCTTGTGCTCCTGCCAGGAATTGATAAAAACCATCTCCATGGAACTGGGTCATTCTATAAATTTAGGGTTCAAAGTGTGACATTTCTCCTGTCCCTGTTACCTTGGAACTTTGTGTAATTTGCCAGTCAAGAGTTACCTGAAAAGTTTTAATTTATAAAATCATTGTTGCCAAATGTAACAAGGACAGGAAAAAAAAAAGTGGAACACCCACAAATGTATAGAATGATCCAAGTACACTCCCATTAAGAATTAAGAATATTTATTAAGAAATGAATATTTATTATACATGTATACAATTTAAGCTATGATGATGTGGTCATTGTCAGAAAATAAGCATCTGAGGTCACAGATTATGGTAAAAGAACTCGATAATTTTACGACACGAATTTCAAATTGATTTTGGAAGCCTTAACAGCTTAGGTCAAATTATTTTACATTTAGGTTGAATACGTTGTTTTTATCTCTTCACGACCGTTGGATCCACTGTTGATCTCATCCGCTCGCTCTGCTGAGAATCAGTCTTCACATGCTAGGGCTGACATACCCTTAACCCTTTGAAACTACTTTGCCAGGGGTGTGGCCGCTGTCGCATGCAAACAGCTACGAGTATAGACTGCCAGCCAAGGCTAACGAGCTCTACCTGCCCGGGTTTGTGATCAGAGTTGTCCTTCTCCTAGGCAGACAGCCGTCCTAGGCTGACGAGTTCTACCTACCCGGGTTTGAGATCAGAGTTGTCCCTCTTGTCGTACATAGTGGCTCTTTAATTATGACCCTTCCCTCCTTTTTTTTTTTTTAGGTGCGGTTAACATCTGGCGACAATAGCGGCGATGCCTTAGGGATCAACCTGTGGTCAGCCGAGGTCAAGCTGTCTGCAGATGACCCTCTCGCGCCAGGGACGGAATTCTTTGCGGTCACCACGGGAACGTTTGTCGGCAGCGATGCGGACACGGACCTGTATCCAGGCGAGACGATCGCGATGCGCTTGGAGGCCAACATGAACCTGACGGGAGTGGCGTGCTCGGACGTCCGCTTTCTCGTCGTGAACATCACCAACCCCGACGCCGACCCGGAATTCACCATACAGTGGACAGATGATGTGGAGTATGTCGTCATTTCCCAGTCCTTCACGTGTTCGGGTAAGAGGAAGTTTACTTGGTAATTTGGCTGGACCTGAACTGCCAGCCTGTTTTTTTTGGCTGTTGGAGTCACTGACTGATTAACTAGCTGAATACCTGACTGACTATTAGTTGTTGAGAATAACTCATTTCCTTAACTGCCTAAATTGTTACTCCTTATAACGTCCCAAACTGACCTGCCTGTTACTCCCTGTAACATCCCAAACCGACCTGCCTGTTACTCCTTGTAACATCCCAAACCACCCTGCCTGTTACTCCCTGTAACACCTCAAACTGCCCTGCCTGTTACTCCTTGTAACATCCCAAACCACCCTGCCTGTTACTCCCTGTAACATCTCAAACTGCCCTGCGAGTTACTCCTTGTAACATCCCAAACCACCCTGCCTGTTACTCCCTGTAACACCTCAAACTGCCCTGACTGTTACTCCTTGTAACGTTCCAAACCACCCTGCCTGTTACTCCTTGTAACGTCCCAAACCACCCTGCCTGTTACTCCTTGTAACGTCCCAAACCACCTGCCTGTTACTCCTTATAACATCCCAAACCACCCTGACTGTTACTTCTTGTAATGTCCCAAACCACCCTGCCTGTTATTCCTTGTAATGTCCAAAACCACCCGGCCTGTTACTCCTTGTAATGTCCCCAACCACCCTGTCTGTTACTCCTTGTAACGTCCCAAACCACCCTGCCTGTTACTCCTTATAACATCCCAAACCACCCTGACTGTTACTTCTTGTAATGTCCCAAACCACCCTGCCTGTTACTCCTTGTAACGTCCCAAACCATCCTGCCTGTTACTCCTTGTAATGTCCCCAACCACCCTGTCTGTTACTCCTTGTAACGTCCCAAACCACCCTGCCTGTTACTCCTTGTAATGTCCCCAACCACCCTGCCTGTTACTCCTTGTAACGTCCCAAACCACCCTGCCTGTTACTCCTTGTAACGTCCCAAACCATCCTGCCTGTTACTCCTTGTAATGTCCCAAACCACCCTGCCTGTTACTCCTTGTAACGTCCCAAACCACCCTTCCTGTTATTCCTTGTAATGTCCAAAACCACCCTGCTTGTTACTCCTTGTAACGTCCCAAACCACCCGGCCTGTTATTCCTTGTAATGTCCCCAACCACCCTGTCTGTTACTCCTTGTAACGTCCCAAACCATCCTGCCTGTTACTCCTTCTAATGTCCCAAACCACCCTGTCTGTTACTCCTTGTAACGTCCCCAACCATCCTGCCTGTTACTCCTTGTAATGTCCCCAACCACCCTGTCTGTTACTCCTTGTAACGTCCCAAACCACCCTGCCTGTTACTCCTTGTAATGTCCCCAACCACCCTGCCTGTTACTCCTTGTAACGTCCCAAACCACCCTTCCTGTTATTCCTTGTAATGTCCAAAACCACCCTGCCTGTTACTCCTTGTAACGTCCCAAACCACCCTGCCTGTTACTCCTTATAATGTCCCAAACCACCCTGCCTGTTACTCCTTGTAACGTTCCAAACTACCTGCCTGTTACTCCCTGTACCGCCCCAAACTGCCCTGCCGGTTACTCCCTGTAATATCTCAAACTGCCCGAGCACCCCATGGGCCGATGGATCTTCGGGAAATATACGTTATGTAGTACAGGTGCTAATTGTTAAATTATTGGATTTTTTTTGCTCAAATCTCTTTGGCTTCTTTTCTTTTTAGGTGTGTATCTACAGTATCCGTCACCACCAGGATCTGCACTGGTGGTGTCAGACGGCTTCCCACTGAAGGAGCTAGCAGCTGCCAGCGAGGTCGTGTTTACTGTCAACATTGATGTCACTCCGGAATCGGCCACCATTATGGGGCAGGACTTGTGGAAAGTCAGGGCTTTTGTCTCTCCCACTAGCAACGGTAACGGCATACCGGAGGTAAGAGGGGAGAAATAGACATTTTCAAAGTCTTGGAGTTGTCTCAGGGTTGGCTGTATCTTCCTCCTTATGAATCATTTCAAAGCAACCACGGGGAAACATTCCATCTGTTGGGCACATAATGCACTATTTGCTTTCCCGCGATTGCCCAAGTCAATCCGAACTTAGATCTCCCAAAGACTAAAGATTTCATGAACCTCGTTAACCCTAATCTCCCCAACTCCATCGAAATCAATCCCCCCTTGGTCCTGCAGGCCTGGTTTGACTATTGATGGAGTATGATGGGGTGTGTTTTTCAGGATGAAAAGGAGGATGCCGTCCTGACGTCTGTCCAGGGAGCTGTCCCCATCGTGGCCAGTGCGACCAGCACGCTGACTGGCGTGGAGGTCAGCCTGGATACCTCAGACAAGTACTGCTCCGATATGACCTACTTGTGCGTGGAGGTGTGGCGTGGTGACTCGGCCCAGCCTTTCTACAGCATTGAATCGCCGGGCAGCCAAGCCGAGCTGCGGACGTGCGTACAATCTCAGTGCAATGGTGAGTAGAAGATTATAAGACTCGAGGGCCTACCGTTCTATAGCTGACTTTCTGACTAACATTCTGACTGACTGACTGACTCCCCAAGTCACTGGGAAGTGAGTATAAATAAATAATGTCCTAAATTAAGCCTTTTTGGGGGGTCCATTTGAACTAGTAATGTGTAATCTCTTTTATATGAAATTCTTCACATACAAGACCAACGGCCAACCAAAATGGTGTCAACGAAAGAGAAGCATGCAAACTCTCTGTTATATTATTTATTCATTTTATTCATTCGATTTCTTTCTGGTAATGAAACCAAGGATTCTTCAAAAGCGCCCTGGGCACTGTGGCTCGAAAGCCCGAAGAAACTGCATAGAGAAGACAGTGTGAAAAGAAATTTCAGTTTTCAAGATGGCTCCTCGTATCTTTACCTTTACGCTACGTGTATCTAATCATTTTTGTGACAGGTGTCGAGATAATGGAGGTGATGCCGACCATTGTTTCCATCCCTCCGCTCATAGAGATGAGACCCAATCAAGTTGTCAGTTTGGATGTCAACGTGACCGCCACGCCAAACAGCGCCGGTATCGACGGGGACAACTTGTGGGCGGCCACCGTCTTTGTCAACTCCCAACCTGACGGCTCGGGCACTCCGTAAGTCTAAGTTGGCCCACTTTCTTTGCACTTCTAACCGTAAAATTCTGCAGTTTTGTTCACCATTCTGTTAGCACCCAATACTTTGTTGCGGGATATACTCGTGCGCACAAACCCAATTTCCTTGCTGTCCTGTCAAATACATTAACCCTAAGAGGAGCATTTCTGCGTATTGTGCGTAATGTTTCTCTGTTTTTCTCAAAATGTATATTATCCACTGAGCTGAAACTTTGAGCAACAAGTTAGTTGTTATGCGCCCTTCTTAAGATTTTGAGCAATTTTGTTGCTTCAAACGAAGAAAAACGCGCAAAAAGCAAATGATCCTTTGTACCCTTAATACATGTAGGTGAAAGAGTCTGAGAACTGTCAGTGTGGATTATCTTTTGCTTATGACCCCCGACACAAGCCAACTTATTTGAATATTTACATTCACAGAATTAGGCAATGCATTCCATGTGTATATGCATACTTGAGAACATAGCCATCCACACTGAATGAAAGCAGAATCGTCACAGCATGACTGTGTATACTTCCTAGAGAGTTGGCTCAGATCCAAGAAAGATTATAAGCTCATTGAGCAAGGGTAAGAATATCTCAACCACTTTGATTCTCAAATCAACATGCTGATGTTTTATTTCCTTTGGTTTTTTTTCTACAGGTTGTCAGTCAGTGAGGCCACTATCGATCCCACGGTGCAGGGCAGAGATCTGGTTCCAGGCTCTGTACTGACCTTAGAGGGCCTGGTGACCACCATGGATTTCACCGGTATCCGCTGCATCCAGATGCGGTACATTTGCGTGACACTGCGGGAGAACGGCCAGGCCCAGCCGGATTTCAATCTGGCTGGCGATCTGACCAGTTGCATTGAGACTAATTGCATCAGTGAGTCTTTCCTTCTTGCCTCAAAAGTCTTTTAGGAATATTTTAGGCCCCAGACTAAATTAAAGGTAAAGGTAAAAGGGATGGACCTATGTTGACAGGAACAGAGGGCCCATCTCTCTTTCTTTAGCGATTGGGCCAGACTCATATGCTGCTGTGGGGGATCGCCACACCTCCTCCACAGCGAGTCTGTACTACCTTCCCAGTATTGAATAATGCCGGTACCCATTTAACACCTGGGTTGAGAGGAGTAATTGAGGTAAAGCGCCTTACTCAAGGGCACAACACGCATGGCCACGGCGGGCTTGCACCCACAACCTCACGATCATGAATCCTGTGCTCTAACCACACAGGTGCCCCAGACTAGTGTTGGGATAAATCCAAGATTCCAAAATCCAGTTATCTGGTTAAAACTGAACGTCAGTAATCTGATTTAACCGGAAACTTACAGTCATGCCAACAAAAAGTGGGGAGTTAGGTGCGGCATGCATTGCCCTCCACGGTGATCTGATATAGTTTGAAGTACTCAATGACCACTGGGCAATTTCAAAAACATTGAAAATCATAAATGGTTGGAAATTCTCTGATCAGTGGAATGGGCAGGCTGTTTATGAACTATGACCACTAGTAAGTGAATGCGGTTACAGAGACCATAGGTTAAAATGGGGGATGTTCCAATTGATTTCTTTGGCTTGTGTCTAAAAAAAAACAGGAGGTTGGTTTAGGATATTCCAATATCAGAGGAACTTTAACACAAGTCCACGACATTTTGTTCTGAGTTTTTTATAAAATGATATGATGGCCTGACACAACTGCATTGCTCATTCTCTGCAAACAGGTGTCGCCATTGCATCTGGGGCGTTAGCCTTGGCCTCTAACGAGGTGCTAGAAGGCGACGATCTGGCGTCGTTCTCGCTCGACGTCTCCTTCACCCCCTGGTCAAACAGCCGCAGTCTCCAAGAAGATGACAGCTGGACGCTGTTCGCATACACCACGGATCGCGGTGACGGGCTGGGCTCAATTTACGCCCTGAACCAGGTGACCCTGACGCAGGACCAGCAGAACCAGGCGGTGAACGTTGGTACACCACTGGTCTTCAACGCCCGGGACGTGACCCTTGACCTGACTACCCAGAGCTGCGATACCACGTCACATTTCTGCGTGGTGTTGGGAACGCAACCAGGGGCCTTTGTGCTGGGTGGTTATCCGACCTCAACCAGTCTGGTAGCCTGTGCTGAGCTGCTGTGTTCACGTGAGTCTATCAAACATTCTTAAATTAAGTTTTAAAAAAAAGTAAAGGGGGACGAACCTGTGTTCACAAGAATGGAGTGCCCATCTCTCTTTTGAAGCGATTGGGCCAGACTCAAGTCCATGAAATGCTGCTGTGGGGGGATCGCCACACCTCCTCCACAGCGAGTCTGTTACCTTCCCAGCATTGAATAATGCTGGTACCCATTTAACACCTGGGTTGAGAGGAGTAATTGAGGTAAAGCGCCTTACTCAAGGGCACAACACGCATGGCCACGGCGGGGCTCGAACCCACAGTCTCATGATCGTGAATCCTAACGCCAGATCCAACGCCAGATCACACATGCCCTCTTAAATTACTGAAGTACAAAATAGTAAGTAATTTTTACAAGAAGGATGTAATCTCGTACAAACTCTCATATCTCTCATTTGAGAATAACTCAAAGGCACCAAAACCCAAAAGGGAAAAAATTTGAGAGTTCAGTTGAGCTAATCAAAATTCTACAAACTTGCCATCTTACCTACACATAAAAAGTGTCACTTATGACTCATTTTGTTAGATCAGCTCACAAAACCAGATCATATCACTCCACTCCTATCCATCAATTCAAGAAAATTACCAGTCATATGTACCTCTTCGAAATGAAGACAAACTTCAATGGAGTTTGTCCTTGTAACATTTGCTAGTTTAATAGCGGGACTAGTTTCATCAAGCTACATTAGAACATAGAGTTATTCAGCACAAACAATTTTGTAACCAGCCGAAATGCTGTTTTAAACGCGATTTGTTCTTAGCTGAATTTTTCTTAAAATAACTCAGTTTCAAACTGTTCAGCTCCATGAACTTGGGCTTTACTCATAGTTTTCTCCTTCATCCATATTCCCATGATTTATAGCCAAGCAAGTTGACCTGTATTCGGTTGAGGTAACCGAGCGACGAATCGCAGTGGAGTTCACCGAAGCCTTTGGAGACTTTGACCTCTATGTCCTGACGTACTCTCCCATGGACGGCATCACTACCTCGCCTTACCCCATCCCGCGCAACCTGCCGCGAGCCCTGACCTTTGATCAACTGGTACCCGGCCAAGAGTACACCATTGAACTAGTCCTTAGAGATGGCGCTGACGAGAAGGCTGGGCCGTTCACACTTGTAGAACGGACACGTAAGCTGCTTTTTCTTCTAGTTTCAAAGCTTCGCGCGTGCTAGTTTCATAGTTTCGCTGCTTTGTTTGATTTGAAAGTCATATTCATTTTGAGTGTCCGTCATAAAAGTCTATGTCATCAATGAAATTAATGCTCACAGTGTATTTTCGAATACAGGTAAGTGAACAAATTTGACTCACACGATTTACGGCAGAATCTTTGTCCTTTATTCATGTACCTGAAATTAGTTTGTTCTTTTTTTTTGTAATGCTGAATTCTCTCAACGGGGTATTTTGGGGAAGGCCTTGGTACCATTTCCCCCCCCCCCCCACCCCCTCCTTTCCATGAAGTAAAAAAACCCTTGAAATAGATGTTTCCATAGGCGTCGCCAGAGCATAAGTGTGAGTGGGTGTACACTCCTTTTGTTTGTCTTTCGGTAAAATTGTCTGCCTGTTTACAAAATATTGTGTTTGTTGGGAAAATAATATCCCATAACGAAGAGCGCCACTTATTGCTCAGTAGTGTTCTGGGCCATCTACTATGAACTTTTGTATTTTGCCAGGATCACCTAGCTTCCACCCCCACTCCCCCCCCCCCCTCCCCCTCCCAGTCTGCAAAATCCTGCTTAGGCTTTTTCTCACTTTCTTGTGGATCGTGATCTTATAAAAGTGTTTTTTTTATCCCTTTAAGATATTTTCCTATTTTGAAAAGTACCATTAAAGAGAATCAAAATTTCAATGAGAAATTCCAGATTTTGTCCACACACATTGAGTTTTCTCTGTCCAATTTAATTGCATCCTGTTTCTTAACAGGGCCGGACCCCGTCGTGCTTCAGCTCGGCGAGGTTACCTCCTCCGAGCTCACCGTTTCCTGGGATGCGGCCACGGGAATCTTCGACCACTACACTATCGTCTTGGATCCCGCGGACAACGGCCTACCGCGCAGTCCCGTCAATGTTTTCCCTGCCGAGGACCGAGAGGTCACCTTCACGGGCCTGCTGACGGCGCGCCAGTACAACGTGACCATCTACACTGTCAGCGGGAATGTGCAGAGCTTGCCCAGCTCTGTGGTTGCTATCACAGGTAACGTGAGGGATTCAGAGGTGTGGTCAAGTCCATCACAAGTCGAGAAGCAAGTCGATCACGGCTCAAATCACAAGTCGATCATGACTCAAATCATGACTCAAATCACATGTCAAATCATAAGACGATCACCAGTCAAATGACAACTCGATCACATGTCAATCACGAGTCAAATCACAAGTCAAATCACAAGGTGATCAAAAGTCAATTACAAGTCAAATCACAATTCAAATCACCAGTCGATCACAAGTCAAATCACAAGTCGATCACAAGTCAAATCACAAGTCGAATAACAAGTCAAATTAAAGTTGATCACAAATCAAATCACAAGTTGATCACCAGTCAAATCACATGTTGATCATAAGTCAAATCACAAGTCAAATCGCAAGTCGCTCACAAGTCAAATTACAATTTGATCACAAATCAAATCATGAGTCGATCACAAGTCATATCACATGTCGATCATAAGTCAAATCACAAGTCAAATCGCAGGTTGATCACAAGTCGCCCACAAGTCAAATCGCAAGTCCATCACGACTCACATCACAAGTCGATCATGATTCAAATGACGAGTCAGGTCGTAAGTCAAATCACAACTCACAAGTTAAAGGTGATTAAAACAATGACAAAGGAATGTCCTATGACTTGACCCCAGTTTACCGTTTATCGACTTTAGATTTGACTAAATGTCTTGGGGATTCTTTACTTTACATGTAAAGTGTGTCATGGGGATGTTGCTCTGTTTTTTTAACTGTAACTTGTAAGACAAGATAAGTTTGCGGTAGCACCATGTGAATAGATCTCTTTTGTGAGTATGTGTGGTTCTGAAAAGAACCGGACATACTCACAAAAGAACCACACATACTCACAAAAGAGATATATTTACATGGTACTACCACAAACTTTATCTTGTCATAGTATCTTTCCACCATGCAAACCTTCAAATCTCAACTGTAACTTGGTTATTGTAATGAATTTAATTGACCATTTTGAGTTTTGACCCTAGGTTTTTCACTAAGAGTTCAGAATTGCTTAGTGATAATGGACACAGGATGTTTAATCCATTTTTCTCGTGTGCCATCTCTATTCCCCTCCCATCCATACCCCTACCCTCAACAGATCCCTCCACCCCGGTCCTCATCACCACCGGTAACGACGAGACCAGCATCGACCTGGAGTGGTTCATCAGTGAGTCCTACAACGTAGACCAGTACGAGGTCCAGCACCAGCCCGACGACGGGATGCCCCAGCCAATCGTCTTCCCCGGGAGCTTGGTGCCGCGGAGAGCCACGTTGGAGAACCTGACGCCCGGTCGCCGATACGTCATCACTCTGGTGGCCGTGTCCAACATTGGCGGCATGACGGAAATACGCAGCGTGCCGGCCGAGGTCACAGTTCAGCTGCGTAAGTTTCTGGTTTTTTTTTTTTTTATACATGACCCGATCTCAACAACTACGGTGAAACAGTGGCACTGGTTTACAACTGTCTGTCATGTCCCTCATTTATCACTTTTTTTTTAGATCGTAACCATTATTTTGTTAAGATACCGTTTGATACCATTTTGTATTGTCTGTGGCTCCCCTCAACGGTAAGAAAAGGAGATTGGTGGAGACCGACAGGAGAGACATTCGAATGCATTTACCGATGACGCCTGGCACTCGCGCGAAGACACTATGTCTTTGTGCACATTTAGAATAGAATGAGTCGTGCGTACTCTGCGCTCTACGCGTGCAAGCCAGTATGCGCATGTGCCCTGTCAACAGGGCTCTCGAAGGGGGTTATCACTTATCTCACTTTAAATAACCTGGATGCACACACAAAGTCAATGGACGTCGAGATATGACCTTTTTGCATAATATCCAAAGTGTCATAGAGTACGTCACATTGACAATTGCTTAATGCTTTTTTCTGGTTTTCTCTTGTGAATTCTACTTTTTAGTTCCCATGGCACCAGCGGAAATCACCTACCAAGACCCCACCGAGACGTCCATCCAGATCGAGTGGCCCATGGCCGTGGGTGAGCTGGACTACTACCGGGTAATCTTCAGTCCCTCGGCGAACCTAGCCGAGATGATCGTCCCCGAGAACTCCCCCCGGGAGCTGCTCTTCCAAGGATTGGACGTGGCCAGCGAGTACACGGTCACCATCACCACCCACATTGCAGGAATCAACGGGGAACTTGTCAGCCGGCTGGTAACCCGTACCGTCTACACTCGTAAGTCTTTAGTAGTTTGTCGGACTCGTTAACTTAAGAGCACATCATTCAGTGCCGCAGTTCAGGCAACTTTGATGCCGCATAAATGTGTTCAGCTGCTGCAAAATCACCATGCGAATGCTAGCCTTATGCCGAAAATCCATATGTCCGTTTTCGATGTGTGTATTGCGTTGTGTGTTTGCCAGCAATTAAAGGGCCCATGTAATGTAATGTTTTTAATGCAATTCTTGATAAGTCACCTGTGTTCCCCACTTAACCTTATTTTCACTTTTTATTTTGCCATTTTGAAGGGTATTTTGGTGCCTTTTTTATTTGTATGCTAATGCCAATTTCCATGTTCGTGAGCAAAATTGTAATGTCATTTCAGTGCAGAAACCTCAATGTTACAGCTATTTCTGCACCAAAAGTTGCCAGAATTTTGCATATTTTTCTGTTGTTAAGTTTCTGTTCTTTGGTGATTCGTTGTTGTGTCGGTACATGGCAGTAAGCCAGTGAGCAAAGTTTTCTTATAGATGTTTGCATTTTACACATTTTTGGTTCACAATTTGAACAGAAAACTTGTAAACTGAAATGAAATCACAGCAACAGCACCCTCAGTTTTCTGGAAAGCATGAATTAAAAAAAAAAAATGTTTTAAAGAAGTGCACTTTTCAATGAAATTAACCAAAAACAGGATGTCAAATAGTTTTCATACATTTAAGAGGAGCAGAAAGTTAAACAAAATATGGTCCTAAGAAAAATTCATTTCATGGACCCTTTATATTCCTTTCTCCAGTTCCGTATCCCCCCGGCCCACTGACCATCGTCCAGGTGACAACCACCCAGATTGAATTCCAATGGGCGGACGCGCAAGGTCCCCGGGATGGCTACGAGGTGACCTTTGAGCCCAACGAGGCCGAGTTTGACCCGCAATCGCCGTACTTCACCACGGGGACCAGCATGCTGCTGACCGGGATCAAGCCTCACGTCACGGTGGACTTTGAGGTCCGTACCAAGATTGGCGACGTGGTCAGCCGTCCACAGACGCTCCGACAGAGGACCTTCCCCACGCGTGAGTCTCACAATCCCCAGTCAAATCGGCATTATACAAATGAAATTTATTTTATTGATATCAACACGTTTTGGTACTGACACAAGGGTTTCTTCAAAGTGATTAAACCCATTTCACACTAGACAAATCTCAGGGTTGATGCAGGGTTGGCGCAGGGTTGAAAACATGCATCATTTCACACTTGAATAATTTCAACCCTGCGTCAACCCTGCGTCAACCCCACGTCGGCCCTACCCCGGGTTGAACTCAACCCTACTCAAGACCAGGGTTGAGATTTTCAACCCGGGTTGAAATTCTTGCCAGGGTTATTAACTGAGCATGATAAGCTTGATTTGCATGAAACAAGTGTGAAACGATGCAGAGTTGAACGTGGGATTAAGAAATAAAAAAACTCAACCCGGGGCGGCACTGGGTTCACCCAGGGTTGATTTCAACCCGGGTTGAGAGGCTCTAGTGTGAAAAGGGCTTAAGCAATGTGTACTCATGCGTGAACAGTAGTTGGCACATTTCGAAAACTCACAAGAGCTACAATGGGTTGTGCACACCTGATGCGTGCACAGGTTTGCGCACGCAGGGTGCAAAGTACGCATGACCAATATTAGTCTGAATGTTCATTAACCCAGACCGTCGTCATGTGGGCATCACGCGTCATTTGCATTGCGTTCAGTTGAGGGAGTACTTGTGCACGAATGCCCGCACTCATGTGCAAAACTGCGATTTCATTTTAGGCAGGAACTTCAGTGTTACAGGTGCTCCGGCCTAAAAAAGTTTCCAGAATTTTTTGGTTTTTTTTTTAGGCAGGGTAACTTTTTGGTTTTTGCGATACATTGTAGGATCAGGACATAAAAGTCAGTGTATGAACAAATTTTAAGCACAAATGTTTTTCAGTATCCAAAAATTTGGGTTCATAATTTCAACTGAAAACCCATTAACTGAAGTGTGTCCTTAAAATGACATCACAACAACAGTACCCTCATTTGTCAGAAACGCATGCAATATTTTAATGTTTTAGAAAAGTGGACTTTACAAATATTTTTACCGAAAAGGGACACTCCTAATTTTCATACATTTCAGAGGAATGGATATCTGCAAACGACACGTGCCAGCGTCAACTTCATATCATGCACCCTTTACTATACAAAGTCCATTACAAATAACAGCCTACTTTCTGTCATTTCAAGAAGCAGCGTCTAATGTCTTTTACAAAATGATCAAATGAAAAAAAAAACCAATAAACTTTGTTTTAAACTTTGATTTTTCTACAGTGCCTGGTCAAGTCCGTGACTTCCAGATCACCGGATACGACTCGGACAACATCCAGATCTCCTTCAGAGTTCCTGAGAGCCCCAATGGTCTTATCTTAGCCTACCTGGTGACCGTGGAAGGAACAAAACCAGTATGTTTGTCGAGTCAATGATAATCCCCCAGCCCAAGACCACTGCCCCCCTCCTCCCCCACCCACTCCCTCTATCAGTAGAGCTGTAAAACTACGGGAAAAATGTTGCAGCCTGACGCCACTTTTTTCTTCATATATCATTTCTATGAAGGTCATTCATTGTCAAAATGATTATTATTACAAGACATGAATCTGGCACTGAGAAACATTTCCAATTTTGTTAGGAAATACTTGGAACATGTTCTTGGCTCTCCATAGACTTTGTACAAAATCGCGGAAGTGGCGTCAGGTTGCAACATTTTTTCCAAACTAGGTTAACATCAGGAATATTATTTTAAAAACCTTTGGTACAAATTCTTGACCGCAATTGATCTCTTACCTTTCAGCAGTTACATGTTGATTCCAGGGACACCTCAAAGCTTAAAACAACTAAGTCTTTCAAGTGATACATTTTCAACTTATTTTTGTTGCTTTTGTGCCAAAAGAATGTAGATTCATGTTGAGGATTTTTTTTTATAATTTTAATTTGCTTTTAATAATGCACATAGTTTGTATATTTTTAATAAGGGAATAAATGTGTGCTCCGGAGGTTTTTATCACTCCGGCTCGGGTAATTATCAGCACCCAGACTCTAAGCGGTATTAAACAGAGTGATAAATACCGACCGAGCACATATTTATTCCCATTCATAAATACCTTATCCGTAAAAAAATATCAAATAATTCGTTCAAAAAATCCCGATTTTGTTCAACAAGTTCACTTCATGCTTTTTGAAACATCCCTCTAGCAAAATAATGGAGTGTTCAGCTGGCGAGTAAGATGTAAACAACCCTTTTATGGAGATTGACGCGCGCGTAACATGTTCTGCGCGATGTCACGCAGAACGCACCTGGGGCGTTGCGTTTTGAATTTAGAACTATAAAATTCTGACTAGCTTGTAGTGTTGCGCATGCCTACGTGAGGATTGTGAACGTTCAACCAATGAAACGGTAAGAGGCACTGGATTTTTAGGAGTCCACATTTTACTGTGACACTGGAAAAGTGTTTAAGACCAGCTAGCCATGTCTTTATCATCCGTTTAAGACCGGCCACGTGACGGGCTCTCGACCAATAGGAATAGCCAAACTGTCTGAGGTATTTATGAATGTCATTTTAATGATAGAATTCTAAAAAAGTTGAGATGGAACAATGTTTTTCTCAAAATCATGATTCGTTCAAGTCACTGTCAGTATTCCTTTTGTTTTTCTTTCTTCAATTGATAATGTGACGTTGGTATATTTTTTTAGGGTGAACCTAGCGAGTCGGCTTTCCAGACCATCAACGCCCTGCCAAACGACGTGCAGTTTGAAGAGATCATCTCTCCTCTGAAGGCTGGATATACCTACACACTGTCGGTCAGTAAAACAAGAATCATGACTCTCAACTGATGAAATTTGGATTGTAGAACTATGAATAATGAAGATAATAATAATAATAATAATTTGGGAGGCTAATCATCCTTACTGGCAGCTGGAATGCTGAATTGCGAAGGACGCGGCTACAACGTGGTCGGGCTGCTGGCACGTAAAGGCGCCTATGGCTGCCGGCCACATCGACCCATATATGACCACGGAGCACAGCCTGAGATCGAAAGTATTTGATTTTTCCGGAGGGAGGAAAACCGGAGGGCCCGGAGAAAAACCCTCGTGGCACAGGAGAGAACCAACGCACAACTCTACTCACATGTGTCCCGCGGCCGGGATTCGAACCGGGGTCACCTTGGTGAGAGGCGAGCGCTTTACGCACAAGCCACCCATGCCACATTATATTGACTGAGTTTGGTCAGTAGAAGCCAATAGAAAAATAACGATGAAATTGTCGGGTGCGTGGAAGGGGGTCGTTAGGGCAGAAAATGGGACAAAAGGTCCAATTCAGATAGATTTTTTGGGTAATCAATAGAGCATTGAAATATCTTTCATTTGATATACATTTTGTCTCAAGGGGCTATGTCCTTCTGACGTAATTAAAAAATATGAGAAAGATGAAAGGAGTTTATCATTATTTTTCCCCGGAATAAGTACGTTAAGATGTAATACTAATGTAACAAAATGCCTTCTAAGTGCGCTAATGTCCCAATGAAGTAGGTAAGCTAAGCCAAGTTTATTCCCAGCTAAAGGTTGTTAGGATTTAACATGCCGCTTAAGGGCATGTTTGAGGCAGGGGGAGTTCCCAGTAAAAGGCCGTTAGCATAAAAATGCCAATAACTTCAAAAATAAGTAATACTTTGAAACAAAAATGCACAATATTGTTTCAATGTTCAATTCAAAACAAATTTCCTGAGTCAAAATTTCAGCCTTATGCGATTTTTAACGTAGAAATGGGAGCACAAAACCTTGAAACTTGATTATCTCAATTTTTTTTTTTTTTTTTGGTTGACGAGCCTGGGCTGCTAACGTAATTTTCCTTGGCACACGATGAAATAATGATAAATAACTTGTTTGAAATTAAATATAAGAGCCCATTTCTCAAAAAAAATAATTGTCTTCAATGCAGAGTACAAAAATCTGAAATTTTAAATTTTTTTTAAATCAAATTTTGAATGTTCCCATCACTCAACTAGTCACATTGGTTTGCCATCTCCAGGCATATTAATTCAGAAATGAATGACAGCCTTTTTATCCCGTTCTGACCAGATTCAAGCCATCAACACGGAGGGCGCCGGTGAACCGGTGGTGCTGAGCCCCCTCAGGCTTCCAATCAAAGGTAGGAAACGATTCCCAAGTATCTACACGCTCGGCATTTCTCTATAGTTTTTTTTATTTAACTTCAAGGCAGAAGTTTATTTTCAAATCCACTCCTCCGTTCAAGGTTGCCGTTCTTTGTTGGGCAGGGTAAAGCCTGGTTCGTACTTCATGCGAATGCGAAGCGAATTTGACGTCATGAAACATTTGCTGCGAAATCCGCCCGGTTTGAAATGTGTTCAACTTTTACGAATACGCAGCGCGAATACTCGCCATGACGTCACATATTCGCGTTCACTTTCGCTTTCGCGCAGAGTAGTTTTAAGTAGAAAAAAAGGAACTTCTTTTTCACTCCATTTCTAAGTAAAATTCACAGTTGAGCGATAAGCGAAAATATTTCTTCGTATGTCAAAAGTTCACGTGCCAACATTTTATTCATTTGGATTGTCCTAAATTAAAAAGAATAATATCTGGCCAAGGCACAACTCAACTTCATCAATTTTCTTTATCCTTGATATAAAACGTGAAAAAATAACTTTCTCAATTTTTAAGTTCCTGGGCACAATTTCATGGAGACGCCAACACAAAATATTGCTTGGTAAATTTATGTGCTTAGCAAGAATCAGCTGAATACCAGTCACAGACAATACAAATTGAATGATCCAATTGCTGGTAACCCGTCTCTTGCCCCTAGAAGCTCCAATGGTATTCGTCCGAGTATCACCCGTTCTCCACGGAGCTAATCTGCGGTAGAACGTCTTATATCTAAGCATGCGTGATGTCATTTCATTCCAAAATCAGGACTAAGGTTGTGATTGGTCAATGTCAATGCCACATTTTTGTAATACAACAACCAGTACAAAAATGCTACTCATCGTGGGCGTGATGTTGACGCATTTGGGCAGCTCGCATCACGTGCGTATAGAAGGCGCCCGCCGATTGGTCAGTTTCTCGAAGACATTCGCAGTCTAGTTGCATAATTAATCGCCGAATATGATTACATATCGTAGACCAGAAACGGCTTCGCCAGGGCCAGGGTTTATTACATAAACTACAATGGTACTTGCCCTGCTCAAAAACTTTCAACTTTAGATCTAATTTTTTTGTTTGTTCTTCTTCCTTATTTTCCTGTCGCTCAGAACCATACTACCAAGGCCAGCAAACTATTGATGAGTTCATCTTGGATGTCACTTCCTCCACCATTTCGCTTCGTATTCCAAGGTCCCTGTTCTCGGACCGGAACGGTATCGTCACTTCGTACTCCATTCTCGTCGTGGAGGAGGGAGGTAGGCGTACGGAAAAAACCCGAATTTAGAGAAAACTGATTCTAAAAAAAATTTGGAGTACATGAATTTTTTGTGTTCTCTAATATTTTGTAGCTGTACATTTCAAGCAATTTAATATTTGATTATTCAAATATTGAAAACCTTTGAACAAGTTTTACACACGCCAGCTGCACCTACATGCCGCGCCGGTCAACAGCTGCACTCAAATGCACAGGTTAAATATTATGGAGCGCTGGAGTGTTTTACATTAAGTGGTTTATACGTACCTGCTAAAAGGATGGGAACAACGAACCGCTTTCGACAAAAAAGTTACCGTACAAAAAAAGTGGCATCTGACAATTAGGAGCATCAACTTTACAATTAAAATAACATCACAGTCCTGTGTGTTTGTTTATGGTGTAAATCGAGGACAAACACGTGCAACATCATTGATGAATCGAGGACAGAAACCGAATCGAGGACTCCTTCGTTGGAAAACGTGTACAAAACCAATTAGAGCTGTTGCAAAAAAGTTACAGTATAAACACAGGAAAAGGGAAGAGGAACAAAAGAAAATCCTTGACTTACACCATTTTTTGTTTTTTGTTTGTTCTTCATATCCAAACCGGCAAAAAGCTATTCCAAAATTTGGTTGATAATCAAATAATCTCTCTTCAAGACAGCCCTACTAATTTACCCACTTCAAATAGAAGTTTGGCTTTCTATTTTGTACAGATTTTAAAATACTGCATTTTTCATGATGCAAAATTGTATCTTCTTTTTTAATGACTACATCTTATCAGTTTTTGAAAATCTGGATTTTGTTGCTCCACTTTTTTCACCAGCCGATCGCACTGCTAGTGCCAACCCGCCCAATTACCAAACAGTTCGTAACAATGCTGTCAAGCCAGTCTACGTTACGATCAATCGCGCGGAGCTGTTCAGCTCGTCAGACAATCGCCGTCGCCGACAGGCCGACGTGGCTGAGAGCGCCAGGGTGGTCATTGGAGACCAGACCCCTTGCCCTAACAATGATGACTATTGCAACGGGCCTCTGGACTCCATCTCACAGTACAGGTGAGAGGCCGTTTTCAGTCCAGTTTCTCTTCTTTGGGAATTTTTTTTAATTGGGGGTGCTGTCACACTGAATATATTTCTGAAGGATGAAATTACAATTAGACGCCGTAATTAAAAAAAAAAAAATTTAACCAATTTCCATTCTTTCAGATCAAACGGGGATCTGTTATATTATATTTGAAACTGAAAGTGTATTTCAAGTTATTAACCCTTAGAGCTACAGTCCATCATTTGTAATTTGTGCATTTTGTTCGTTTGAAGCAACAAAAGAGTTCAAAATCTAATGAAGGATACTGAGCAACTAACCTGATGAAGTTTCAGCTAAGCTTCAGCTGTACATTCCGAGAAAAACAGCATTTTAAGATCTCAATTTCAAATCAAAAGTTACTGAATCATGTTTTGAATTGTTTTGAATTGCAGCTATACGCGATGTCGCGCACTGATCCGACGAATTATAACAACCGCGCGCGTGTGTGCGTCGTTCCAATACTTGTGCACGCTGCGCTGAATAACAAAACGAACTACTAATTTAAATTTTCCTACGGTGCTTCTTAAGAATCACCGTTGGAAATGCCTTCTTTCGTTGATTACTTCAAAATGACAGCTTCCCAGAAAGAATAATTTCACAGGGAGTTTAGTTCCCTTACTATCTTTCAACCAAGTTTGTTTTTCAACAATAATTATGCCAGTTACTTTTCGGATGGCTGCAAATGATGGACTCTAGCTTTTAGTTACTGTAGCATTCAAAACCGCCCTGCCTGTTACTCCCTGTAGCACCCGAAACCACCCAAGTACTCTATAGTTTTATGGAATCTTCAGTGAATAAACACAGTGTAATACAATGTAATACAATGTAATACAAGCGGGTTAAAATAAATTTGACACTCGGCATGCGACGGCTCCCTACGTTAATTTTGTCTCAGTTGTTTTGAGTGTCTAACATTGTTTTCGGACTGTTTTTTTTTCTTCTAAGATTTACGCTGTTACTAAAAAATATCTTAAACAACACTCGTTGACCTTAATAGATTTTGTTTTCAGATAGCAAACTTTATGTAATTAGCTCACTTTGTTGATTTGAGATGGAAAATTGTTAATGTTTTTTTTCTTGCTGATCTGTTTGTTTAACAGGGTTAGCATACGCGCTTACACAGAAGAGGGCTTGTACACCGACACCCCTTGGTCCAAAGTTATTGCAACAAGTAAGTCTGAATCAGGGTTGTTCGTTAGTCTGGTCACGCATTGTCACGGAGTACCAGGAAATGAAGTACGAATGATCAACACAAACTAAAAAATACCATTAAGTACTGCAGCGATTTCAAGGCATATCATTTTGTAATTTGTAAAAGATTGTGAAACCTGCCCCATCTCCGAAGTTCTATTTCTCCTGGGAGGAGAGAAGTAATCGTGGTAAATTGTACATTTGAATATTAGGTTTTGCCCCTCACTTTTTTTAAATTCAATTCAGTTCAACTTTTGTTATGATCAAATCAACAGCAACATGTACTGCACATTGCAATACAAAGATACAAAAACAAAGAACAATTAATTTCATCTGGGATAGCCAATAAAAGCCGATTGCAGAGGCTTAATTCCATCAGGGTCCCATATTGGTGTTACCCTCATCAAATTTCGTCAGTCCTGTTTCCAAGAAAAAGTTATGTAGGTGTACAAGATTACTGTGGTGGGACGTGAACCCCAGACCTGCTGAAAAAAGGCTATGGATTGTGGGTTCCAATCAAGTCTGGTAAAAGTTTCTCAATTTTTAAAATTTCTCCAAATAATTTTGTTAAATAGAAAATACGGTGCTTACACTTGTGAAAAGGACCAGCAAAGAAAAGCATTATTGAAATCCCCCGATGCAAAATTCCCACAAATGTCATTGTAAAGTGGCTAGCCCAGGGACACAGATCACCGCTTTACTAAGGTAACACTTGATTGATTATCAAACGGAGAATGTTTGCAAATGAAAAGTGACAAATGACGATGTCACTGTAAAGTGGCTAGCTCAGGGACACAGATCACCGCTTTACTAAGGTAACACTTGACTTATTATCAAATGGAGAATGTTTGCAAATGAAAAGTGACATATGGCAAATAAAATTTGCAGCAGTTTAATTCATTTTCACAAACTACGGAATTAGCTTGCAGGGCACGTACAGCTTACATGACTGTACTGAGCATTCCACATGAAACAGCACATTAACAATATTTGCTTGTTTTTTTTTTCCCCCAGAGTCTGACATATGGTGGTTCATCTATGTGCTGATTCCGTTTGCCATCATCGTCCTTATCATCGCCTTCATCATGTGCCTCTGCTGTTGCATCGCCAATGACGAAGGGGACAGACGCCAGCCGGAGGCCAAAAGGTAAAGAAATAATGAAGACACACGTTATGACCAACACTCCGGGATTTTTGTAAGGAACCTCACTAAATTCTCCAAACTTCTGTACTATGCAGAGAACCATTTTTGGTAATGAAACTTTCAAGATGTATGCAATGTGGAGTAGTAATAGTGGCTGGGTTCTACCTTCCTCAACCCTTTGAAATCCTACAGACCCTTGAAAGGACCACAAGAGGGCCTTATTACCTTCGGCCTTTGACCTCGACAAATAGAATCCTCTTGTTATCACTCGTAGTCCCTCGGAGTGCATAGTTGTGCACTAGTGACCTCCTTGCCAGTCAATAGGTGTACTATTAGTTATCGAATTTGCTGAGCCGAAGGCCGAGTGGCATATAGAACAGAGACACACTACATTTTCTGTGTTTGACAAGCACGAGTTGGATAGCATTTATCTTCAAGAAAACTTGATGCACAGTAAAGATGGAATGGATATGCTGTAGGACGTTTTCAGTGGTTATCCTATTACACGTTTGTACAATAGGAATAGTGCACGCATCCTAGAATGGTGCAATATGATTGGATTTCTGCAGTAGTTTATCTTGTCTACCACAGCATATCATACACAAGCTACACAGAATGCAGCTGCTCGCCTGATAACTGGAACCAAGAAATACCACCACATCACACCAATACTTCATCAACTTCACTGGCTGCCCGTTCAATTCAGAATCCAGTTCAAGATCATTCAACCGGGCATTTTGAATCCTGGACTGACTTTCTCTTTGCAACGACCAGCGCCCTTGAATGCCATTTTATGTCAGATACTGTGCGCTATATTATTATTTTTATTCATACTTGCGATATGGACCGTGGTATATGGGATTATACCACACGATTGTTGCCATGAATCGACCAAACAGGATTAAGGTTTCACGTTTGCATGAACATAAAATAGTTTGTTTAATGAGCAAATATATTGATCCAATGTTTTCTAGGGGAAGAGAGAAAGCGCCTTTGGCCGAGACCCAACTCAACGAGAATTCCAGCAACAACGTCAGCGTTGCCGCCGTGGCCAGCCCTGAACCCCTTGCCCCGGCCCCGGCCCCGGCCCTGGCCCCGGCCAAACCACGGCCCCAAAGCAGCCGCACCTCAAGGTAAGCACTCCCACATATATCAATCCTTTCAAATTGAGGCACGTGTGGGTTGTGGTAATCCTTGTGGTTGAAGAAACACTAAAGTGCAACATGCACACGATCATGGTACCACCTCCAAAATTTCTTTTAATTGTTGATGCTGGATTCTTGAATAACTTAAATGAAATCAGCTACAACTTTATTAGCTCTATTAGCGAAAAAGACTGTTTTTGTTTTGTTTTTTTCAATATTAATTGTGAAAAATGGACTGAGTGGGGTTTGAACCTGCGACCTCCGGATTGCCGTTCCTGTGCTCTACTAACTGAGCTATCCAGCCCTATGTTGGCGGCTCCCAATTCTAGTCAATGTCTTTGTTTAAGGGGCGCTTTTCAGAAGCCTTAAACTCGTAAATGCCGTGAAGACAGGGATAACACCCAACGTCATATTGTTCAATGCTCAAAGTGCTATTTCTTGATATAACAGGCCCTGTAACTTGCTTGCAATCCGTTAACATTCTTCGTTATGCCAAGTTGAAGGCAAGATAACACACACACAAAAGATTATATTTACTGATTGTTCCCAAATAGGCATGGATTTGTGACTCCCACTTTTTAGCATCCCCCATTTATTATTTATTATTCCGTTCCAGGCCGATTGCCGTGGTGAAGTTTGGTCAGCACGTGAGCAAGATGTCAGCAAAGACTGGCGACAATTTTGCCAAGGAGTTTGAGGTCAGTGCTGAATTTGTTTTGGAAAGCATTACAATTTCTATTTCATATTTTTTTGAAAAACTGGAAATACTGGAGACCCTATGGTTTTGAAAAAGAATCTAATCCTGTGGTTGTGGAAAGTTATCCTGGCTCTTAGATAGATCACATGAATAAGAATAGATCCCTTTCTTTTGGAAATATATTAAGTGATAGAACTATGGTTCCCATGGGTCCTGTGATTCTAGAAAGACTACCATGGTTCTTGAAGAGTCCTGTGGTTTTTTTTTAAAAAGACCCCATGGTTTGGGATTGGTCCTTTGGTCCTCAAAATATCTTATGGTTCTGCCTAGGTCCTCTGGTTCTGGAGAGACCATGTCGGGTCCTACGGTCCTAGAAGTATCCCATGGTTCTGGATAGGTCCTGTGGTTCTGGGAAGATCCCATGGTTCTGTCAAGATCCCATAGTTTTGAATGACTTCTTTTGGTTCTGGATAGTTTTGCATTCTGGATTGGTTTTGTGGTTTTAGAAAGATTGGTCTTTTATAAATTTCATAGTTCTGGTAAGATTCAATGTTTGCAACTTCTGATCAAATTATATCAATATTCGCTTTGCAGGATTTGAATCTCATTGGAGAGACTCATGCCAAAACAGTTGGGGCCCTGCCCGAGAATGAGGATAAGAACCGCTACGGTAACATTGTCCCATGTGAGTCAACTTTATCCATTGTCCAGGGCCACTCCCATTCAATCACATATCTGACTATTAAAGTACAGCAGACTTGTCCATCCTAACAAGCTTTTATGGATTTCAACTTTTCTAAAGTTACATGTACAAAATGTACTCTCAATTATCAAAGAAGTCTTCATGTTAATGTCCAAATTCTCAAAAATTTGAAATCCTTCTTTCACCTCAACAAATTTGTACAACGTAAACTGTTGCGACATTTTGCCCTCATATTTTTTTATCCAATCAGAGCTTTTGTACCATGATATACTCTTGTAGTGTGAATGTGTCTGTCTTGATTTCATTGGCCCGACTGAATTTCAATAGAATAAAATTGAAAATAAATCATAATTATATTGTCCACATTTTTTAGTTGACTTCAACCGTGTTCGTCTGGACAAAGATGACGACTACATCAACGCTAGTTTCATGTCGGTAGGTTGCCAACTAATTTTCACATGAATTGTAAAGTTGCTCCAATTCGTACTTGAAGTTGTCCAACGTCTTTGTGGATTTTTGTTGCTGGGTCGTCCTAATTGATTGGTTTATACATCTCTTGTCCAGGGTTTCACCGGCGCCAAGGAGTACATCGCCGCCCAGGGACCCCAGGCCAACTCCGTCAACGATTTCTGGCAGATGATCTGGGAGCAGAAGGTGCCTACCATCGCCGTCATCGGCACCTGTGTGGAGAAAGAACGGGTGAGTGGTTAGAATTTGGCTCTGTGACAGGATGTAGTAGACCCCTGTAGGGTGCGCCCTCACTGAGGCTAGCTTTTGTTATTTAAATTCAACGACAAAGAGTGTACAGTATGGGGGCACATGTTTATCACCGATGGAAGGATATGTGGGGTGTCTGTGGCTGACAGGCTGCCAAGTGAGGAGTTGAGGAGGAGAGTTGGAGTGGAGGGGATCGGTATCGTGTTGAGGAGGCATAGGCTGAGGTGGTATGGTCACGTGGAGAGAAAGGAGGATGTCAACTGGGTCAAGAGGTGTACCAACGTAATTGTGGGTGGGCCCACACCCGTCGGCCGACCGCGCAAGACTTGGCAGAGCTCCGTGTCAGATGACATGCGACTGCTTGGAGTCAATGCGAGGGATGCGACGGACAGGGCCAAGTGGAGAGGAGCCATAGGGAGAAAGCAGGCCAACCCAGAACAGACTGGACAACGGCCTCAAAACCGACGATGATAATGATGACGATGATGAAGACAGACCTTCTCTAAGATGTTACACGATGTGCTTTTTTTCTTACTAGTAGTTGCAGAGAAAACATTGATTGATGCTAAGTAACTCACATCGTTTGGATCAGTTGACAAAATCTGTCAATTAAATGCTCATGATGTATCGATCTACCTGTTCACAAATTTGTCAACTTGATTTATATATTTTTATTTCAAGCCAGACTTGTCGCAGTCAGTAATCATCAATCATAAATGTTTTTTTTTGTTTCCTTTGTCCTTTTAGGTGAAGTTTGCCCAGTACTGGCCGTCCGACTCCACCCCCATCACCTTCGGCGAGGTGACAGTCAACAGGGTCTCTGAGCGCGAGGAGACCGAGCAGGAGTACATCGTACGAGACCTCTGCCTTGAATCGGTGAGTCACGGCATGCCATCTCTGAACTTTGAGCTGATGAGTGTTTTCTTGATGCTGAAGACACAGATATTTTCTCAGGAGCCTCTTAGAATCTTCAATTGGTTGATTGTGCTCAGACCAAATAAAAAGTACGAATACTTTACCGCGAGTAAGAGTATGAGTACAGGGAAGTTTCTTTTTCGCAATTATGAGTTTTAACACAAGTGCATTTTTATTAGTACGAGTACGGGCAAGAAAAAAATGAAATTGGAGATGACTTCCAAACATCCATTGACATCCACCACCAATGACCACGATTCACAATGTTTCAAATGTTACTTTTGAATGCCGCAGTTCACTTTTTGCGATGTTTGGAATGATAATCAGGACGGAAATTTGTCCTTTCTAGAATATCCTAACACTTGTACGTGACCAAAATGCGCGTCAAATCTTATACAGCGCGTGCTGTATGTACGCGTATATCGGCGGCCACTATTGTATAAGACGGGGGCGAATTGGTCAAAATGTAGTGTATTGGCATCCGCTATCCAGTTTTTATGTAGAGATCAGGGCCCAATTTCATAGAGCTGCTTAAGCAGAAAATTTGCTTAAGCACGAAAAAAATTGCTTAGTAAAATTAGGTTACCGGCCAAAACTCCATGTGATGTACATTGCTTGTGACTGGTATTTAGCTGTTGTTTACTTAGCATAACAATCGCATGGAGTTTTGGCCGGTAACATGATTTTATTAAGCAAGACGTTTTTGTGCTTAAGCAAATGTTGTGCTTAAGCAGCTCTATGAAATTGGCCCCAGTGAGCTATCCTAAGCATAAACCTTTGTCAGTCTTAATAGCTGTTCATCATTCATAGTAAATGGACTTGGTTTTTTGTTTTTTTTTCAAAGGGATCTGAGGTGCGCGCTCTGCATCAGTACCAGTTCACCGCTTGGCCGGTTCATGGCGTGCCCAAGAAGTCGGACGAGATGCTGAACTTCATACGCACTGTGCGCGCCCACCTGCTGGAGAACTCGGGGCCCCTTGTGGTGCATTGTGGGTAAGTTTGTAAAAAAAAAGAAATATACCTTCGCCGCCAATACTCTGTGCTTGGATTGAAGGGTAAACGCTGAAGATGGACCACTGTCTTGGTTTTTGTCAGTGCAGTTGTTAGATCTTACAAAAGGAAGAAAACAGAACAAAAGTTTCCCTTGATATTTTACTGCAATTTGAAGTGTGAACTTTCATTTTCACTTTCAGTCCAATATTCAACTTATCAGTTCAGCCATTGAGTTCTCTACTTACGTAGAATATTTCGGTTTATAGTTTTGGGGCTTCACAACCTGTGTAAATGTTTGAAATGTCAGTATATGAATATTCCCCTGCATGGACAATGCAAACATTGCAAAAATTTTTCCAAACAGTTTTCCAGCAGAAATGGACTTCCAGATCAGAAATATAGTATTGACCTATAGAGTATGAACCTGACCTTTGACCTGTATATACCCCATCCTCCACCCCTTTCCACAGTGCTGGCATTGGCCGTACCGGTGTGTTCATTGCCCTGGACGTACTAACCCAGCAGCTGGCCCTTGATGAAGAGTACATCGATGTGTTTGGCACCGTGGCCACCAAACGGGAGGAGAGAACCAACATGGTGCAGACCGAGGTAAAGGCCACAGTCAAAATAAAAAATCTGTAAAGTTGCGATATGAAACGGTTCTTTCAGTTTGAGGAAACATTGAAATTTGAGTTGTGATATCGGTGCATGGAGTACACCTAAAGAATTTCATGAACAAGTGAATTTGAAGTTTCAACTGCTGTGATTGACTTGTGATTGACTTGCAATGGACTTGCGATTGACTTGCGATTGACTTGCGATTGACTTGTGATTGACTTGTGATTGACTTGTTATTGACTTGTGATTGACTTGCGATTGACTTGCGATTGGCTTGCAATTTGCTTGTGATTGGCTTGCGATTGGCTTGCGATTGACTTGCGATTGACTTGCGATTGACTTGCGATTGACTTGCGAATGACTCGCGAATGACTCGCAATTGACTTGCGATTGACTTGCGATTGACTTGCGGTTGACTTGCGATTGACTTGCGATTGATTTGCGATTGGCTTGCAATTGACTTGCGATTGACTTGCGATTGACTTGCGATTGACTTGCGATGGACCTGTGATTTGACTTCTGATTTGACTTCTGATTGATATTTGTGATTGACTCGATTTTACAACTCTACTGCTGTTGGCCAAAGAAACTTGGCACGCATGAAACAATCAAAATTAGAATTTATGTTTTTGGATTTTTGTCAATGCTGTTCTTATTCCTTGCTGTTAATATGCTTATCCCTCTTTCTTACAGCTTCAGTACGAGTTTGTGCACAAGGCCCTGCTAGACATTATTGAGGGCCGCGTCACAGGGCCCAAACGCCGTAAGTACAAACTTTTTGTCGGCGTTACTCAGCTCTGTAACAAGACTTTGTGTTTATTTCCACTCGTATGTTTAACCAGAGTCGGCTTTCATTGAGATAAAACTGTCAAGCACACAATGTTTGAAAAAAAAGGGCCATGGGGCTCTTTGCGTATTCTAGCACAGACTTATAAATGATAAGTTAAATCGCTTGTGAAGAAAAATACACATTGACACATTGAAAGGTGTTTGTTCAGAGCATACTTTTATAACTTAATTGGTAGTCGTGGGTTTTTGTGCATGCAGGCATACAAAAAAATAACAGCAATAGTACCATTAATTTCTACATGTTGCAAATATATGCCTAACATCTTAGGACAGCATGGCATAGCAGCATGTCCACATTTTTCAGAGTATGTCACTTGGTGAATGCAAGTGGCACCAATCAACCCAGCAGTATGTATCTTGCTATAAAATATGGTCAAACTTGTAGAATTTGCTCTTTAAACAGTATGGATAAAAATATGAGAAAGACGCCAGGACAGCTATTTTGACTGTTAGCTACTGACAGGCTTGACTCACGGTGTAAATAACATTGCCTGTGTCTTCACTCCCCTCCCCCTCCCCTTTCCCTTCCTCCTTCTCCTCCCCCTCCCCCTCCCCCTTCCCCTCATCCCTTACACCCCTTACACCCCAACTCCCAACCCTGACCCCCAACCCCCACCCCATCCCCCACTACCACCCCCACTCCCACCCAAACCCCAAACCCAACCTCCACCACTACCCCCAACCCCTACCCCAACCCCTGACCCACACCACCTCCATCACACGTTCCCCTTTCCTTCATTGTTGCACACCATTTTTGGCGAGCTGCGAAGCAGATGCGAGCCTATGTAATACCAATTTCCGTCCGTCTGTCCGGGCGCCCGTCGGGCCGTCCGTCCGTCCGGCCGTCCGGCCGTCCGCGTTCAGATAAAAATGTTGAAGTTTTTGGTTCTAGTTAACTTGGGGGAAAAAATTTAATGCAGTTGTCATGTATCATCTCTAGGCCTATAACTTCAGTTAGGTTCATATCATTGCAGTAAATTTTATGATTTTATTGAGGAACTTTAATTCAAGGAAATGTTAAAGTTTTTAATTGCTACATGTATACTGGTATAACATGTACGTGTGTGTATACCGGTATAACATGTGCATGTACACTATGCATTTGGGGGATGTGCATGAGCTTCTAGTTTGATCTTTTAGTTTATGGGGTTGGAGTAGGGATGGGGTAGGGGAGGGTGGGGTGGGGTGGGGGATAGGGTTGGAGTTAGGGTTTGTGCGAGTAGGATGAGTAGGGGATCTAGGATGGGTGGGGCGGGGTGGGTTGGGGTGGGGAGAGGGGTTGGAATACTGGGTTTGGGTGGGGTTGGGAGTTGTAGGGGTGGGGTGGGAACAGGTAGGGAGAGACAGGTAGTGGGAGACAGGTAGGGAGAGGATGGGCATGGATGTAGGGGTTGGGTTAGGAGGGGGTTGGGCAGGGGGCGGGATATAGGATCAGAGTAGGGGTTGGGTTGGGGATGTGTACGGATGGGTTGTTGTAGGGGTTGGATAAGGGGAGGGGGCAGTATATAGGGATCAGAGTAGGGGTTGCACAGGGTCAGGTTGGGATGTATGGATGGGGGAATGGGGTGGGCGGGATATTGGAATTCGAGTAAGGGTTAGGGTGGGGATGTGTAGGGTGGGTAAGGACAAATAGGGGAAGATAGGGTAGGTGGGTGTAGGGGGTTGGGGTAGGGGAGGGTACAGGTCAGGGGAGGGGGAAGGAGATAGGGATTGGAGTTTGGGTGGGGTTTGGATGTGTAGGTGATAGGGTGGGGATGATTAGGGGAGGATGGAATGGGTGTGGGTAGGGGGTTGGGTGGGGGAGGGGGAGGGGGTGGGTTGGGGATGGGGTAAGGTTTGGGGGAGGTGGTGATGGTGCTGTGTCTACATGTACATGTATACCCATTCTTGTTCTGCATTTGTGGCGACTACACAAGAGTTTTCCCATGGTAATACAAGTATGGGGAGCAGAAGACACTGTTGGGGCTGCAAAAATCCATAACTGGGTCCTAATTACCCTAACAATGGAAAACTCCCCCATAATACAGTGACGGCTAACCTATATACACATGTATTTATTAGGTAATCTGTTGACTTTTTATGTTGACATTTAAAAACTGACCCCTACACCTAGGACATCAACAAGAATCCTGATCCCCTTCCATCATGCCCATCCCCAACCCTACCTTCAGCCTCCCTTCCTGCCTTGGACAGCGAGCCATGGCGGCTTCGCCGTTCTAGTTTTTGGTTAAATGCACTTCAATTTGTTCCCACAGGAGCCAGCACCGACACCGACCAACGTGTGGAGGACATTATAGCCGAGATCCCTCAGTAAACCCACAACGCATCTCACTATCTGGCTTTGTGTCAACAACTCTGTTTACCGGAGTAAACACCGTAGTTTTGATCTGTTGTTGATCTTTGTGAAATGAAATGACCATATTCAGTTTGCGATTACTATTTTTTTTAAGGAAATGTCATCGTCTCTCAGAAACTTCAAATGCACTGACATATTTTGTTTCTTCCATTTTTATTACTTTTTCTACAGGGAATAGCATTGTTCATTATTATCTTTAAAAAAAACTACCAGAGAGAGAGAAAATAATGGTGAATTGGGGGTTAACAGACAAGCAATGAATTATTGCTGTTGTGTGCATTTTTTGTTTTAGAAAGACTAGTGTTAGACACATTCACTGATTTCAAAGCATAAGTAGTTTGTATTTGAATTTGGCAGAAATAGCAAGTAAAATTTGCAATGTATTTTCTTTGGCGTGTTTGTAAATTCTGTAAGCCATGAAGTTTTTAATACTCAGTGCACTTATAAAAAAAACTATTCATTGATTTGTAGGTAAACAGGAGTAGATATCAGAATAATTGACTGTATATAGGCTAATGAACACATTTGTGATCAGTTGAAGACAAATATGTATGCCAGGAGTCTATGGTGAGCTTTCACTATTTAATGAGCACCAGTTTGGATTGTCTCTATACTTACAATCGTTCAAAGCTAAACTCAGAGGTCACTAGTCGATCACAAGTTAATCACAAGTCAATCACAAGTTAATCACAAGTCAATCAGTAACCAATCACAAGCCAATTGCATGTAAATCACATGTCCGTCACTAGTCAATCACAAGTCAATCACAAGTCAGTCACAAGTCAATTACTAGTCAGTCACAAGTCGATCACAAGTCAATCACAAGTCAATCAAAAATCAATCACATGTTAGTCACAAGTCAATCACTTGTCAGTCACAAGTCAATTAAAACTTAATCACAAGTCAATCACATGTCAATCACATGCCAGTCACAAGTCAGTCACAAGCCAATCACAAGTCAATCACATGTCAATCTCATGCCAGTCACAAGCCAATCACAAGCCAATCACAAGTCATTCACATGTCAATCACATGTCAATCACATGTTAATCGCATGTCAATTGCATGTCAATCACAAGTCCATTCACAAGCTATGAAGATGAACATGACAAAGGCAGACCGCTTCGATGCTTGTGATCTAACTTTTGATTGAGTAGATCCCAACTCCTGTACAATTTAAAATGGTCGTGATAAACATCCAACCTGGTGCTCATATATTGAGACTGATTCTAACACGACTTGAAGAAGAGGCAAACATTCCTTAATGCAGAACATTCTGTGCCAAGTTGTTTTTTAAAAGTATGTCTTATTTGTGCCATGTTTACAAATGACTACCTTTGTGTATTTTATTGATAACTGATAATTTGTTGTATGTTTGCTTAAGTAAATCATGAGTAATTGTAATCCGACTGAATTAAGTGGAGTGTCGGGGATGAACAAATAAAAATTGATTCCAAATTAAAAGAAATTATGGTATGGAAAGTTAAACGTGGTTGCTTTATAATAAGATTATTGTATGCATGTATTGGGATAGCGTTTTTAAACATTCATATATAATGCATAGTAACTAAGAGTTTCCTTAAACGTTTGCCTTATTTTGGTATCGGAAATGGAATTAAAAATGGACAATGTTTTTAAAGCATTGTAAATTAATGTAGTAAATAATTTTTTTATGGTGTAATTATCAATATGCAATGTATATAAGTTTACATCTTAATTGACAGTAAAATTGTCTGTAAGTTTATAATACTGGTAACTGTGCACAACTTTTCGTTCTTTTAAAAAAAAGTAATTTATCAAAAACAGTGTGTTTTAACAATAGGTGCCTGTGCCAAAATGATGCAGTAGTACCCGTAGTACACAGTTAAAGTTAAAGTTAGCGATTTTGGGGTCGGAATTAAAATCTCTTTCACTGAACAATCCAGATAATTTCAAGAACAAATTGCTGCTTAGAAATGTACATATCGCAATTATCAAAATATGGAGCTGTTGGTAAACGTGAGCTGGATTTTTGATTGCACATACAACGGGACACCCCAGTCTTAGCTACATGCATTGGTGCAGCCATTTTTGTTTTGAATAACCCCCATATTGTTTTAGCAAAAACTTTTGGGGGTCCACGTATGTAATGGAGTATGTCCTCAGATTCATATGCAGCATCTGTCCCCTGATAGACATTGGCTTCATTCTCATAATCATTTTATCATGATTTTATTGTTGTACTATTGTAGTATTCATTAGTAAGTTACTCTTTGTAGAATGTCGTATTTACCTTTGTATCCGGTGTATGTTAATATTACAAGACCTTTTGGTCATGTTCTGTGAGCGTTGAGTAGAATGGAACACAAGTTGTCGTTTGATCGACCACGTGACCATGTGTGCATTATGTGACCTCTCGCCAACTCCAGTCAGTATATTGGTAATTATGGTCACATATCTGTTTGGTCACTGTCTTAAATCTTGAACTGACAATCATCAAAAACCTGTGTCACTCCAAGTCTAGTCGTCGTTTGCAAGCCCATGTTGTTGTTTTTTGGGGGCTTTTGTTTTAGATGGTCAATTGCATAAAGGCCTATACATTTTGTCCCCCAAATTAATTTTGGCCCAAAGTAATAAGCAGAACAAGCCAAACAAGTTTGCGATGACTAGAGATGGTCTTTTTCACCCAAAAGGCTTCCAGTTTAGGAATTGGCCTTTCTCGTCATTTCTCAAAGTCCAGAACACTCCATCACAAATGGAAAACGGAAGTAGAAACACACGCGTGCTTATTTTGTAGGTGGGGTTGTCATGTGACTTAAGGAACTTGTTTCATTGGCCAGTTCTGTATTAGCAGGTGGCATGTGTTCAACAATGACGTGAAGGATCACGGAATCTCAAATCTCATTAATCATATTTATGTCAATGTGTTCAATTTAAAAAAAAAAATAATAATAATAAGTGTAGTATTGTCAGTACTCTGTGGTGGGGATTTTTTTTTAAAGATTTTCTATTTAATCAAGTAATGGTTTTAGTTTTTGCTGGAATATATATATAAATATATGAAATAAATTTTGTTTATATAAAAAAATTGCTGTATCTCATCACAAGTGTTAATTTTGTTGTATGGTGACATATGCCAGTTGGAATGTAGTTTATTTATCAAGATGTTCTTTTAATTTGCTGCCATTGTTACAGTCAAAGAAAATAGAAACATTTTGGTAACAAAAACCCTGCTTACCAGAAAAAGGTGCTTTATAAGGTAAGCCAAAAATCAGCTCAGGCTTTGCTAATGCTAGGTTCACACATTACTGATTTTTAAGCCGAATCGCCAAGAATAGCAATTCTTGAGTAAATCCGGGAATGGTTCTTGGCTGCCTCAGGATGATTCTGTTAGTTCGGTGAAAGATCGAGAACGATCGGGAAGAGCCCCAACAAATTTGAACATGTTCAAAATTGTCGGGTAATTCGGGAACCAATTTCAATTCTTGGTTTATTCTGGTTGTTTTCAAAACTAATTTGGGACTGTGTGAACCTAGCATTAGTAAAACTTGGCAGTGCTGAGCAAAAAATGATACTTTAGAACAAATTTAATAATATGGTTGAAATATTTAAATCCTCTGATTTATTCTTGAGTACAAAGGGTATACCTGTACATTACGTTCCGCTCCATAAACTTAAGTTAGGCGCATGATTAATTCAGTACATCAAAAATATCAACTATTGCTTAGAATGGTGTTTGTAATAACGCAGGCATATTGGTAAAAAACACCTTTCTTCCAACCTGAGTTTAAAAAACAAAACAAGGTATTAATGGTCTATGATAAAAATCAAATGGGAAAACTAGTGCTAGGAATGGCTTTTAAGGCAATCTTTGAATAAGAAAGGACACTAATTTCACATCCCACTTTTATCCACTTTTAATTTCATAATCCAGTGTTGATAGTTTGGAAAGAAAGGTTCAAATTTAAACCAGAAGGAAATATCACTTGGCATTTCAAATATACTTTTCAAAATAGATCTGCAAAACCTTAACACATGTAGGGGCACCCGCACTATGTATGAAAAATGAAGAAAAAAAATGTTAGACTTTATTTTATATTTAACTGAATTAAGTGGAGAATCACTTGGCATTTGTGATAGATTTCTCAAATTATCTCTTACAAGTCTAAAGCTTGTTGAGACACTTTCCAAATGTATGAAAATAGTAATGCTAAAATTTATTTATGAAAGTTAAATACTTGAAAATCACAAAGAGGTAAGTACAATATACCTCCTACCTGAATAACATACAATATCAATAAATAAAAGATTAATATTTTGATCTAATTGATTTGTTTCAGGGCAGCCTTGAATCCCTTCAGCTCCTGGGCGGCATCGGATCGGAAGGTGACGGCAATCATGTTGCTCTTGGAGCGGTAATTGAATCGACCCTTGATCCCGCAGTAGAAGACTGGGCTGTCGTTACGAGCGTTGTTGTCGGTAATCTGCGTATTTGCGGAGAAAAGTGAGAGTTGTAAGCGTAAGGTAGGAACAAATTTGAAAACTCAACTTCAGAGTGGGTGAAATGAGCGGAGTGAGTTATGGGTAAAATGTTATCTTGTTTTTGTAGACGAATCCAGACACGTAATCACTGTACATGCAGGAGGCACCCTTCAATGGAGAATCCATTGTGCATGCTATTGTACAAAGCAACTGCCCTGTGACGGATTCGATACATGTAGGTTGCACAATGCTTACGCCATTAAAGGGGGCCTTCGTGATAGAATTGATGGCATGTCCGGATTGGTGTATACTAGGGGAAGATTGTTCAGTTGCCTTCAGCTGTGGAAGAAGAAACTTCAGAAAGAAGGTAGTATCTAAACGCCACTTCTTTGGTTGTGTACAAAGTGTATGGATAGTCGGGTGCATTTTCAAAGTTTTTCTATATAAAAATTGGAAATGTTTTTCAGTCCCAGATTCATTTCTTTTCAACATTTTTGCAATGACTGACCTTCATTGAGATAATATATTATGAAAAAAAAGTGGCGTCAGGATGCAATATTCTTTCCGAAACGTCTTTTTAGTACATTTTGCTAAAAGCCCTCCATTTCTTCAGTGAAACAGTCTGTGTATTCTGACAACCCTTGAAATTTAAACAAAAATATATTGGTGGATATTTCCCCATTTTTTTTCAGGAGAGGTGCATTATAATTTTGCCTCATCCAAATATTTGTTCTCAATCTGGTAGTGGTAGAATGGTTTATAGAATAAAAAATGCTCAGTTTTAGAGGTAAGAGGAAACACCCAGAATGATATTCCAGTGAAACTCTTTGGCGGGGACTGAAAAGCCAATTCACTTATCAACCTTAATTGATGGAAATTGATTGAAGTCGGTTACTGAGGCAAAACTAAAAAGAAACTTTTGACTGTACATGAGATTCCCCTATCCACATCCTTTTTTATGCTTACCATGACATAGTCCCGTGCACAGAAGGGCTCTTCGCCATCCAGGAAGAACTTCTGGAAGTTGACTCGAATTCTCTTGCCCGGCTCCACTACGATGGTGGTGGTGCACATCTGGTTGGGGCTGTAGGGATTGGGCCAGTTGGGGCTGGTGATGCGACCGCTTGCCACGGTCAGAACTTTGTCGCATGCTAGTAGGCAAACCAAACAATCGCATTTTTAAATTCAAATTACTGATAAATGTGACTCGAGGCTTCTCTTGGGAGAAGATTTGGGATACACCATGTGACGTGATTGTCTTTAAAGAAGAGGTGATTTGAGTTTAGGCACTCTCTTGATGATCATCAGAAGCGCAAACCAACTGAAACTACAAGTTTCTCTAATCGTCTCTCTGTTAGGTTGAGGCCAAGAGCAGATCCAGAACTCAGTTGTGGGAGGGCCAACAAA